CAGCTTCCTTCTTTAAGCAGCCTCTTTGGTCCGCCGTCATCTATGCGACCCCTCAACTCACCACACACGGAACGCCCTGGGATTTACCCTTCGCCTTCTCCCTTGGATAGACCACGACTCTCTTCCAGTGGAAACTTGTTGAGCTCCTATTTCCCACAGGCTATTTCACCTTCTCAACCCCCATCAAGAAACCCATACGAATTTGGTGGATACAACTACTCCGAGAGACAGCCAACTCATGCTGCAACATCCTCCCTTCCTGCGTCGCATTCGCCCGAATACCCAAACCATGGCCACAGAGGCTCTGATGCCCGCTACGAACCCGAATTACCCCGGAAATGGTCCGCCTACCGTGAGGATAGCAGGCAAGAGTATTTACAGCCTCAGGATAAGCTGAGACCCCAATATCCCGGGCCTAAAGACCCGTCCCACGATTACTCTGAACGGCGACTTAGCCAAGTACACAGCTCGGACACCAACACACCATCGACTTCAGCTACTGCAGTCACTTCTGAGATTGCAGTTTCAAAGGATGGTCTAGGTCCGAAAATCTGGACCGGCACGCATTTTCTTCCCAGATTTGTGCGGGCAGCAGAGGTGCCCGGCGAAGGCATGTGCTATTTCTACGACGACGGAAGTCACTGTAAAACAGTGATTGATGGCGAGGCGGTGAACGCTCACTGGGGCGTGACAAAGGCGGGCAAGCCTCGCAAGCGGCTGGCTATTGCATGCGTGACTTGCAGGGAGAAGAAGATTAAGTGTGATCCAGACTATCCACGATGCGTCCAGTGCGAGAAATTTGGCCGTGTTTGCAAGTTTAAGAATGCGTAAGTCTAAGAAATTCACATATGCAGCCACCTCGTTGGAGCATCGCTTACAATACTGCTAGACCCAGAGGGGGCAACAACACTTCGCCATCAACGTCTCCGGCCGAGCTCGATGATGGCCGACAGCTTGAAACCGGCGACCTACGGCGTTCGATCAGTGATGTAAGCTCTCCCGGATCACCCCGAGCCAGAATGCGGCCCGCCTCTCCAGACCGTGGATACAGCAAACGACTCAAACTTGGCCCCGAGGCATACATCTCCAACGGCGAACCACCCGCTCCCTTCCATGCTCGGATGGATTATTCTAAACCGCGAATCACTGAGCAGCAGCCACCCCCTGAGCCGCCTCTCATTCCCGATGAGGTTCTTGGTCGTGCGTGGAGGACAGATCCTTATGCCTCGACTCCCGACTTGATCACGAACGCTTTAACCAGGTTCTTCGCCAACGTTGACAATACCATGATTCTCCAATTTCTTCCTGAAGAAGCCTTCCAGCGCTGGGTTGTTTCCTCTCGTGGCCAAAAAAGCCCCGAGGATTTGATGCTTTTGTATAGTACTCTGGCGGTTGGCTCTGCACTCTGCGGTGATCCTAAGCAGATTGCTTTCGAGTATGCCCAGGTGGCACACTATGCACAAAAGATGACAGGGGTGCAGTGCCTACAGCTAGTACAGAGCAGGATTCTTCTTGCCGTATACTATATTTCGACCTGTCGAACTCGAGAAGCCGATGAGTTGATCTCTTCTGCAGCTGCTAGCGCTGCCTGCCTGCAGTTGAGCTTGGAGCTGGATCACTCTAGGGAATCGGGCATGGCTGTGTATCCTCTGGGGCTGAACAGGACGGGCTATGCTGAAGCACGCAGGAGGACGCTCTGGTCTCTATTTATTCTGGAGAGGCTTTGTGGGCTGTTCCCAGAGCGACCGGTAATGGTCAACGCGGAGGACATCTACACACAACTCCCTACTGATCTTCATTGCTTCGAGAAGCAAGTCGAGTCTCATGCGCGCATTTTCGACCCATATGGTGGTGGCCTTGCCAAAACCGATGAGCGATCGTCCGACGCAAGTGTCACTGGATATTATATCGAAATGGTGCACATCTGGTCGGATTGCCAAGCAGCCATCTACAGGATGGCGCTTAGACGAACGTCTACCGAAACAGAGACTGTAAAGCTTCAAGATCTCATCAAGAGGGCCAAGAATTGGTGTACTTCTTTGCCCCCTCGTCTGGCTTTTGGTGGTGCAAATCTCGAGGCGGCCGCTTTTACTAGAAGCACCGGCTCTTTCCTCAGTATGCATTTTCTTTATCATCATACTATGATTGAGTTGAACCGACATCGTCATGGAGCCGGCCAACTGCCCAAGGATGTCCAATTGGGACATTCGGCCGAATGCCGAGAGCATGCGGGCAGGGTCATTGAGATGCTAAACAGTCTGGACCGTATTTTGCGAGTCAGGTCCGCATTGCTTACAATTCCTCCTCCTGCGATGGCTGTTGCGGTCACAGAAGCCGTCGATGTTTTGACTGCAACTGGGCCGATGACTGTCCTGGGAGACGTGATTGAGCGAGTTCTTATTGCCAAGTCCGCTGTTGACAGGACGAAGAATATCTGGGAGGCCTCTTCAAAGGACCGTCTAGCTATTGACCGACGTCTACAAAAGTTGAATCGGATTCGCGAGCTGGGATCACGGCCCCCGAGCCCCATTCAAGGCTATCGGCTGCTTCCTCTCTCGGAAGATGCGAAGGAAAAGGAGCTCAACCACTGGCAGATCCTGGATCCCATTGAGCAAACATTCCCAAAGGACATGGACGTGATTTATGTTGGGCTTGACTAAATCAAATCCTCGTCCACCTAGGGCCTTCAATCCCTAGAGCGGCGCGTTCCTTCTTCTTCGTATACATATATATTTCCTTTTGTTTCGTTTTCTTTTACGCTTCTTTTGGATATGGCCTTGTGCAGCCTTTGGAATTAGGAATATTTAACGTGTTATGCATGGTTTAGCGCTTTTTAGATCGCTGCTCGTTTGAGCATTGCAGGAGGCATCAAGATCAGGGCAACTTGAATCGGATGACATGGGATGAGGAGTTTGGGCATTCGATGTGTCAAGGTGGCCTTGATAGCGAATCTGTATCCTTATTGATTGGGAGTCTACAAAATCAGGATGACGTGCAACGTTGATGTATGTATGTATTTATGTATATATATGAGATAGCTTTTCATCTCTTGTCATTTAACAACAGGAACTGGGCGGTTCCTTTTTTGGCACTTGGGTTGACAAGATGTTGGATGAGTCACGTGTCGTATCATGTGATGCATTCTAAATATATAAATCCTCCGCCAGATGTATATATCAACTATTTAAGAATCAGAAATCGCTACTGTGAGATAACTTACGCCTTTCCCTTGACCTCTTCTGACCTTTCGCTGCATTAAATTTACCAATTTACATCGTGAATTTCTTTTTATCTAAAAAAGGAGCAGGGAAGGGGCAATCACTATGTCGTTCTAAGAAGAGCCCGTCTTTTTTCTCTTCTTCAAATTTCATATTTTTGATTCATAACCCTCCCATATTGTGGTCGTGGTTCTTTCAAGTAAACACCGCTGCAGAAACATGATGTGATGAGCCGTGGTGCTTTATAAAATGAGTTTTCCAGATCAGCCCGTGGCGCATCTCCTAGGCTCCAATGGTTCGTCTTTCCTTTGCGGTCTCATTCACCTCAGACCGAGAATCATTTCATAACTAACCTCACACTCTTCAGGCGCCGTTCATGCCGTAGCTTATTCAGCTTCTCCTGGAAATTACATCCTCACCGGGTCGGCAGATCGTTCGATCCGTCTCTACAACCCTTTCCCTAGCACGTCTGTCCCCGAGATTCGTCCCAGCGCAAAGCCAGCTGTGCCACAAGGACGACTTATTCAGACATATGCTGCGCATGGGTATGAGGTTTTAAGCCTTGCAGTCGCGTCTGACAATGAGAGCTTCGTGTCCGGAGGCGGTGACAGGGCAGTATTCCTGTGGGACGTGAGCAGGGCGGTGACGATTCGGAGGTTTGGGGGCAACGCGCAAGGCCACTCGGCGCGGATCAACTGCGTGAGCTTCGCGGGTGCTGGAGACTCGCTGGTGGTCAGCGGCGGGTTCGACACGACGGTGCGGCTGTGGGATGTGCGCAGCACGAGCTACAAGCCGATACAGGTGCTGAGCGAGGCCAAGGATTCGGTGACGAGCTTGGTGGTGAGGGGGCCGGAGGTTATCGCGGGGAGTGTGGATGGGAGGGTGAGGAGCTATGATGTGCGCATGGGAGCGTGTACGACGGATGTCATTGGTGCAAGTGTGGTGAGCTTGGATGTTACGAAGGATGGCAAGGCGATGCTGGTGGGCTCGTTGGACAGCAAGCTGAGGCTGATGGATCGCGAGAACGGCACGTGTCTCCGGGCGTACGCGGATCCGCTGTGGAAGAATGAGGATCTGCGAGTGCAGTCGCTGTTGGGCGGCAGGGAGAAGTACGTGGTAGCCGGAGACGAAATGGCTGGCGAGACAGATGCCAACGGCTCGGGCAGGCTTTGGGCGTGGGATCTGCTATCGGGCAAGGTGGTGGCCAAGGTGACGGTGCCGTGGGGGCCCCAAGGCTTCGAGGCGAAGAAGTTGATTGGCAAAGACGGCAAGCCAAAAGTACGGAACAATGTCATCAGCTGTATGGCGTGGCGGGATGGAGGCTGGGGAGACCAGTTCTGTGTAGGAGGAACGTCTGGAGTGGTAACGGTTTTTGGGGCATTATAGCGTAATACGACACATGTGATGACAACTACGGGGTATTGTTACGGATTTTCAATTGGAGTTTGTTCGTTTATTTCGTCCTCCCCAAGATGTTACACTGCGGATCATGATGTAGATGCTCTCCAAGTATACATAAGGTAGCCAGAAATATAGATAGCCACACCGGCGCCGAACAACAACTGTGACCAAAGGTGGGTGGAAGTCTAGCTTCCATCACAGTGCTTTGCATGATAGAGCCATGGCAATATCATGAAAAGAGAATCTTATGTACATGTCTTGTATTTCCTGATACAGCGTGGGCACGGAGCGCGTGTGAAGAAGGTAGGTAGGTGATGGTTGGTAGGTATAGGTTGGGATTGAAGTCACATGCTTCATCCTCTCCCTTTATGAAACCGTTTCTCAGCCCATACCAGCATATTTGAACCAGTTGGGACGGCAATCTTCTCGGTGGAGGAACGGCTCACCATCCGTTAATCGGCCAGTAACACAGCCCTTGCATTTGGGAGAGTTGGGGCAGTTGAAGAAGGGGATGTGCTGGTAGCCAATATCACGGAACCTGTAAAAATAGATGTGAGTAAGAATAGCTCTACTGATGATGACTGCTTTGTGAGATAAAACGAACCAGTGAATTTTGCTAGAATCTTCAAATAGACCCAGGGCAATGCTATGAACGGGTGCATCGCCCCATCGCTCGTAGAAGAAGCCTCCCGCGCGGTCAAGGTGCTCGAAATAGTCCTCGTAAGCCTGGCTCCTCCAGAACTCCATGTCAGCAACCTCAAAGTTGCTCCAGAAGTGGCAGGTGGAGAAGCCCTGGGCCTCTCTGTTGTGCTGCGGCCGCCGGATGTCATCGACCACCCACTTGATGGCGCTGTGCTCGTGCAGGTAGCTCGGGTGGTCGGCGAGGAACTTGGCCGTCTGGGGCCAGAGGGTGGGCAGCGTGTGCGGGTCGTCGTAGAGGGTGATTGTGAAGCCGTACGTCTTGTTGTTGTCCTGCATGTAGCGGAAGACGTCGTAGTCGACGTCGCAGAAGAAATGGACCTTTGGCTCGACGCGCCAGTAGTAGCGGACGTCCTTGAGGGCGGGATGCTTGTAGAACATGCCGCTGTTCCAGCGACACATCTGGTGGTAGGACATCATGTTGGCGTACTGGACTCCGTTCTTCTTAAGCACGGCGGCTGATTCTTCAAAGATGTCCGGGTCGATCCATGAGGGCGCGTCCCAGTGTTCCTTGGGGATGAGCTCTGTGTGGTTTTGGCTGCTTGTTAGTCCACGATGATATGACCATTGGTAGAGTTGGGAACTTGGAGCTTGGGACAGCAAGCAACATACCGTAGTTGCACGTGGCGTTGGTTGCGGCGCTTGTCTTCTTCTTGAACTCTTCCGAGAAGGGCTTGTCATTGAAAAAGGTCCAGGGGTAGTTGAACTTGTTGTTCCATGTCCGCTCGAGATCTACCATGGATGCCACCATGTCGTCCACCTCTTCATTGCGGACAAGAGCTAGCAGCGTGGCGCTGACTCGATCGGTGTCTTCGGCATCGGGCGCATATTTCGCAGAGGTTCGTACGAGAGTTCCCTCGGGTTCGCCGGTGGCTATACAGCAGGCATATGTGTTAACAATACAGCTTTGCTTTTCCTCCTGTAGATCCGCCACCCTGGCTGCAGCTACTTACGATCTAAGTTGGGGTCGCGCTCAAAGTTAATGTACCGATCGCCCGGGCTGTTGTATCCAGACGAAGGTTTGAGAAGCTGATAGAGGAAGAAGCACCACAGGACGAGGGCTAGTGTGCCCAGGGCTCGAACTGGCCGGGCAATAGCCATGATGTCGAGGGCGAAGGGGGGGAGGTGATGATTGCGATATGCCCGATGACGAGGCTGCTGGATTAATTGGCCATGGGATCTCTTTTATTGAACCGGAATGAAGAGCGATGAGGATTGGGCTATTATACAACAAATTGAGGACAACGGCCTATCCGATATGGCCGGGCATCCAGTCGTCTCTGTGAATTGTCACTATTCGAGCATCGCCAGTAATTGAAAGGGGCGCTTGTTGCTTTATCTTTATGCCACCAGGCGCTAAAAAAAATGCCCTGCCGATGAGAGGTTCAGTTTAGTTGATCCTCTCCCCACAGACGCGCTAGAGACGCGCTAGAGGGGCCCGTTAAGTGCAGTGTCGTGCACTAAGCCAAACCACTGGCTTCATTCAGCACATGCAACAAGCTTCCAAGCTCCCATCCAATCTTGAATATCTATACCCAAACACCATATGGCCTTCGATTGTGCGTCTACATCAGCTCTGGTTGGCCGCCACTGCTGCTAAAGATGCCAACGACTGGCAATGGCCTACGCCGCACAACTTGGAGCCCTCACTGAGGAGCTCATCGAAGCTGCCACGGGCATTTCCAGCAAGGTGGGGAGGAAGAGGAACCTCATCAAAGGAGTATCAACAGAACGATCCGAAGGGCTGACCTTTTGAACCGCGTCCCCAGACACGAACCAGACGATACAAGGTCCTTTACGATGCCACGCTGCAGAAAATAAAGTCGCAGGCATACTTGCGCATAAACCAATTCGACGTCTGGCATACTCTTGACGGACTGGAAGAGCGCTTCCGCGTTAACAACCGAGATGACCTGGCCGACGAGTTTCGCGATAGCCTGGATAGGCTGGAAGAACATGCCACCAGGTGGCACCCAGAGATATTGGCTCTGCTTCTAGGATTATCCGACCAACCGACTTTTAAAACAAAGCTTAGCGATCTAGATGCTGTGCGACTGCGTGAAGAGGAGCAAGCAGAAACCTTTAGCTGGGAGGATGTCGCTCGGGAGGATGGCTGGGCTGAGGACGAGACTCTGTGGCAGTCGATCGATTACGCGCGCGATTCAGAAGACGAGGTTGTCGAAGAAGAGCCAGACGACGAAACACTCATCGAGGTGCCGATATATCACCCTTACGATACAGATCTCAACCTACACAAAAAGGGGAGAACTGCCACTGACTGCATCATTCAACCGGAGGACACAGAGTTACTAAAGGCTCTTCAGTCGACACAAAAATGGCGGACCAAGGTGCCTGAGAAGGACGACATTGGGACCGTTCAGAAAATTTCCATTTCAGAGACGCACATTGTCAGGGAAATCCTCTCCATGCTGCAAGGGCTGAAAACCACCCTTTTCAACGAAAACACTGGCTTGCCGGAGCCGAATTTCCACATGCAACACATCGCTTGGGAAACGTACAAATCTGTGATACACACCATTGCAGAGTCTGGCTGGCGCATCCTGCTGCTTCGGAGGTTCGTTAGCCACCCGCAGGCCATTCCACATCTCCAGGCGTTTCAAGACTGCATTGCAAAGCGACTTCGAGATTTTGATACCAAGCTTTCGCAGATCGAGGCTCGCTTTGCTGCTCCCACGTCTGAAGTCATGTTCACCCTATTGTCTGTTCACGGCGAAATTGCGCCTTGGCTACAGCCCCTGCTTGTGCTGTCCAACATCATCGCCCAGATTCAGGAGACGTCTAGATCAGATACATTCCGGTACCTTGAGCTCTTGTACGACGAAACCACATTGGCCCAGCTAAAGGATGACATGTCCACATACGAGTTTCTTGCCCGGATCTTTCTCGAATGTTTCCAAGTCTACATTCGCCCGATTCGGCATTGGATGGACGAAGGGCGCATCTCGTCAGAAAACGAAATCTTCTTCATCTTTGAAAGCCCGACCAAAGTGCCCATGAGCAACATATGGCAGGGTCGATTCAAGCTCCGCCAAACGGTAGAGGGGGCATTACACGCTCCAAAGTTTCTTAAACCTGCCGCTCATCGGATATACAATGCCGGAAAGAACATTGTCGTGCTGCGGCTCCTGGGTAAATATGATCTGGGTAACTCGTCCATCGTTGAGGAGCCATCTTTGGATTTTGAGCATGTCTGCCCGGAAGGTCTCGGTCTGGCTACGTTCCCGGATCTCTTTGGCGCGGCTTTCAATCGATGGATCCAGAGCAAGTACCGAAAAACTTCCACCACACTGAAAGATGCTCTCTACGACACGTGCGAACTCTCTTCATCACTAGACGCACTACAGGCGCTGTATCTCATGTCGGACGGGTTTGCCACGGCATCTTTCACGGATCACTTGTTCGACAAGCTAGAAAACTTGAACCCAGTCTGGTATGATCGGTTTGCTCTTGCAGGAACTGCTCAAGACGCCTTTATGCCGCTCGTTGATATAAGCCGCCTCTCTGTGAGCGTCAGTGTTCAGGGCACCCGCATGACTGTGACAGATGCCCGAGGCTCGATGAGGGCCGCTCTGCCGTATCTCAAGATTGACTACAGGCTTGCATGGCCAGTCCAGATTGTTGTCTCCGAAGAGAGCATGGGGAACTATCAATCCATCTTCACACTGCTCTTGCAGCTGCGACGAGCCATTCACATCCTCCACAAACCCAAGATTCTCGAAAACCACATGACCGATAACGAAAACTGGGACGAGCGTGCTCTGTTCTACACCGCTCGTAGAAATCTACTATGGTTCTGCACGACTCTTCAATCATATCTAGCAACGCTTGTTTTAGAACCCAACGAGCGGGGAATGCGGCGCGAGCTCATGGCGGCTGAGGATGTTGATTCAATGATTTCGGTCCACGCCACATACCTAGAGCAAATGATTGAACAAGCCTGTCTAGGAAATAAGATGAAGCTCATTCGAGAGCGAATCCTCGACATCTTGGATCTTGCCATTAAGCTGGAACTGGCTAGAGAGGGAAAAGCTGCAAAAGATGGGTCAGACCCGTCTCACTTGTTTCGACAGGAGGATGAAAGCACCGAGGGTGTGGTAAGAGAGGATGGACTCGACGCTGAGGCTTATATACAGGTGTTGGAAGAGATTAAGTCCGACTTTGATGGACATTTGAGCTTCATTTGTTCGGGACTTAAAGGTGCTGCGAGGGCCTCGAGCGATACTCAGTCTGCGAAATGGGACATTCTAGCAGATATGCTACAGGCGGGCGACAACAGGAACAGGAGATGATGGGATACAGCACAGGTAAAGAGGAGGGTTGATGAGACGATGAGTAGAAAGATACCCTTTTAGATAATATGTCCAATGGACAGGCCATTCAAGAAGAAGTCACATTGCATGTCTGAGATGGTTCTCATTGTTTGTTTGTTTTCTCTTAAGCTTTCATCTTTCTCTATGTGAAGCCCTTGTTGAGTTGGTCCGCAATGAACTTCATAATGGGAAACATTTCATCTCTGTCCCTCGGCATAGCCACTTCCTTTCTCTTCCAATTCACGACTCTAACATCCTTAAACTCCCTCTTCACAGCATCCGCCTCATCCTCACTCAGCTGGCACACGAGCACCGGAGTATCGCTCTTTTCGCGGCTGCTCAACGAGGGAACCATAGACTGTGGCAGTGGTCCGCCAATTGAAACAACGCCTTTGCACGTCTTTCCGATCTTATTCCTCGTCATCTCGTCACCATCCGAGACATCGACTATGCGCTCTACACTTCGTAGCCTGGAAGCTAATCCCAGCGCCAAGGAAGCGCCCTGTCCGAAGCCGAAGAATAGAATATCGTTCATCTCCCATCCGCACCGGTCAATCAGCGTGTCCTTGACCAGCTTCTGCATGACCAGTCGCGCGGCCTTATCAAACCCCGGATCGGGATCCAAGTCGCCCGTGCTTGTGTCGACGCTCAAATCATCGCCCCAGTGAAAATGCTGGTCTCCGGCATCGGGTGCAAAGGCGGCTGGGAGGGTGGCGGTGCCGCGGACGGAGATGGCGAGGACGCCGGGGAGGGACATGTTGCGCGCGAATGTTGCAAAGGGGAGTTCATGGTCGCCGAGGCCGTGGAAAAGGATGAGGATGGAGGTTGTTGATTCCGGAGGGGAGGGGAAATGGAGTTTGTGGGGGAGGATGGAGGAGATGGGGGAGAAGTCTGCTTCTGTGGGGATTCTTGGAGGCATGACTAGGGGAGGAGGAGGAGGAGGAGGAGGAGGGGAGATTTCTGATTCTCTCTTGTTGTTTTGGTGTTTGATGGTGGCTTTTTGTTGTGGTGGTTGCTGAGGTTGAAGGTGAATGAGAATTGATATGGTGGGGAGTGGCTGTTCAACAAAGATTGCCGGTGAGATGAAAGATGAAAGTTGAATATTCGTTTAAATGGCCCGAGGTTGGCGTTTTCACATATTCATAGTTTCGCACAGTATTGTTAAAAAGCTGTATGACCAAAGGTCAAGATGCCTGTGAAATCTAGAATAAAGCGGCATCTCACCAAGGCGTTCACGAAGCGGAGCATTGTCCCGGCGCCGGAGGGTCCACTAAAATCCAATAATCGTGATTCAAGACCCGACAAGACAAGCATCAGAGAAGCAGAACCAAATCATATCATGTAATATGTCATTTATCCAGAGACTGCTTCTATACAACCTACGACATATATATATGAAACTACAGTGCAAGCTCGAGGTATCCAGTAGTATAAATAAACCATCAAAACGCAAACAAGGGAAAAAATCATCGTCGGACTATGTGCTCCTGGGTATCCCTGGCCTTGACGCGGGACGGCCCGGCCTTCATCTGCGTCCACTCGCCTTCAGCCGACCAAATGCCGGCCTTTGTATAATCCCCGCTCGAGCTTCCTAGCATGTATGCAAATCTAAAGTACTCCGGCAGCCCGAGGGTGCCGTTTCTAGACCAAATAAAGCTGTCTTGTCGGTCGATGATGTCGTCGAAATAGCCCCGGAAGCGCTCTACGTCATTAACAAGAATGCTGATGCCGTCGTAGATCTTGCTCGGCGGCTGGTTCCAAGTGAATGTGATGTTGGAGGGGCTGTGCGGACCTTCCCCGATGTATATGACGGGCTGGGGGATGGTCGGGAGGAGAGATCCCTTTTGTGCGTCTCCCTGAAGGGCTGCGGGGGTTTCTAGCACGGGATCGAAACCCCAGCGGGCGATGCCATTGATGAACAGCCCGATCAGGATGCCCTGGTAGAGCAACGCTGGCCGAGTCTGCATACTTGTGCCGGGCAACAGCAGCAGCGCCAGAATGTAGTGGTGGAGGCGCAACTGCAGCCCCGGGAGCGTCAAGGAGATGAGAATGCTAAAGATGAACAGGGCGTATAGCTTAATATACGGGATAAACCGACCCTCTTGTCTAAAGTAAAACACTTGCGAGAGGATAATGAAAAACAGGATGATGACAATGGTGGCAAGAGCTGCTCTGGCTCCAGGCTGTTGATCAAGATCATGCTTATTGAGACGCTGGATGGGGATAAAATCTAGTGTGTAGTTGGTGAGAGCGCCCACCCAGCAGGCGCCCAACCACAGGACAGTCTTTTCAATCTGCGCAGTCAGATGTTTCAGCGTGCGGCGGACGCCCATCTTGTCGTACATGACCCATGCGCAAAACATGGCAGGAAGAAACTTGCCCAGGATGTTGGAAAACAGATCCGTCACTGTAGAATGGCCCGGCTGGTCTAGTGACATGCCGACTGCGAAGAACATGCCGGTAAACGTGGGGAAGAAGAAGAGAGCGGGCGAGGACGTGAAAAGCGACAGCACGCCAGTGAAGACGGTTGAAACAGCCAGAATGGACCATCTCTCGTCCTTGGCTCTGCATTTGATGTCGGGAACGAATCGGAACGCCAGAGGGAAGTACGAGTCGAAGGGGACGCTCAGTATTCCGTGTCGCTGGGAGCTGACGAACTCTTGGTACTGCCCAACAAGCTCGACAACGCCACAGCCTCCCTTGCCATTGGGGAAGATGCCTGCGTGAATTGCCGAAGCGCAAATGTAGGAGTCGCCGCGATAGGTGGCCAGCTCGGGATTGACGTCGTTGGACGGCCCTCCGATGACCATTGGCCGGTAAATCACTTCCTGATCGCCAACGGCCCTGGGATTCAGGACGTGATAGCTCTCGCACGAGGCCGGGCACTGGAAGGCAAAGCCGCTGCCATTGAAGGGTCTGCAGTCGTTTCCGTCCAAGCCGCATCCATTGCCCGCACTCCAGTATGTGTCGCCGCAGCTAATCGGCTGCGACTGGCCCCATCCCTCGACGGTAGAGGCGATGGTTTCCTGGCGTTTGACGAGCACAAACGTAATGACCCATATGGAAAAATACAGGAATATGGCCCAGAGGCGGTATGCCTTGGGCAGGAATCGCTCCACGAGATACAGCGGATACTCTTGCACGGCCGGGAACAAAGGCTTTATGCGATACGGCTGCGGATTGGGCGGACCTTTTGCCCATTTGCCAAAGGCGGCCAGGACGCGGCGGACCGGGTAGGGAATCTTCTTCCATCGCTTGGACGAGCGCTCGTCCTGGATGAAGCGCGGCGTGGGCGCATTGCCGTCGCTGCTGCTGTTGTCGTCGATGACTTCGAGCGTCGTCGTCCCGCGGCCGGCTGTAGCGGCCTGGACGGGGATCTCCAGCGGCGCATCGGGATGGTCAATTTCAGTGACGATAGTGCTGGACGCAGCGCCAGCGCCTGTGACGGCATCGTTTCGCTCCGGGTCGTCCTTCATGAGTGGCTCGCTCTCATCGTTGTCGTGGTAAGGCTCGAGCGGTCTCACCATGGTTGGGGAAGAAGAATCCTGCTGCGTTGGCAGGCAACTACTTCGTATTGATCGACTGACTGAATGGCCTAGGGCAGACGGGGAATTTGCCTGTAACGTAAGCTTGCAGCGAACAAAAGGTCAATCAACTGCCACTAAAAACGGATCCCAAACGCGGCCGCTCAGCCTCTAAATACGGGGGGGATCTGGTGGGTCGCCGGAAGCTCGGGAGGTTTGGAGATGGAGGATGGAAAGGACGGAGTAAGCGGCACGCGGCTGGGCCTATGGGGTGTGATTGGATGAAGCTGTCTCTGTCTGTGTTTGGCTTGGGGATATCACGCGCGAACTGAGGTCTTTTAAAGATCACGAATCGCAGATCTCTGGGGATGATCGTGTTTGCAGTTGCCGATGCTATTGAGCAGTGCCGAAGAGACACAAGGCGAAGGCGACGCTCTTGATTCGGTGGTTTTTTGATGTTGCATTCGATGGTTGACGGATGCGTTCATGCACTATGCGCTGAGGGCTTCAATAAACTACCTACTAACTGGAATAGACTCTCGGAGATAAAGGAGAACAGCAGGCGAGATACGTGTATTTACAGTACATACTCATATGAATACGAAGTCTTTCTCGGCAAATCCTCTGGCTTCATCTCGCTACTAAAAGGCATCCAACCGGCATTTGATGCGTATTTTCTACTCCATTAAAGGGTCCGTCTCTTTGAAGATTCGGGATTTAGACGCAATGGCTGCAAGAGGCCAAGCGCATGTGCTAAGTGTCGGTAAAATATCGGCAAAAGATAAGACGAACAAAGTGTCTTATCAGTCAAGCACCGCAGCCAGGATGAATTGTCGAGAGTATGAGTATTCTCCATATCACAGAAGGATTGTGAGATTCGATCATTCTGTCGTTCGAGCGTTTGATGCATAGACTATAAAGTTGATGCGTTCATCGTGACTATTTTTTCATATACCGTTTGTTTCATAGATTCATTTGCAGTTTACTTCCTTATCCTCTTATTTTTTTCTCACTCTCCAACCCTGGAGGGGTGGCAACTCAAAATGAGCGGCCCAAGCCTTGAGAATTCTTCCGACATGTCTGGCCGCAAAATCTTCGAGCTCATTAGCTCTGCCGCCGCCGATGGCTCTGCCGCCCGTCTTGGAAAGTTGTCTTTTCCTGGCAAAAAGGTCGTCGAAACACCAAACTTCTTCGCAGTCACATCCCGCGGGGCGATTCCCCATCTCACTCCCGACAACCTCAAGAGACACACATCTGTAAACGGAGTGTATATGGCGCTGGAAGACTGTAAGTCATCAAATCTACCTATACTTATGACTAGGTCATTGACTGATCGTATCGGGTAGTTATTGAGAAAAAGGAGCCTCCCATTCAGCACACTCCTGGCAGAGAGGGTTCACGCCGGTTGCATATATTTACAGCCCTGCCGTCAAATACTCTTTCAGTACTTGGTCCACGGCGGTGCCCGGCCATTACAACTCCGTTTGGAAACACGCCCAAGGCTCTCGCCGTCTTCACTTCTACCGGATTCCGCAATGTGACGGTGCCTGAATTTGCATCTTATGTCCAGGCGCTGCAACCTGATATCGTGCTGCCAATGGCCGACTTGCCACACACCAGCGCGACACCCTCGTCCAAGAAGCTGGTGCGAATGGTGGAAAGGACCGAAGTATGGTTGGATGAATTCTTGGGCAAGCTGGCATCGTCTAAATCTACAGATTCTTTGGATAGCTCTGTGTTTGCCCCAGTGCTTCCAGTCGAGTATCCCATCCAGTGGGACTATTTGAGACATCTATCAGAAGATGTGCTTGGAAAGCTAGATGGCCTGGCGGTTTACGATGCAAACCTGCTTCCTGACCTTGTCAACTATCCTCCGTTGGCACCTCTTCCTAAGTTGTGCATGGATCCTCCCAAAACTCCACAAGAGGTTCTGCGTCAGATTTCCCTTGGCATCGACATCTGTACATTGTCCTTTGCAAATATCACTTCTGATGCTGGTGTCGCCATGACATTCACTTTTCCATCCCCTAGCGTTGATGAAGTACGACCTCTCGGAATCAACATGTGGTCTCCAGAGCACAACACAGCCGTTGTACCCTTGGTAGAAGGCTGTAAATGCTACACTTGCTCTAAACACCACAGAGCCTACCTCCACCACCTACTCAATGCCAAAGAGATGCTGGGTTGGAACCTCCTACAGATCCACAATCATCACGTCGTTAACGAATTCTTCGTGGGAATTCGCGAGGCTCTTGCTAAAGGGCAAGCGGTCTTCGGGGAGGAAGCGCGTCGGTTTATTGCTTCATATGAGCCTGTGTTTCCTGAAGGCACAGGCGAAAGACCTAGGGCGAGAGGATATCACTTTAAGAGCGAAGCGGACGCAGACAGGATCAACAAACCGGCTTGGAAAGATTTAGAAAAGGGGACAGCATCGGCACAGATTACGAATCTTGCGGAAAGCGGTACACCTAGTGGGGAGAGTCAAGATGCCACACCGGTGGCGGTGGTTAATGTGGAAGAGGCCGTAGCAACGTTGAGTATAAATTAGCATGAATAGACGATAAACGAGGTAAATAATAAAATGATAAAAGATAGTAGTCTCTTAATGGCTTTTTGTGAATTCTCGGTGACTATCTGCATAGTATGTTTACAAGAGATTAAGCAAACACAGATTATCCTTGTTATTTGTATAGTAACTTTGATCTTGGGTTACTATTTTTATGCTGCTACAGCCGTCTCGGCCTTACCACATAGGTGATTTCCATTATGCAAGAATTCACTGGCAATGTCAAGATTATGGATGACACGATGAACAGTGGTAAAGTCTCGATCCGAATCAATCCACACAGCACCAACCAGCGCCTCAGCAGTGGAGGCGCCTGTACCAGTAGTTATGACGCCCTTTTGACCCGGATGCAACTTGACAAATTGACCGATTTCCCATTTCTTCAGCGTCTTGCTCAAAGCAATGTTCGAGATTTCGGCCACGCACATTTGATGGCAGCTTTCTGTAAGCTCATATCAGCTTGGAAGAGAATTCAAGATGGTTCATGGATAATATAGGAAGCTCACGAGTAGTTTTGCCATCGATGATGCCGTCGTCGACTACGGCGAGTCGGAGGACGGCGTCTCCAATCATGGCTAGACCTTTGTTTCCATGGGCTCTGGGGCTTTGGCGGGTGGTTGTTGGATCTGTGCCTGGGGCTCGGAGAGCTTCTTCGAGAAGCTTGGGGGTTCGAAATTGGTATTGGAGGATGTCTTGTACGGTTTGATTAGACATGCTAGAGGAGAACTGCGTGAATTTACTCAAATTCTATGTTTCTTTTTGAGTCGCATTGTGCCATCAGGCCCCCTCTCTCTCCTCGATTGCACAAGAGGGTTTATATGGTATGGGGTTTCCATGTAAGTGAGTGCATTCCAGAGAGATGGAGAAGAAGCTGGCCGTTGGAGTTTGGAGCATTCCAGCCCCCTTTACGAAGCAGAGCGGCGGTTGCTGTATATCTGCGAATTACTGTATTTTGACGTCATTAAAGCTTCCGATTTCAAAGTATCTCAGCTAATGATTTATTCAATCGACTTTTACAATAGCCACTTGCATGTATTCGACTAGACGATGCGATGAGCCAAGAACAGATGAAGTGAGGAGTGTAAACTCGAAACGAACTTCAGCCTGTTTTTTATTACGCGGCTGCTGTAATAGTTATAACATTGAATATCTAGGTAGGTAGATCTCAACTGAAGAGCAACTGGTACGTAGTCGGTAGTGAGAATGGATGCTCCTGCCTTGGGATGCCTCCCTCGATGCTGGGGATTAAGTAAGCCGCGATAACAACTTCAATCCATATACTTCATACCCCGTAGATGCAAAGGCAACAACGGCATTAATGAAACACGACGATGATAGTCACCCATGTGGCCACGATCCTACGCCTAAAAGGCTGCCGACCGGGCTCTGTCCGAAAAGCACGCGCCCCGAATTAAGCTTGAACCAAGGTTAAATATCAAGACTATCGACTGATGGACCGAGCTGACGAGTGAGTCTGCGTGGGCCCAACTCAGAGTCGACAAACGCAGCGTCGGTCAACGGATTGAGACGAGGTTGGCCTCTAGTTCGTCTTGACGTGGGCTATTTGTCAATGCTGCCCACTTAAACCGGCCTCGTTGGACGTATCGGTATCGTCCGTTGCGTGAGAGCGACCGAGAGGCTGTTCAGCTCTGGATGCCGTGCAACCTTGCGACATGCAAGCCGGGATGTGCTGACGCCGGGGTTTATACTTGACGGCGACAGTATTTCCTGCCTGCCATGCTTATTTTTGAAGCAAGGACAAAAGAAACAGCACAATACGAGGAAATCCTACAGTACGAGATCGACAGCAACGCAAACCTCTTCAATTTGGATCTGCATTGTCCTCTTATTATACCGCGGGGGCGAAGGTCACCTACCCATCCAGAAAACAAGAAATAAGCATAACAATAACAGAAAAACCTAGTCTAACACGTCTAATTCCAGCAGTACCACCTCAGATGGCTGCCGGTGCCTGTCGGCTTGTGGAGTCTGTGAACTTTTGAATTGTCGAATCGCAGGGCAAACACGAACCAGGGCCAGCTCTGAGCGCCCAATGAAATGATGACCTCAACCCACGGGACGAGCGCCAAGATCGACAGACCTTCGGCTGCAGACGAAAGTCCCTTGAAACCCGCGAACTAACGACTTTGACGGATGAGGTTATCAAGACTGCACGGTTGCTTTACTTCTCCACGACTGGCATCATTCTGGCGGACGAGATCCGGATACGCCAAGCTGGGCCCTGGATTTTGCTAGAGAATGCCAAGAGCTACGACCATCGCCGCCTACTGCAGGGCCTCGGACTCTCGATTTTGGCAGGCATCGAGACGACACGTGCTTGTGTGCTCGACAATAAGGGGACTGCTTCTTGTGTCGCCACGTTGCTTGGCATCGCGATGGAAGAAGCATGGCTTCGAGCACACCCAAGTAGACAGCAGGCGTCTGCAATCTGCAACGTGCATTTCCCCCACGCGAGAAAGGGCCCGGTTGAGCCAATGGGGTATCATAGAGCGATGGATGCTACCTCACATTCGTGTATTCGCCCATAGCCGGTGGTTCTAGCCCAGACGCCATGGACTGACAATGCAGGGATGATGATGCCCTTCGACCAAGTTGCAAGGTGCCTTGCATCCCTCTCCGTCTGCTCAATGCTGCACACGGCCAGGGAAGCTAACGGAATTGTCCGCTGGCTGCAACATTTTGCGTTGCTCGGCATAGTCGTCACGCGAGGACCGGATCGCCCGTCATATTTGTATATAAGGGACTGACGAGCCCTTGTCATGCCGCTCCTCTTGCTTGCCCCCCAGCTGCCCTGCAGTCATTGCACTCCTCAATTCCTTGTATAGCTTGGATAGCTGCCACAGCCCAAGATGATTGCCAAATTTGGAGTTGTCAGCCTCCTCGCAGCCTCGCTGTCGGGCGTCTCTGCCCAGACCTTCCAGCGCCTGGGAACATGCCCGACTCTGGGATGTGTTCTGCCTCCCGACCAGAGCGACTTCCTCCCCGGCCAGCTGTTTGACTTGCGTGTCGAGGTTCACGCTCCCGTCAACGGCTCCGAGGCCGCTCACAAAGGCAAGCCCGACGAGAAGTTCAAAGTGACCATCTCCAAGGACGGCGGCAAGGCCAAGGACTTTGCCAAAGCCTTTGACATCACGGAGCCTTCGCTCGAGAAGTGGACGTTCAACTGGTATGAGGACCTCTTTGCTCAAGACGCCCACAAGCCCTCCGTTGTCAACGTCGCCTCCAAGGCGTACCGTAAGATTGCCCTCTACGAGCCGGGCACTTACACCGTCACCTTGAACTACTACAATGGCGAGAAGACCACCGCCAAGTGGGTTGTCCGCGACCTCCACACCAAGAAGAGGGCCAAGAATGTCATCTTCTTCATTGGTGACGGCATGACCACCAACATGGTATGTTTGCGATTGAGTTGTGAGCAGCCTGATCTCCTAATGCGCTAACCATTGATGCTGGTGTAGATCACCGCTGCCCGTCTCCTCGGACACCAGAGCATCAACGGCAAATACCAAACTCGTCTACAGCTTGACGAGTTCCCCGTCCTGGGCCACCAGATGACACACTCCATTGACAGCTACATTACCGATTCTGCCAACTCTGCCTCTGCTCTCTACTCTGGTCACAAGAGCACCGTCAACGCTATGGGGTACAGTCTTTCCGGCTAGAAAGGGCATCATGTCCGATAGAAAGCTAACAGATATGTTTAGTGTCCACGCCGACTCCTCTCCGAACGCCTTCGATGACCCCAAGGTTGAGACCATTGTTGAGATCTTTCGCCGCGTCCGCGTAAGTATACAATAACCAATGCGAATATGATGAGCAATTGGCTAACACTCAGCCTTAGAAAGGTGTCTGGGGTGCTGTTTCTACCGCTTTCCTTGCCGATGCCACTCCCATTGCTCTCAGTGGCCACACTCGCCGTCGCAGCGAGTACGGCTCTCTGATTGACCAGGCCCTCCACGGCATGACCAACTACTCCTGGACCAACCACGGTGGTCCTGATGTCTTCTTCGGTGGCGGTGCTGAGCAGTTCCTCCCCGGTACCGGTTCTTACCAGGGCAAGGACTACTATGCCGAGTTCGCCAAGAAGGGCTACTCTGTCAGCACTGACAAGAAGTCCCTCCTCGCTGCCGACAACAACAAGAAGGCTCTTGGTGTCTTTTGCCAGGGTGTCATGCCCGTCTGGCTGGACCGCAACATCTACAAGGACAACCTCAAGGCCTTCAAGAACGACCCCAAGGGTGGAAAGGGACCTGCTCTTGACCTGCCCGGTCTCAAGGAGATGACCCTCAAGGCTGTTGATATCCTGCACAAGCGCGGTGGCAAGGAGGGATTCTTCCTCATGTCCGAGGCTGCTTCCATCGACAAGCAAATGCACGTCCTTGACTACGATCGTGCTCTGGGTGATCTTTTGGAGCTCGACGACACCGTCCGTGCTACTGTTGCCAAGCTCAAGCAGCTGGGTATCTATGAAGAGACGCTGATTGTCGTATCTGCTGACCACGGCCACGGCTTTGAGTATGTAACCTTCATCTTTATCCTCTCCCCTGTCTCCCTTGCTATATCATTTGACTGGCCACTAACACTTTTAAACCTTACAGCGTCTTTGGCTCTGCCGATACCGAATACCTGACCGCCCAGAAGGACGAGCGCGCCAAGCGCAATGCCATTGGCGTCTACGAAAAGTCTGGTCTCTCCCAGTACACCAAGAAGGACGGCAAGATCAGCTATGGCACTGGCGTCAACTTCCCTACCAACTGGGAGCCTCGCTACGCCATTGCCGGTGGTGTCGGTGCTGCCCCTGACCACCGTGAGAACTACAAGGTCCACAAGAACGGCCCTCGCCTGCCCGCCACTCCCATTGGCAGCGAGTACTTTGTCAATCCCGAGGACGGCGTCGACGGCATCGTCATCAACGGAACCATTCCCACCTCCGAGGCTCAGGGCGTCCACTCTCTGACTGACGTGCCCGTCTTTGCCCTTGGCCCTTGCCAGGAGACTTTTGGCGGTACTTACAACAACGTCGACATCTTTTACAAGATCGCTAACTGCTTGGGTCTGGCTCATGGCAAGGGTGACTGCTAGTGGATGTTCTTGTGGGAGATTTAGAAGGTATATATAGATGAAAGCGTTTGTCACGATAATGCGCTGTATTTAATTTACGATTTAAAAGAAGAGAGGAAATATAACTTAATCGAATTTTGCAATCGCGGTTCTATTGCTCGAAATGTCTCATGTGAATCTAAACTTTTTGTGAGCCAGTACGTGGTATGCCCTGAAGGCCATCAGATCTATCCTTTAGCAACGTTGCCATCTTTGTTCTTGTCGTGATGCTTTTAGGGGAGGGGAAGAAAGAGAGAAAGAAAAAAGCCGCCTGCTGGTTACCAAATGAATGGAATGATAAGTTCATCCACTCCAGTGTAAAAAGAGACAACAAGGGGGAAATAGGAAAAGTAAAACGTTCGAGAAGATGCTGAAATCGTGTCCTCAAATGTAGAGAGTGATGTTAAATTCGCAACGGTGTCAACTTTTCGAGAGATTCTTTCTGCACAAAGGAAAAAAACAAGGACGAGATCTCACCGCTACTGGTAAAGATGGGCATAGTGTTCGCGCCAATGGTCAGCCGGAGACTTCTAGTCGGGCTTTGTGGCATTCATCACAGAAATGATCCCCGTCAGTCCGCGCGCGTCCAACTCCTCGACGCGGCGGCCGTCCTTGTCGACCTTGTTGGCCAGCGAGGCGGTGTGAATCCAGACACTCTTAGTGCCGTGGACGGAGAGCTGGGCCACGGACTTGTGGACGTTGTTGCGGCGGACGCCGCCGCCGGCTATGACCTGCAGGCTGCCGGGGGCGGCGCGGTGGCAGATTGCGTCGAGCTTCTCGAGGTTATCGTGCGCGTTGCCGATGCCGCCCGAGGTCAGGACGCCGTCGAAGCCGCAGCGGACGAGGATGTCGACGCCCTTGGACCAGCGCTCGCTGGCGGCGATGGGGTCGAAGGCGCGGTGGAAGACGCAGGGGAAGGGGCGGGCGGCGTCGATGAGGAGTTTGCAGCGCTCCTCGTCGATGGTGACCGTGAGGTCTGGGTACTTGGCGAGAGTGGAAGGCTTGGTCTGGAGCTTGAGGATGCCAAAGACAAAACCATCGCCGCGGATGGGGTTCATCACTCTGGTGGCCTTGAAGTTGTGGATGGCTTGCTCCATGAGAGCGATCTCGGCGTCGGTGTAGATGAAGTCTTGGAGAGGGTCATATTGAACTTGGACCTCGACCTTTTCTTCCTCTTCCGCTTTCTTCTTCTGTTGGTCTTGTCCCCCTTGCTGGACGGGAGTGCGAGGCGGGCCACGAGGGCGAATCATGACGCGGACGGCAATTTCAAGCTGCGAGGCAATCGAGGTCAGCTCCTTGACGGGGGGCGTGAGGCCGCCTTCATCGTACGAGCCTGGAGCGTTGAGCTCGATGCGTTTGGCGCCCATGGCTTGAGCCTCAAGACCGGAGGCGCCACTGAAGACTGCGACTTCGCAGTTGAGCTTGGTTGGCTGTCCAAGATCGATTGGGGTGGGCATTGTGGCGTCCATAACGAAAATGTGCCCAGGTGGGAGGTAGAGATGCGAATCTATGTGTTTGGCTGTTGAGGCTTAGCAACGAAACTTTGATGTATGAGGATGAAGGTGGTGAGGGAGATGAGGACGGAGATGGAGATGATAGAGATGGGAGAGGATGAAAGAAAACACCTTTTGCCTTGTAAAATGAAGAAGATAGGAAGGCTTAAATAGGCGGCGTCATCTCATATTGGTTGAGCTGATGAAAGACGGTTGCAGATTGAACAAAGATGTGAAACTGCTGTGAAACTGAAATTAACAGAAGAAATAATTGTGCCGTCAAGCTATTGTTCGATGTCGTGATTGTTATTGTTGAGGCGGTTTCAGATGTTCAAGGAGAGGATATCGAACATAACATTGAAAGGTGGGGGGTTGATTTGGTTGATTGATGAGTTTGAGGCGGGGGAGGGGCACGGCTTATCAGTTGCAGATAAGAAATTTTGCAGAAGAAAATGTTCAAGGACAGGCACATTGTCAAATATCACAATGAGAATCATTTTGTTACAGAAAGTGGTTGAATAGGATGAATAAATGAATGGGGTGTGATCTGATACTGTACTGTGTTGGATAGGAAGTGAGCTCAGGCAAGAGACAGCATCTCACTCACAATGCGCCATCCGAGCTTTTTGTCTGCAACTACACACTCCCCAACATGCAGCTTTCCGCATACCAGCCATCATGTTCTATCGGCGCTTATACCTGGCATTTCTATTGCATTTATCTTATTCCTTTGTAACATCCATGCTTCATTCAGCATATTAGCAGCAATGCCCAGAATCCACATCAAAAAGAGATTGAAAGAAAAAGAAAGCTTTGGAGGGGGTGGCGTTTGTCCGTCTCGCCGCATCTGGGGCCGCCTTGACTAAAGTTCTGGCCTCTTCTCCTCTCTTCTTCTAATTTCATGCATTTTAACGCTCATCTTCCCTTTGAGTGGAGCTCTAGAGCAATACAATGCAAGAAAAACTATCGGTGACCTGCTCTCGCTATACAAATTGCATGTCCTCGTCGAGTACCGCTCCCCAACAACTCCCATCTCAATTTTTTCTTTTTTTCTTTAGGCTGCCCTTTCCAGTGGACCCTCCGCTGCAAGAGCTTCGAGTCAGTGGACCCTTCACCAAGCTCCAGCGGGTTTACTGCACCCTGGTTTTGCCTATTCGAGCCCAAGGCCGCCCAAGTGCCAGGGAGCCGATGCCGTGCTAGGCAAGGTACCGCGACCAGCAACTGTAGCTCCGTCCACTCACACCCAAGCAAATCTGCCTGCAAGCTCTTTCGACGTCCATCCATTTTTTTTCTCTTGCATGCCATTAGGTACATGTAGATACTCCATACTACTCTCGGCATTGATTTGTTTCCTTCAGCAAGCTGAGAAAATTTTCTCCTACCCCATCAGCCAGCCCAGACGTCATACTAATCCGTCGGTACCTGATTTCCACCATACCTTACCTCAGGCACTGCTAGGTACGTACATACCAAGGTATAAAGCACCAGCTCCCCCTCCGTCCCAAAACTTACAACCGTCAAACCACCAGCTCTTTTTATTATCGCAACACTACACACACCTCACTACAGTCGCCATGTCTGCTGAGAACATTGACAACCCCATCTCCTACGAGATCCTGGAGGACCTCGAGGATGATTTCGAGGAGGTTGAGCTTGAGCTTCGTAAGTCACCCCGCGCCAGCATTTGCCACACACCTGAACAAATATGAATCTTGCCCATTCATTCATTCTTCCACTTCACCTTGGTGAAAAGTGATGAGATAGAGGCGGAAAGGCTGTTGCTCTTAACATGAACCTTGTTGCTTCGCAGTCTCGGCGGCAAGATACTCGTCGAGATCCTGCCCGACATGTCTTGTTTCCCGCTGCGAATGGCATAAGAAGAAGAGTGAACTATTTGAAGCCTCCACCATTCTATTGATTGATGTGAATAAATGAGCCGCAAGCTAACACTATCCTCGCCTCGCAGTCCGCCAACAGGCCAAGCTCACCAAGGACCTGTACGCCAAGCGTGCCAAGGTCGTCTCTGAGATCCCCAACTTCTGGCCCCTCGTCTTCGAGCAGGCCCCCCCGGATATCGACGAGTACGTCCAGCCCACCGACTCAGCCGTCCTCCTGAGCTCTCTGGTCAACCTGTCTGTGGAGCGCTTTGAGCTGCCCAACGGCGACCCTCGCAGCATCTCCATCAAGTTCGAGTTCAGCGAGAACGAGTACTTTGAGAACAAGGTTCTCGAGAAGAAGTTCTGGTGGCGCCGCAACAAGGATGGCTGGGCGGGCCTCGTCAGCGAGCCTGTCAAGATCAACTGGAAGGCCGACAAGGACCTGACCAGCGGCATGCTGGACCTCGTCTACCAGGTCTGGGAGGACGACAAGGCCGGCAAGGGTGACGACACCGAGGCCAAGAAGAAGCTCAAGAGCCAGATGGAGAGCACCGGCCTCGACGGCGTCAGCTTCTTCGCCTGGTTTGGCTTCCGCGGCCTGAGCATCTCCGAGGAGGAGAACCAGGCTGCCCTCAAGGAGGAGCAGGAGAAGCGCAAGGCCCGCAAGGAGGGCAAGGAGGTCGAGGAGGAGCCCGAGGAGGAGGACGAGGATGATGATGACGACGAGTACGAGATGGAGATCTTCCCCACCGCTGACGACCTTGCCGTCTGCATCGCCGAGGATCTCTGGCCCGGCGCCATCAAGTACTTCTGTGAGTACATTCACGCCTCTGACAATTCATCGGAGGAATCGGAGGATGCATGAACAACAGTGCTAAGACGTCAATAGTGGCGGCCCAAGAGCAGGATGCCCTGAGCGACATCAACTTTGAGTCTGACGAGGAGATGGACGAGGATGAGGATGATGCCCAGCCCTCCAAGAAGCGAAAGGCTTAAGCGTGCTCATGATTTAACGATTTCTTTTTGAGTTTTCTTTTTTCTTTGGATTGATTTTTTCCTCCTCTCTACTTGGACGAAACCAGGCAAAATATATACAGCCACTTGGGCACGGGATGGAAATAAAAAAAAGTTGACGATGATGATGGGAAAGGGTTCTTACACAAACAAAATAAGGGAGCTCAGAAAATGAGCAGGATGGATGCTTTTGAGATAGAATCAGATTGGCAAAAGGCGGCGGGCAAACAATGATATCACACACATACCCCCCCAACTTCTGCCTCCTTGTCGATGTTGACAATGTGAATTAACCAATTAATTACAGCTGTTTATTTATCAATGTTTACATCGGTTTGATCTGTTCAGGAGCCATCACGGCTAGTACCGTTTGGCATCGGATTCAAGTTACTTGCTATGATGTAAACGTGACATTGACAGCCCCTCTCCAACCTCGCCTCAGCTTTGGGCGTCATGATTCCCATTTCTCCAATTCCCTCCAAATTCGACATGCATGTCCATTTGCCATTTTGACTCGGAGTAATTCCTGAGTAACAAAGTCCCCCCTCATTTTCCATTTGGACCAATCCGCAGCTCGGCATACCATACTAAGTCCGTTGACAGACACAAGGCCCGTCATCAACGAACCTTGAATAACACAAGAATTTGTCATCCATGAGAAATGCAACTTTGATGCAACCTTGATGCATTTCCGACTTGCTACATCGGAATATTAAATCTTGAATGTCTGCGATTGGACGGAGCTGTTGGTGGGAGGCACGTGGTTTGTGATGCAATGGCAGAGCTATAAACTAATTCTTGTTGCCCGCCTTGCCTCTATTTTGACGCTATGAGACTTGTTCTATCCTCACTGCTATTGAGAACGCGACCAAGTGTTTTTTATTTGCATTTACGATTGAATTTCAGATACAATCCGATACGCTCGATTCAAGCGACTCAAGTACCTGTACTTCCCAATCTAAGCAAAATTCATCCTGCTTCAATTATGGCGACGCCGTGGCAGATTCGAGTCCCCGCCACTGATACGGGCTTGTTGAGGTGGGCGCAGACGGAAGAGTCTGCCGCAAAGGTCTCTGAGCTTTTACAAAAGGATCTAGAGGTATACTCTTCTCTCATTAAATCTTGACCAAATAATAAACTAACTGAAGTAATATAGAGCCACCATGTATTCTTCAATGCGGAAGGCTTTCATAATCATGTAAGCTCTCTCCAGTTGGGCTCATAATATATCTCCATTTTCGTCTACTCTACCCTTCATATGAGATCCCCATTCATCATTTCTGGGTTTCAATCAAACTAAGAGAATCAAAACTAGACTGTTCATCTTCTCCTCTCTCTCTATGCCACCGGCGCCTCCCCCAGCGTCCTCGAGCAAGCCTACGCTGAGAACCACTCCTATCAAATCAAGGCCATGAATACTCATCCTGATGTCGTCAAGGAGCTCAAGAGTGGGTGGTCAGCAGATTGTCCGTACCTCGGAAAGGGAAAACACTATCCCGACTTTCTGAAATTCTTTCAAGACGAGATTGAGGAAAAGGGGTGGGAGAAGGTTCTTCTGGAGTATGTGTTCAAGGGAGACGAGAGAAGTGAGGCCATCTATGGACGCCTCTTTGCTGGTATGTGTTCAAGCAGCCTTCTACTACCTATATGTCAAATCCCAACACAATACGATGTTAATATGACTCCATCCAGGCTTCTTACACCCCCTTATTCAACTCATGTACGGCATCGAATGGCACCAACCCGCCATTGTAGCCGAAGGCCTCGCCCAAGCCGCCGTCCACGAAAACCGCGTCGGCGCGTTCCTCACAAAAGTCGAGCAAGCCGCCTCCTCTCAGTCCCAATCACAATCAGCCCAGAGAAGAACTCCCCTGCCCGAGCTCTTCGAGTCCGTCGGGCAGTACAGCGAAAAGCTCGCCACGAGTGCTCAGTACGGGGATTCCAACAAGGTGTACGACGGCGTCTTTGTGCGTGCTCCCGATGAGGCGCTGGAGTTTTTGAAGCAGATTCGGGTTGGAGAGGATGAGCTTGAGGAGCAGTTGGCGGAGATGGTTCATTCGTGTGCGTATGTTGCTGCTACGGCGGCTTTTCATCCGCCGAATGTTCCCAAGTTTGACTTCTTCTTGATGTAAGCCCCTCATCTCCTCTTTCCAGAACTACATGTTTTGTTCTACTTACTAACAATCGAATTCCCTAGTCATCATCTCAACTCATCGCCCCTTTTCGTCACCCTCCTCTCCTTCGATTGGCTCACTCCCGCTCAAAAGGCTCGCATGCTCGAATGGAAGATCCGCCTCGACATCGTACAGTACATCGCCCGCGGATGTCCGCCGCTACGTCTCGACGCCCTCAAATCGTTTACTTCAAAGGACAGCACTGTGGCTTCCGTGACAAAGCCTGAAGATCTGCTTTCGCGGTTTCACGAGATTCTCGACGATGGACATACCATCAAAGTCGTCCGCGCGTTCTTCATCGCTCAGAAATTATCGCAAAAGTTTGCTGATAGGCCGTGGATTCGCATAGCGGATGACGAGACGTGGTTGAAGATGCATCAGGTCTTGTTGCAGAGCACAGAGGGTCCGCAGGAACCCTCTCTGTGGGTGAGATCTGCTGGATTTGACGATGCGTGGCAAAATGTGCCCAAGGAGGCCGATGGAAAGCTGTAATCCTTCAAGTCGACACTGTAGCGTCATCATGGCTTAAGGATTTTTGTTCATTTTGTGTATTTGTTTTTAGCTCTAATGTAAATAAAACCCATATATGCTCCTTATTCAAGAATATCAAGTTTAATCATCCATGCCCATCCACTCATCTTCACCATCGTCATCAGATTCCCCGCCCGTGCCATTCATGATCGTATCGATCGTCTTCTGCTGCGCGCTCGTCAAGTACACATCGCCATTACCGTCCTTGTCGTCCTTATTATCAGCCTGGCTCAACAAATAGTCAACCATGTACACGTTCTCATCAGCCAGGCGCCGAATCTCATCCCTCATCTTCACAACCGCACGCGACACCACGCGCAGCTCAACGTCCACCTTTCCGCGGTTAGCCGTCAGCCAAGCGCCGTGCTTGTCAACCAGCGCCTTGATCCACAGCAAGCAGAACTCAATGTGCGGAGATTCCTCCGTCTGGGCAGCCACGAAGCGGAGCAGTCTCGGGACATAGACGATGGGGAGATCGGCCACAACCAGAGGGATGTCGGCTGGAGGAACGGCCTGGAAGACTCTCTTGATGAGGCCAGCTTCGTTGAGTCGGAATGCCATGACCAGCGCCTTGAGGTAGTCCTTTTCATTCTCCATCACGGCCAAAGTCGACGCAGGCGTAATCTCAATGTTGAGATCAAACGGATCAAACTGCAGCGTGTGGTCCAAGCTGTAAATGAGCAAGCCCTCCGTCGAAGCAGCGCAAAACGCTGTACCGGCAGGCGAAAAGGCGACTCCCGTAACCCGAACCTCGGGCCTCTGCTTCCTCGCCGAAGGGTCACCGCCACGCTTCGATCCGGGCAGGCTCGCGTCAAAGCGGTCTTCACGGTCGGATGCCTCTCCCTGCATGTCAATCTCTCCCACGGCGCCGGCCTCGGTCAGGAACTTGCTGTTGAGGAACTCTTGTGTTCCGGATAGAGACAGGTTCACGCTGACGGTAAACTTCTTGAGCAGCACCATGGTGGACACGGAGTAGAGGCAGATGTATTTGCTGTTGCCGCCGGCCAAGAGACAGCTTCCGTCGGTGCTGTATCTGATTGTGCTGAAACTTTTGTTGCCACCAATGTTCGCAGCAGTTCTCCGGTCTGACATCTTTCGTCCTCCGGATACGTCGCGGCGCCCGTCGAGACCCGCCGTCTGCTCAGCTTCTGATACTGACCAAAAAGTCAATTGGCCATCAATTGTGGAAACTGCCAGTTGAAGGGAATCTGGTCTAACGGCAATGTCGAGAATGTCGGCCTGCAGCTGCAATGGCTCGCTTGTCTGTGTTCTGTTGAAGATGGACCAGATTCGTGCTGTCCTGTCCCAGCTTCCACTCACCAAGGAGTTGCCATTTGGGGTAAAAGCCAGCGCAGACACAGGGCCCTCATGACCAGCCAGCCGATCAAGCAGTTGGCCAGTCTGCACTGACCAGATGTGAATGTCAAATGAGTCCAATGATCCTGCGGCTACTACTTCGCCACTAGGGTCAACAGCCATGCTTGTGAAAGAAAGCCTTGTTGGGGCTGTAAAGGTACGGAAATTTCGATATCTGATGAGATCCCAAGCCCGGACGGAGCCATCGAGACTTGACGTGAAGAGGACATTTCCCTTTTTGGCAAACTCACAAGCCGTGACGCCGCTGGTGTGTTCCGTGAATGTGACGATACAGAAACCAGATTCAATGTCCCACACCTTGATCTTGCCATCATCAGCGGTAGTAATGATTCTCTGACCATCTGGCGAGTAGACGAGAGAGTTTATTGAGTCGAAATGACCCTGTTGTTTGAGGATATACGACTCCGACTGCCACTCCCAGACTAGCAGCTGCCCCAGCTTTGAGGCACCAAAGGCTAGCCACTCTCCGCTCTGGTTGATCGTCACAAAGTCAACGTCGCTCTGAGAGATGCTCAATTTGTGGATGTTGTTGAAGTCGGGCATTTCGTAGAGACTGAACAGGCCGTTGGATAGACCAGCTACTAGGAGGTTCGTTTCGGCGTGGAAAAAAGCACATCGCACGTGTGCGCTGCCTTGCATGAAGTAATGTCTCTCCACAATTCGCCATCTCATATCCGACTCATCATCACTGTCATCCTCATCCTCGTCATCTTTTGAAGAGTTGAGCGGCTTAACATATTTCCAGGTAAAGACTGCACCATCTTTGCTGACTGTGTAAATCGACTCTTGGTCTCCGGAAAACCATGCACCAATGACGGTTTGCTTATGGCCACCCAGGACGGTAGGGATGAATCCTTCCTCGGCCTCCACACTCCATATCCTTGCCGTCAAATCTTTGGAGGCTGTCAAGAAGAATCGGGAGTCGCTGGACCACTCGATATGCTGGACCGAGTCGAAGTGACCGGTGAGGGTGCGGCGCTTTATAAAGGGAGCAAATTCCAGCTCTCCGTCGGCATTGGTATCCGGAGTTGAAGGCACATGCCAGACCTCGACTTTGCGCCCCAATCCCACCACGAAGTATCTGCCTGAAGGTGAAAACGAGAGCGCTGTGACCTGCGACTTGAAGGAGAAGTGATAGATGGACACGCGGCGGGGAACGTTGGTCAGGATCGCATGGCCGTCTTCGTCAACGGTGAGAAGGAGGTTTCCGCGTGGGGAGAGGCCGATTCGAACAATATTCTTGCGATGGGCGAATGGCAGGGTATGGGATTTGTTGCTATTGTATCGAATTAGCCATCCAGCTTCGTCTTGTCCAAGAGACTTTGATGGGCATGATGCGCCGGCACGACATACTCTACCAAGTTGAACACGGTCACGCGGTTGCCGACGGGTGAGAATAGATGGGTGCCATCTGGACTGAAGACCAAGTTGCCTTGGCAGTAGACAGTGCCCAGCAAGTTGGAAAACTATGAAGGACTCGAGGTTAGCCGTTGACCCGGAATCGATGTGGGAATCGCAGTTGCATATTGTGTGTAGTGGGCAATTGGGTGATGATGGAATGGTTTGATGAATCAAAATCAAGTCTTGTGTCATACCCTAAAATCGGTCTTCATTGTCGACCACTTGCCATGATCATGAACAAACTATACTGAGAGATGAAGCTCTGATATGTTGTGCCGCCGTCGCATCAAAAAAACGAGCTGCGACTTCCTTATCGATACGGGGCTTTTTTTTCTTCAATTTTTTTCCTTTGCCGTTAAAAGTCCGGCAGACACTTTATTCCGCTCCTAGCATCTAAGCCTAAAGTGGTACGACTACTTTTTAGTGCTCGTACACTGCAAACACCATACAGTAATGCCGGGAGCGCACTGGCCATCTCATCTAATCTGGAGTTGGAAGGTAGTGTGTACATGTTACTGCACCGGCTGCACCACAGCAAAGAGTGAGAGGCCAAAGTACCCAGAACCTAACTCAGTGCTTCTGCTTCCAACCTGTTCATGCTAGCAGACAAAAAGGCAAGCACCAAAAAAAAGGAGACCGACCGCCGTTGCTCCTGCTCTGCCTATCCCTCCCCAGTCCAACCCAGTCGTACCAGCCCGCTAAACCCAATCCGCTACCTGGCCTATCAGCAACCAGCAGCCCCTGGGCAATTCGCCAGAGTGGAAAATTGGGGGATACGACCGCCTCAACCCCTTCTATCCCCTGAAAGTTCAAGCTCAGGAAGTGCGAACCTCCACTTTGTTTTCCGTTTGACCAGAGCCATCGGCCACCTGATATTCCTCCTCCTGTCTCTTGACTTTTTGCCTTAGCATCTGTAGCCATCGTCTGCTACCGTCCTCTCGCTCGTCCCTCAAGCTCCCCCAAGACACTCATCCCGTAGCCCCTCCACCTCCACGTGTGCAAGATGGCTCCCGCAGCTGCTGAGAGCGCCTCACCGATTGGCATTGCCAATCTGCCCAACCAGCGACACAAGATTGTCGCGAAGCGTGGAGCTAGCTTCACCATCATGGTACGCGATTGTCCTCGAGAGTTGCCGTTTGCAAACGCGTCTGCGGCCTGGCGAGCTCGATTGTTTCAACGGTAACAGTAACTAACACGCACGCTTTTGCTCTTAGGTTGCTGGCGAGTCTGGTCTGGGCAAGACGACCTTCATCAACACCCTCTTCTCCACGACCATCAAGAACTACGCCGACCACAAGCGCCGACACCAGAAGCAGGTCGACAAGACGGTGGAGATTGAAATCACCAAGGCCGAGCTCGAGGAGAAGTTCTTCAAGGGTAAGAGCTACCTAGCTGCCTAACGGAGGTGTAACGCAGTGGAAGAGACAATATGCTAAGACCGAGTTTTGTGATACTCTCTAGTTCGATTGACTGTCATTGACACCCCTGGATTCGGTGACTATGTCAACAACCGCGACTCTTGGCAACCCATCATCGAGTTCCTCGACGACCAGCACGAGTCTTACATGCTCCAGGAGCAGCAGCCGCGCCGTCAGGACAAGATTGATCTCCGTGTCCACGCCTGCCTGTACTTCATCCGCCCTACCGGCCACACCCTGAAGCCCTTGGATATCGAGGTCATGAAGCGCCTCTGCTCACGAGTCAACCTGATCCCCGTCATTGCCAAGGCTGATACTCTCAGCCCCGCCGATCTGGCCAAGTTCAAGCAGAGAGTACGATAAAGCAAACCACCCATGTTCCGCACGTCCACCTTTGCTAACTAGTTGCTACAGATTGTCAGTGTCATCGAGGCCCAGAACATCAAGATCTACCAGCCCCCTATCGAGGAGGATGATGAGGCTGCCGCTCAGCACGCGCGTAGCCTTATGGCTGCTATGCCGTTTGCCGTCATCGGATCCGAGAAGGATGTCAAGACCAGCGATGGTCGCATCGTCAAGGGCCGCCAGTACTCTTGGGGCGTTGCCGAGGTCGAGAACGAGGACCACTGTGACTTCAAGAAGCTGCGATCCATCCTGATCCGCACTCACATGCTCGACCTCATCCACACCACTGAGGAGCTGCACTACGAGGCCTACCGAGCACAGCAGATGGAGACTCGCAAGTTCGGCGAGGCCCGACCCCGGAAGCTGGACAACCCCAAGTTCAAGGAGGAGGAGGAGGCTCTGCGGAAGCGTTTCACTGAGCAGGTCAAGGTCGAGGAGCAGCGCTTCCGACAATGGGAACAGAAGCTCATTGCTGAGCGTGATCGTCTCAATAAGGATCTCGAGCAGACCCATGCCCAGATCAAGCAGCTGGAGAACGAGCTTGAGGCCATGCAGGGTGGTGCTGTCCGAAGCCACGGCCGCCGATAAATTATTCATAATGGTGGCTTGGTTCTGTCACGCAATGCTGGCGTTGGAGTGTCATGATGTCGGGTTTTCTCACTCCACCTCGCCCCGGATATAGGTCTGGGCTTGAAGAGGTCGAACATGGAATTGCCGCCGCGTACGGCACTTTGTTTCATGCATATTCTAATCAGCTATTGCTACGGGAGGAGAAGATCTTTTTTGATGAGTTGTCGAGGTAAAGGCTCCGTCTTCTTTATTATTTTGTCTTGTTCGGTTCTTGTACCGGAACTGTCGCGGTAGCGGGCTTTGATGGTGGATGCAAAGCACCATGTTACGGCCGTTGCCCAAAATCAGCAAGTAGGGGGAGTGCTGGAAGTTTTGATAATGTAGCCCTATTTTATTTCTCTTTTATTTGAGCACTCCCATTTCAGTTAGGTACATTTTCTAGTCTTATGTAATTGAGTCAGTTGAGATACCAGTTTAATAAGGCCTTCATAATGCGCATTAAGTATAGGGAATCTTGAGAGTGAAGCTAGCATTTCACCACGTTTGTTGGATGTGGTGGTGAAGTAAAAGTAAGAAGAGACAAAAGACAAAGTAAAAACACCTGACCAAACGCCATGCCATCTCTGACAGAATAAGCATATCCTATCATATACCCGAGTCAAAAATAAGTCCATGATGAAGGATGAAGAATGAAATAAAACACTCCATGATCTGATTGCCTGCTGAGACGCCCCTTTCCCCCTCCTTCCTTTTCCGAAAACAAATAATGCAACTGTCAAGACTTGGAAACAAATGCTTAAACAGCGTCCATGCTAGCTCTTGTTGTGAGCTGCTCATTCTTATTGCCCAGCCTCGAAATCTGTAAAAAGGCATCAACGCCGTACCCTTCCAGACTGTGCAAGTTCAGCGAGCCAGCCCAGTATTCGGCATAAACACGACTTAGGGGGAGGCCCATGCCGAGCCGCAGATTAGGGGGTCTGCTGGTGAGAGTCGAGAGCGAGCCCAGGTACGTGGGCGCCTTGAGGTCAGCCCGGCCGAGCTCGTCGGTGACATGGAGCTCCTGCATGGTGGCGGCCATGCGGGGCACCTGGCCGAGGTTCTCGAGGCGCTTCTGGCTCTGGGGGCCCTTGCTGAAGGACCAGAGGTACGGCAGCTCGTCGCGGGGGATGCCGCCGCCGCGGTCTGATATCCGGATGATGACGTGCTCCTGCGCTTCGCAGATTGTGACTTCGATGGGCGGGGGAGGAGAGGAGGCGTGGTCGGGCTGCTGCTGGTGGCGGTCGATGACGGCCTGGACGGAGTTGCGCAGGAGCTCGCCGACGATGTACTCGAGGTGGCTGAGGATGTAGGGGAAGCTGGCGTTGAGGTGGCCGTCGATTTTCACCTCGGGCACCTGCACCTGGGGCCCGTTGGTGGAGCGGGCGAGCTGGGTGACGGCCTTTGCGCAGCGGCTGATGACATCCTTGGCGAAGCACTTGATGAAGACTTCGCCTATGAAGTCGGACTCGGAGAGGGTGGCGCCGGGCGAGAAGTAGGGGGAGTTGAAAGTTTCTGTAAGGGAGAGGTGCTGCTCCGCGATGACTCGTCGAGAGATGCGCTACGTGGCTCACAGTCAGCTTTTCCGTTGTCATTGCATGCAGATGGGGTGGTGGGAAATATTGGTGGTGGCAGCAAAGCAAAGCAATGTTCCAGACTTACAGATCGAAGAATGACATTCATAAAGTGATCCAGCTCTTTGGGGTCCATCAGGCGGCCGCACTCGAGAATCCCCATGGCGAGCTTGGGGATGACGGTCAGGTGGCCTTTGAGGTTCTGGCTGATGACCTCGCAGAACTTTTCATTGTCCTCCAAAGTTTTGATTTCTTTAAACTTGCGAAAGGTGTCAAACGCCTTGTAATAGAGCTGGTAGACTTCTTCGATGTGTGGGTTTGTTACGACGACGTAAGGGAGCTGTTGCATGTCACGGATCCGATGCGCAATTCTGTAAAATGCATCCCATAATTAGCATCCTCACATTGGCAAAATGAGAAGCACGACGATATTACCTGACTGGCAGTTCGGTTCGGACGTAGTTTGCAGAGCTTATAAGTCGCGACTCGGTTAGGGAGCGTCCAAATACCATCAGCTGGCGCAAGCTGATGGGGCGTGCCTCTTTCGCAACCCATCTACACGAAAGACGACAACGTTAGCGCATGCGCTGTCTTGGAAAGATATAAAGATGTGCGAGAATGAAGAGAAGAGCGAAATGGGCTGTTAAATATGAGGTGAAGTATAGATGCAATGATAGATTGAACATACTCGTCCAACACAGAAACCGGGCGCCACGTGCCGTTGCTGGCGCCAGCTTGAGCCGCATATCTCTTCTGAATCTTCGCAATGGGAGATGACGCTATCAAGATCGGCCTAGGAATCGCTTTACTGAGCGTCGAGTGGGCAAACGGTCGACATCGTTTGCCGTGGCAGCGCAGCGCTACGGAGAACATGCCCACGGTTCCATGCAGCACAGAGGGATCGGAGAGAGATGAAGCTAGTTGAAGCTGGTGACGATTCGTGTCGCGTGCGAACAGTAAGCGGTACAGCGTTGAAGAGAAGCGGAGCAGAGGGCGGAAATGGAAATGCGATGCAGAGAGGAGAAATCGAGAATCAGGCGATCAGTCGAGAGGGGAATTGGAGAGCTTGGTCTTGTTTCGTCGTCAAGTCAAGCCAGGGCAAATGGCTTTTAATAAAGCAGCTCCGAGGCATGTGCCGGTAGATCTGGTGCTTAAGGTTTGGTCAGCCTGAAGCCTGGCGAAAAGGGCCCCACAGACTGCGGTATCGGCACACTCCGAATGGCGGCATGTTCTGGAGTCCAGAGGGATGAATCACTGGACGGAATTTGGGTTACAGGGGAGCAATCGGGGATTAATGCTGTTTAGAGCATCCGAAACTACATACAAACTATCTGATGCCGTCACTGCGTTGGGTTGGTTCAACGAAGCTCTACAGTACGTACAGCTACACTTACCCACCTGGTAGCGTCAAGCTTCCAAGTACCTGCAGCAGCCCGGAGTCAAGTGTAAAGAAGGGTTCTGAGAGGCGATCAGATAGAACTTTGCGTATCCCAGGTCGGTACCTAGATAAACGCCACCCAACTAAACATGAAATGAAAGGCCATAGCAAGCTTACAAGATACAATCTGCAAGGGAGCACATACAGGTGTAAGCAATTATGTGCTTAGAAGGGCGTACAAGGCGCGGTTAAGTGACACACCCGGTATAAGTACCAAGGTCCAAGGTTAGAGGATGGGATGCCGCCACTGCACCATCACATGTAATTTTGTGACAATTGCATGCAGTGCTCCCCCTAATTGAGTCACTCCAACACAGGTCAATGCCAAAGCATCAAGTTTCCAGGACTGTAACAGCCTATTCCTAGCAGCTAGGCACTCTAGCCTGCTACAGGCAGCCACACATACAGATTGCAGTATTGATCTGCATTTCGTGCGTTGCACCATCGTCACCATCTTCTCCAGATTGTCCATACGGTACAAATTGAGAACCAAGAACCAGCATCTACAATTTTCGATCCTGCTTAATTATTATGGCTGAAGAAATAGATTAACGCCCATCATTCCCCTCTCGATGCTCTATGCTTGCTACCTTTGATAACACGAATGCAAGTGTACCATCAGTCACAAGCAAAACTGCTAGCCAAGTCTTCTTTAGTCAGCAACAAGGTGGGGTCCTTTCGGAGTGAGGTGGGGAGCACGAGGTTCAGCAAAGAGTCGATCGCTGTTAGAGCGGTACTCGGCTGAGACGGATGGATACCGCGGGGTCTTGACTGGCTGGCGGGGTATGTGCAGGTTCTCACTTATCACGACGCAGCTCAGCTCAGTCAGTCCAGCAACCATCATCGATTGTCTCTTTGTTAAGCTTGACTGTCTTTGTCTCAACAGGGTGCAATGAATAAATACACCGAGCCGAGGGATCAAAGGCAAAGCTCGGAATGGCTCGACGAAAATAGCTTGTGCCGTCGATATTCGTGTACTTTAATCTTCCTTATTTCAGTCTGCTCCCCGTAGAACACCTCCATTATTCATCATATCATCTTCCATCCCATCCATGTACAGAGCAGAGCACATTCCCAAGGTAGGAAAGCTTCCCCCCTCCTCCACCACTGCTGCAGCCTCTTAGCTACGGCCATCGAAGCCATTGACCACTCAATACCCCAAAAAGAATGGAGCTGGCGGTCATAAAACACATACCGCCACCAAAAGCCCATAGCTGCTAACGTAATGACGCCAGCTGCCAGAGGGTCTGGTAGTGTTCAAGCCAATGCCATAGCTTCGTGAAGTCTTTTTTCTCGCCGCTGCTCCACTGGGAAACTGAGTCCCTGGACTGGGCTGGACTCGATGCAGCTGCGTATGGGGGACGAAATAGAGAAATCAATAAAAAAGTCACTTGGCAGAAAAACTTGGACCTTTGTACCCAACTCTGCCTGCCTTGCTTCGGCCATCGCCAGTCTGGGTTTCAGTTGTTCAGTTTGCATCTTCATAGATGTATTGATTCTTTTTGGCTTCTGGTCGCCTTGTCAAACCCACCCGCCCACTGTGCAACCGAACCAACTTTTGCCGGCTGGCCGATAGGGATCTTATCTGTCTCTAACCTGTCTCGCTGCCGGCGCCTTGTTTGGTACTTGACTTTTTTTTCTTTGCACTGCATGTGGTTTTCTGCTCTTGCCTCCCTTGCAAGGCTCATCCAAGCCGCTACTGCCTGCCTACCTTAGTAGTACGAGTACCTAGAGCTGTACATACAGTACTGCGGCCGTTGCTCTTGCCCGTTGCCGTTGCTCCCGCTGCAACTCCCCAACCCCAAATCCGCCAGCACGGGCAGCCGCCACACACGCGCCTTCTTCATCGCAAGCCCTGCACCCCGCCAGCGCTTTGCAACAGCTGGAGCTCCTGCACGTTCCTGGCCTGCCTCTGGCCTCAGGCCCTTTCTGAAATCATGGTACGTCTCTTTGTCTTCTTACCTCATATCATCCTCTAGTATCAAGTCGAGTTCGGCCCAGCCTTTGTGCTTTTGAATCTGCATCTGCATCTGCATCTGCGTCGTCTGGCCGGCAATTGCGCACCACGACCCCAGTCGTCATCATCGTCATCGTCATCGTTCATCATCATCATCGTATCATCTGCATCTTCACAACGTCCCACGTCTCCGGCTGTGCTCTGATCCGATCTGGCTCTGGATCTGGCTTTGTCGTTTTCATCTCTTCGTCTTCCATCCCCCCTTCAGCCTCAATATCTTCCCTCCTCTCGTCGAGACCTGTCCCTGCCTGCCATCATAGCTGCTGCAGTGCATCGCCAGCGTCTTCGTCGTCGTCGCAGCGTGGGGAAAAGTCGCAACGTTCCGAGGGCCTCCCAGCTCGGCGAGCTCTGCTCTCCGATCGCTCCGAGGCATCGCCACAAGCATCCGGTTAGATCCAAGCTGGGCAACCTCGCGTTCCTACTTCTCTCGGGCCCCTCACTTCCACCTCACAGCTGAATTTGTCAATCGTCATCATGCAGTCCGACGACGAAGCCCGCCAACCTGGGCTACCGTATCGAATCCGAGCTAACGATGCCACTCGCAAGCAGAGCTACAACGTTCCTTCACCCAACGAGATGGTCGTCGACACAGACGACTATGTCGGCGTCCCCAACGCTCCCGAGAAAGAATCTGTGGCCATCATCAGCCCCGAAGGCGCCGTCGAACATGAGGCCGATCAGCTACAAGATCTGCCTCTAGCTAACGACTGTGCGTATTCTCTTCCGCTCCCTCCTCTCCAACAAGAGCGCCTTTACTGACTTGACTCGTGCTACCGCAGATGAGGCCATGAAAGAGATTGTTCTCCCGCCCTTGCTCGACGAGCCCAAAATCCTCCAAGACTTTGTACACACATGGACGGTCGAGAACTGGCGAAGCCTTGGCAAGCGAGAACACGGCCCCGTATTTGAAGCAGGCGGCTTTCCATGGTCCGTTTACCACGATTTGATATATATACATTCTCGTGTACAAGTTCACTCCCAGCTGACACTGCTACATCTAGGCGCATTCTCCTCTTTCCCCATGGTAACAACACTGATCAATGCTCCATCTACCTGGAGCACGGGTTCGAGCCTGATGCCATTCCCGAGAATTGGAGCTGCTGCGTGCAATTTGGCTTGGTCCTTTGGAACCCTAATGATCCCAGCCTATATGTCAATCATGCCGCGCATCATCGCTTCACTAAGGAGGAAGGCGATTGGGGCTTCACCCGCTTCGTGGAGATTCGGAGAATGTTCAACGTGCCCTGGGAAGGTGACAGTCGGCCACTGGTCGAGAACGACACTGCTAACATAACAGCCTATGTCCGTTTTGTCGAGGACGAGACTGGCGTGCTTTGGCATAACTTTACCAACTACGACTCCAAGAAAGAAACGGGCTATGTTGGTCTCAAGAACCAAGGTGCCACCTGCTACCTCAACTCCCTTCTCCAGTCGCTATACTTTACAAACGCTTTCAGAAAAGTCAGTTCTCCCTGCTCCTTTCTTGCAAGGGAATATCCTACCTCGTCCAACACCCGATACTGACTCTGCAAAGGCCATCTACGAAATTCCCACCGAAAATGATGAAAGCATGCAGAATTCTGCCTACACTCTGCAGCGCCTTTTTTATCAACTGCAGACATCCGAGCAGGCGGTTGGCACGAATGAATTAACAAAGTCTTTTGGCTGGGAAACGAGACACATCTTCGAGCAGCAAGACGTGCAAGAGTTGTCGCGAAAGCTCATGGAACGCATGGAGGAGAAGATGAAGGGCACCAAGGCCGAAAACGTACTGCCTGAGCTTTTCAGTGGTAAGATTAAGACGTACATTTCATGCATAAATGTGGACTACGAATCAAAGCGCATTGAGGATTTTTGGGATATCCAGCTCAACGTCAGCGGAAACAAGAACCTTTTGGAAAGTTTCCAAGACTATATCCAGGTCGAGAAGATGGACGGAGAAAACCAATATTTTGCCGGCGACCAGCACAAGTTGCAGGATGCCAACAAGGGCGTCATATTCACCAGTTTCCCAGACGTCCTACACCTCCAGCTCAAACGATTCGAGTATGACATTCAAAGAGACATGATGATGAAGATTAATGACCGCTACGAATTTCCCGACACTTTCGACGCTTCCCCCTATCTCATGGACGAGGCCGACCGATCCGAGCCCTGGATTTACCAACTACATGGTGTCCTTGTACACAGCGGCGACTTGAACGCCGGTCACTATTATGCGTTTATCAAGCCATCAAAAGACGGCTGGTTCTACAAGTACGATGATGACAAAGTCACCAAGGCCACTTCCAGAGAGGTCTTGGAAGAGAATTTTGGTGGAGAATACCGAACTCCTCACGGCTACCCCAGAGCGCCTCTTCAAAAGAAGGCCCCGATAATGCGCCAGAACAGTGCTTACATGTTGGTATATATCCGCCAATCTCGGCTTGACAAAGTCCTCTGTCCCGTCACCAAGGAGGACACTCCAAAACTTCTCCGTAGGTTATATGTTGTCTTGTTTTACGACTCTGGAAATGGCTGACTGAATTTTCTTTCTTCTAGGGGAGCGCTTTGAAGAGGAAAATGCCTTGAGGGAAGCTCGTCGACGCGAACAAAAGGAGGCACATCTGTATATGATGGCCAAGGTGATTACAAATGACACATTCGCAAACTACGGAGGCACCGACCTTTGTGTCTTTGATGCTAATCCTGAGCTCGATCCTGCTGCACCCAAACTGTACCGCATTCGTCGAGCTATGCCAATGCAAGAGTTTGTCGCTCAGGTTGCCTCTGACATGGGTCAGGATCCATCTCGCGTCAGGCTGTGGCTGATGGTTAATCGTCAAAACAAAACAATTCGGCCAGATCAACCAATTATGGACCTACGGCCAACCGTTGAAGAGATATTTTCCCGCTCGGCTGCACACCGAGACACGAGTTTGCGAGTTTGGGCCGAGGTCGCCAGCGAGGTCAATGAAAACGGCGAGCCTGTCTGGGCATCATATCAAAGCCAGCCAAATGGCGCTCAAGTAAAGAGCGATACCATCCTATTGCTGTTGAAGCACTTCGATGTGGAGAAGCAGACTCTGGAAGGCGTGGGCCATCTGTACATTAGTAAGGAGAAGAAGGTCGACGAGCTTGTTCCCATGATTCTTCAGAAGATGGGTTGGGGCGACAAGCTTTCCTCTGACGAGAAGCTTTTGATGTGGGAGGTATGAGAAACTAACTACGCGAATCCCATGACAAGCAAGGAGGCTAACGTCTTATTCAAACAGGAAATCAAACCGACAATGATTGAACCTCTGAAGGGAAAGCAGACTCTCAAGGCCGCTGAACTTCAAGATGGTGATATTATTTGCTTCCAACACACTTCCGACAAGAAGACTGAGAATGGCCGTGTAGCGGACAAGGCATCTCAGGAAGCGTATGTTCTCCCGATCGTGGCCAACACTCCCCCCTCCAATGATGACTGACTGACCGTCCTTTAGTAACAAGTCATTCGATCGCGTCGAGGATGCTCGTGAATATTACGACTTCCTCGAACATAAGCGAACTGTAAAATTCCACGCTCATCCTACCAGATCTGACCCAGCACAATATCCACCATTTGAGCTTGTTCTCAACTCAAAGATCACCTACGATGTTTTAGCTGAACGCGTCGGCGCTCTCCTTCAAGCTCCTTCAACACATATCCGGTTATGGACGGTCAACGCAAGCACCAATAACCCCAAGACTCCAGTAAGACGAGGCACAAATCCGACTTTAAAGCAGATTTTGCAACCTATGGGGTCAAACACTTTGAACTCGACTCACAGAAATGATGCCTTTTACTTTGAGGTGCTGGAGATGAGTTTGGCTGAGCTCGATACCAAGAAGAACATCAAAGTCACATGGCTGAGCGAAGGCATCACCAAGGAGGTATGTATCGGACAATACACAGTTGCAGGCTTCACCTAGACTAACTTGTCGCTCCAAGGATCAACTTGACCTGCTGGTATCAAAAACCGGAACTATGGAGGACTTGATACAAGCGCTAGTCAAGAAGGCCAAGATTCCCGACGAGGCGGAAGGCGGGAGGATAAGGGTTTACGAAACAAGTTCTAACAGATTTTACCGTGAGCCAGCTCGCGACCAGTCTGTGTTGAACCTCAACGAATACACACAGATCTTTGCCGAGCGAATCCCGGAGGAAGAGCTGGCTGCTGATGACAACAACTTCATTCACGTGTTCCACTTCCAAAACGAAGTCAACAGAGTGCACGGTGTTCCCTTCAAGTTCCTTCTCTTGGAGGTGAGTACATTGAGAAACGCATGTTGTCTAACACATTTTACTTACGCAATAACCAGGGCGAGAAGTTTGTTGACACCAAGAAGAGACTTGAGAAGAGGACAGGTATCAAGGGCAAGAGCTTCGAGAAGATCAAGTTTGCTATTGCGAGGAGGGCAAACTATTCAAAACCACAATATCTTAATGATGGTTCGTCCACACTCATAACTAATGACGAGAGGTTTTTGAAACTAACCGCAGCCAACCACACAGACGACGAATTATGGAACATAGCCTCATCTGAAGATGACTATCTTGGTTTCGACCATCCGGATAGATCAAGATCCTTGAGAAACGGCGTTGGGGACCTTTTCCTTCGTTAGGCGACGGTATACAAGCTAAGCTCGTGTCCACGATAAAACACGCAGCAATGTGGAAAGACTTGGTGAATGGCTCCAGGAGTCTTTGGTATATCTCGTTTCATACCCATCAACCACACCGACATGGTTCATATCTTTGTCATGAGACAGTGGGCGTTTTCTTATTGCTGTTCTTTGCTACCTCTTTTTGTGTTTTTAGCATGCATGTGGCGACGCATGAAATGCAGGCGAACGGTGGATGAGATATGTTTTGATAAAATATCAATACAATGAGCATATTGGATTGAAGTGGTCTCCAGCATTGGCTCTGATAGCTCTATGTTGTTCTCAAGTCTGTAAGACAGCTATTGTAGTATTATCAAATCAAATAAGTCCAAGATTATATTATAAACGCCTGGTGACTGTATAAGCTGGGTACATGAGGCATCTTTATTCATGCTGTCCTCATGCTCTCCAAATCTCTATGTTCTTTTCCCCTTGAAACTCTATGTCCAACGTCGAATTTTCCCTTAATTAACCTGTAATCAACCAACCAGCCTTTGTTCATTTCTCAATTCATATCATGGTAGCCTTGCGTACAGGCTTCGTTCATACCGTCACAGTCGCCATCACAGTCGCATGGTGCTGTTCTGTTCTTTGGCCAGCCAGGCCCGTTTTCTATATCAAGTCTCGCAACCTTGTGCGGTTCAGTTTCTTTTATCTTCTCGTCGTATTTGGTCATACCTCTTGTTATTTCATTCTGCCTCTTGGTGATGCTTGGCCAGCGGTCTTCGCTCAATCTCCTCAACGGAAAGGTGGGCGCCTGCAGTCTTGAGAAGCTGCGCGCAGTCGTCTTTGCCAGACAGCGTTGCCAGGAAGAGGGGTGAGTTGTCCGCCCTGTTACGTTCGTGCACGCTGGCGCCGCGCTTAAGAAGCTCAAGCATGATTTCGGTGTTGCCTGATACCGCGGCCAAGTGCACGGCTGTATTGCCGGCGTAGTCGGCCGTCTTGAGAAGCCCGCTACCTTCACCCTCGAGGAGTTGCCTGACCACGTCTATCTCTCCATTTTTGATGGCGTAGCCGAGGGCTGTAAAGGCAGACTCGGTGGCTGTCAGGCGAGAAGCGGCGTCTAGGGGAGGTGTTGGGTGAGAGAAGCTAGGATGTGCAATCTCAGTCATCTCACCACGAAGCGAGCGCGAAAACTGGGCTACAATGCCCTTTTGGGTGAGGTTAGGCAGGGCGAGGAGGTGTGAGAGCTTGGCAAGGGCCGCTTCGGCCGTAAGGTCGAGGCCGAATATGACACCCATGCGGCCGAGCTGGGTTCCAGGGGCGTAGACGGGGGACACGAAGCCGTTGACGCATTGGCTGACATTGACGACGATAATGCCCCTGTCGACGGCGGAGCGAATCACTTCTGTGAGACGGCCATCAACACCACCTGGGACATTTCCCATGCCAAAAGTCTCGAGGATGAGACCCCTTAGATCTGGAAGGTGAAGGACAGCATCGACCATTTCGGGCTTGATGCCAGGAAAGACACGCAGACACGCAACGTGGGTTGTGTCGAGGTGCTTGAAGACGTGGAACTCGGCAATGGTGGTGGGTCGGAGAACCAAATGCCAGTTGACATTGATGCCAAGGCCATTGACCTTGGCCAGGGGCTCGCAGTTGGGGCTGGCAAACGCATCGAAGGAGGCGGCTGAGACCTTTGTAGTGCGGTTGCCACGATACAGCGTGTCGCGGAAGAAGAGACACACTTCGGGGATGACAAAGGTTCCGGCAATGATGAGCGAGCCGAGCAAGTTGTCGACAGCATCGGACTGGAGAGCAAAGATTGGGGCCTGCGAGCCGGTAAGGATGACGGGCTTGCCCAGGTTGGCCAGCATGAAGGAGAGGGCAGAGGCCGTGTAAGCCAGCGAATCGGTGCCGTGGAGGATGACGAAGCCGTCAAAGAGATGGTAGTTTTCTTTGATGGCAGTGGCCATGTTGGCCCAGTCATTGGCAGAGATGTTGCTGGAGTCGAGCAACGGGTCGAATTCCAGGACGGAGTAGCGGACGTGTCTCTGGTAGGCTGTTGGAGGTGTTCTCAGGCTGTCGAGTTGGATCATCTGACCGCTGCGGGATGCTTGCAGCTTGACTTGAGGTTTTATAAATGTTAGCTAGTAGTTTTTAAATATGAAGATGAGCCCATATGTGTGCTCTTATATAATTCCGGGACAGGGTGTGTAGTAGGTATGAGCTTCACTCTCATCTACCCAAGTATATAACAATAAAACAAACTCACCACTTGGTTCTGATTTATCATTAAACGTCGGCCTGGGAGCCATAGCACTCTCCAGAAACCCATCGCTGGGCGCAAGGCCGTCGGGCCCTTCTTGCATGCATATTGTGCCTCCGGTGCCGATAATCAAGACCCGGGACTCGGGGAGGCCGGCGTTGAGGGGAGGCGAATCGGTGATGGCGGGCGACATGAGAGGTTGAATAGCTGGTGATGATTTTATATAATTGAAGACGAGAAAAATAAAGATGCCGAGATGTAAGAATTAACTACTAGAGAATGAAGGGACGTAAAGAGAAAGAGGTTGAAAGCTTGGATGTAAAAGTGCGGAAGGTCACTCTTCTTATCAAGGCGGTACCGCGCCCGTACATATACTCCAGATAAGGAAAAAAAAAAAAGGAAGCAGGAAAAAGGGCCTAAGAAAAAGAGGCGGTCCAACAGCGTAGTACAAGTTGCTTGCTAATTACGAAAAATCTTCGTCATGCGGACAAGGGAAAAAACGCACAGGAAGTGCAAAGGAGAAGGAGAAAAGTTTGATAAGAATTTAGTCATAGCAAATGTCGGCATGTGCAGCCATTTTGCTGTTAAAAGTCTAGCACGCGAGGAAGAGAGGCGACGGAGTGGATACGAAGGGGTAATAGAATCTCGAGAATCGGAGGTGCATGTTATCATGTGGTTTTTGGGGGGCTGTTCTTTTGAATTCTGGGCCTTTTGTGTAAATTATTAATTAATTGATATGCATATGTAACGTAAATTATTCGGAAAGAAATATAGATTTGCAAGCATGGATGAAGGAAGAGAGGGTAAAGGTGTGAAGTCGTGATGTGTGTTGTATGTAGTACCTGTAGTATACCTGATTGAAAATGGGATTCGGTGAGAGATCAATGCCTCTGTATCTGTACAGGCACCTCTAATAATATACGGCACTAACGCATCTAGAATAACGGCGGGCTTCTTCCCCTCGCGTACCAGCGGCTTCGGGCTCGTTCCGTATTGGCATCAATCGCAGTCAATAGTCCCAATCCAGATCTGGGGGAGTTTCCACGGGCGCAAATGCAGTCCAGTAGCATCAGAGGCGGCCTTCAGGGGTGCAGCAAGATGCAGATGGCCGAGTACAGTGTCGGTACATGTCCAGTGGCGCCCAATTAGCAGTGTCTGCAAGTACCTGCTTGAACCTTGCCCATCCATCCATCGTCTCCATTCGGCATATTCCAACATCACCTGTATTGAGTACCTTACGTCACTTGGATCCTGGGAGTCGAAAAACTTGCCCTGCGAGGCCACTGATCGGAGAACGATGGATGACGCCTAATTATTTACTGACGGGGCTCCCCTTCTGCCATAGATTGTACAGCCATCAACTGATACCGAAAGAAACAAAAAAGAGCCGGTACAAAGCACGGCGCAACTTGCTGTCAACGCAGTACCGCGCAGGCACATGCACTCTCCCGCAGCTCCATGCCGTCAGCTCAAGTACAATCCAGGTACAGCTCCACCAGCCTCTTGTCACATCCGATTGGGATAAGCGCGAGCCCTCAACGCCATCTTCCTTAACTTTCTGCTCAGCGCCGATTCAATTCGCGGAATCAACCTTTTTTTCTTCTTCTCTTAATTTAACAAATCTCTCAGTATATCCTCGCCATTCCTCTCGCGCCTAGGCCATCGCAACTCCTTGAAGATAACAGAAATCGAATCAGTAATTGTCTACCGCTGAAGCATTTACTTAAACCGTTATCCGTTCGCTATCCGCTTCTTCGACGGCGCTCTTGCGAGGGGTTTCAAAGGCCCAAGACAAAGAACGATGCGCGCCCATCACACCACGACTCTCCCATAAAACGCGCTCCAGTCACCCAAAACAAGCGTCGCCCAGCTATTCTCCCTCTCTTACAATTCTTCTTGACGACGCTTCTGCCTCTGCTTGAGCCAGCGATTCGACTCAACGAACCCGGCGCGCGTCATGGATCGACCCTCCGAAACGACCCCCGATGGCACTTCACCACGAACCTTTGCCCTGAATCACAGCAGACCAAAGTCCAGCTTTCAAGGCTGTTCCCGAATAGCCGACTATGAGCTGCAAGGGAAATTGGGCGAGGGTACCTTTGGGTATGAAACCCCCTGTTCTTTTACATCTCTAAAGCTCAAGATGGGAAGCTAATGCAAACACCTGTACTGTAGTGAGGTCCATCGCGCTCGATCCCGCAAAACAGGCGCTCTTGTCGCCTTGAAGAAGATTATTATGCACCATGAAAAAGACGGTGTAGGTGGCGGCACCAGGCATACCAAACTCGCTTTCTCTCCTCTGACTTGCTTCAGTTCCCCATTACTGCTCTGCGAGAAATCAAGCTGCTCAAGCTGCTGTCTCACCCAAACATTCTGAGATTGGAAGACATGGCTGTAGAGCACCCCACAAGACAAAGTGAGTATTTTCCCCATCCTCTCTTCTTTGATCTTCCATTTTCTTCATCATCCCTTCTCTGTGCCTTTCGTCATCCTTCTTCTGCTAACAGAGTCATACGTAGCCGACAAGCGCAAGAAACCCATCATGTACATGGTGACGCCCTATATGGATCACGATCTTTCGGGCCTACTCGACAATCCATCTGTCCACTTCAAAGAGGCTCAGATCAAGTGCTACATGCTCCAGCTACTCCAAGGTCTGCGCTACCTTCATGATAATCACGTCCTCCACCGAGATATGAAGGCTGCCAACCTTCTCATCAACAACAAGGGCATCCTCCAGATTGCTGATTTTGGCCTGGCCCGCCACTATGACGGACCAACGCCGCGGGCTGGTCATGTTGTTGGAGAAGGCCGACGAGACTACACCGGGTTGGTTGTCACTAGGTGGTACCGTCCGCCCGAACTTCTGCTGCAACTAAGACGATATACCCCCGCTATTGACGTCTGGGGTGTTGGGTAAGATATGACGCCTCTTCTTGTTTTTTGCAGTCTAATATCTTGTTATACTGTCTCTAATGAGTGTCACTGGTTCAAACGAAGCTAACTCCTTATAGATGTGTTTTTGGAGAAATGCTATTCGGCAAACCCATTCTTGCTGGCGAGAGTGACGCTCACCAACTCGAACTCATATGGGATCTAATGGGCTCGCCCACTGATGAGACTATGCCGGGATGGAAGAGCTTACCTGGAGGTGAACATTTGTCCCCCAGGTCACGACCGGGAAATCTTCAAAGCCGCTTTAGAGAGTATGTTGCCGCTCGCCCATGACTAACTGATACCACGATTGACTATGTACGACTAACGCTTTTTCCTTTAGGTACGGCTCTGGAGCAATTGCCCTGCTCAAAGATTTGCTAAAGCTGGACTGGAAGACACGGATTAATGCCGTGGATGCCTTACAACATCCGTACTTCAAGAAGGAGCCGCTACCAATGGAACCACATCAGCTTCCTACTTACGAAGAGAGCCACGAGCTTGATCGAAGAAAATTCCACGACCGCAAAGCTGCCCTGCCACCAGCCCCCAAGGGAGGAACGGTTGGCCTCGGTCCCGATGCAAATGGGGCAACTGCCGGGTTCAACAGCAATGATGCCTACGGTGGTCGAAGTGGTGCCAACGGGGGACGCTTCAGGGGCGGTGGTCCAGACGAGAGGCGGCCTGCTTGGCGGGATCGTGAGCGTGGGCCGCCATCACGGCCTCCCCAGGACCGACCGCCAAACTGGGAGGATGCTGACCACCGAGATCGAGATCGGGCGCCTCGCAACCGCGGGCCGGGCCGTGGACCAGATATAGACACTTACATTCCGAGCTATAGGCAGGAAGAGGCGGGAGGTCGTCGCAGGGACGATGACCGGCCTCGTGATGACCGACGGCGCCCTACCAGTAAGGACAGTGGGCGACGATACGACAGAGAGCGGCGAACAAGAAGCCGAAGCCGCTCCCCGATACACGATAGGAATCGTGACCGAGACATGTATCGACGATGAATGCAACATAGGACCGTCAACATACACGCTTATCGCATAGATATGTGAGCCATACATATGGTCATGGATAGTTGGCTTACGTTTCAGCCATTTTGCACTTTTTTATGATATCCCATGGAAATAGTTCCCTTGACAGAATTTCTTGTTTTATGGGGGGTTGGAATGGCGTTGGAGGCAACAGATGAAGGATGTATGTAGATGGTTGAGCTCGAGGACGCTTGCTGCTCACTGCCGCCTTGACCTTGGCAGTAGCAGTTGGGATGAAGAGGGTTTACCGTCACGGAAGAAGGGGCAATAGCACTGCATGTATAAACTCAAACTATGCAAAAAAGGGGGGCCGCGTAAAGACTCCGGCAAAGCATTAGAGGCGCACAAGTAGCTATTGTAAGAAGAAATCATATATCAGAGTCGTCCTCTTCTTCAAGAATCGTCTGTGACAGAAGCCCAGTTGCAACACGGCGGCGTGAGGGAGAGGGATCAGGCCAGTACCACTCTCCCTCATTAGAGGACGAATCATCTTTGAGAGTTGGCGTTGATAAGGACGACAGTGGTTTTTTGCCCTGAGAGGTACGGGAGCGAGGTCCTTGGGCGGTGCTGCTGCTGTCTTGCATGCCGAGGTATGATGTGATGACGGTTGAGGAGGTGGCCAGGGTGAAGCCGGCGAAGATGCCGACTGCTGCTGCTGTGGCGAGCTATCAAGAACAGATTAGCCGTCTTGTTTTACTTACATTAGATGATGTAGATAGTTTCCTTTTTTTAGGGCTTTATTATTTTAGTGAAGACGTACAAAGGTATATAAAGGCTATACGTCAGATACGCAAGAGGCTGTCAGCAACAAGTCTCACTAACACGTCAAAGCGATATAACAGAGACGATGACACAAGACATTTCATAATCATGGGGAAAATAACGCACCTGAAGAGCAAGAATAAAGTCAAAAACACCACGGCACCAACTGGTTACGTACGCAACCAGGTATATCGCCGGCGCAAACACGATGCGAAGGGCGCTCAGGAGATACGACAAGGGTACGGAGGCCAGTCGCAAGGGGAAGAGTAAGATGCGGCCTAGAAAGGAGAAGACGCGGAATACGGGGCGGAGGTGGTCGAGGATGGCGGAGACGTCCATTTTTCAGAGAGGATTGTTTGGCATGAGGGCGAAGATTTTGAGGGTGGGAAGAAATGACGAGAGAGAGGTATGGAAAAGGTGGTGATTCAAGGGTACGGAGGTACATTGTATTGGGATATTGTTGTGGTATGAGTGAGGTGAGGTATGGGGTGTTGTGAGTGTGGCTGGGGATGTGTGGCGGGGCTAACCTGGAGCTTGGGTTATATTGTATGTACCTACATATAATGCTAGAGACTGGGAGATGTGACGCCTGGATTTGGACTGGATTATATGTGCGTTTTGTATTTTATTAGGGTTGATTGATTCTTTTAGACTTGGTTGCCATCTTGTCAGGTTGAGATGGTTGGTTGCGTATGGCAGATGCAAGTTGGAGTGGCGCAGTAGAATGTGCTCTCAAGACATGGGTGTAGGAATCGATTAGATCTGGGTGGGAGATGAAGGAGGATATCGAGAGAGAATATTGAATGATACAAGCATACTGTATGGGATGAGGAATTGTCAAAAGACCCACTTAGCTACTATGCTTCTCGACAGATATGATTGATCACTTGCATTCTTCGTGATGACGGCTGCGTATAGATATTAATAAACAACTTGAAGTCAGGTAGCCGTCTTGGCTATTAATTAAATCACCGAAGCTGACAGGTACCTACTCGCCTACTCCTGCTGCAATACAGGTACAGAAGCCCATCATCTGTGACTGCCCGCGCAGGCTAAAGTTCCGGTTGTTAATTGAGTGTCGTCATGGCAGGACCAGGGAAAATTGTCCCGGATGTGGATAGCTCGCTTGCAGCTCAGGTACAGGGAACCTCTGCAGCCCACCGTCAGCATGTGTCCACCCACAGTACCCAGTACGCAAGTGCTAACCCGCGCTGCACCCGGAGGTACTTGGCCAGGCCCAAGGCAAGAAAGAAGCATCAAACCACAGATAAGAGCAGCACATTCCCCCACCACAAACCCCCCCATGGGCCCGATCCTACTGGCCAGCTTCCCGCTCCAGTTCCTCCAACCCACGATCGTCTGCTGCACGACAGGCTGCCACGGCACAGGCGAGACGACACGACAGCTGAAGGGTGAGAAAAAAGGAACCTTACATACCTGGAACCCCCACGAGCGTCCCCTCTGCATTTGTACTGTACAGTAGGCGCTGCATGCAGGACGGAGCAGATTAGACAACCCAAGACAAGACACACGGCCATCAGCAGAAAAAGGCCCCTCTCGCGCGCTTTGAGTGTTTGCCTCGGGAATTTCCACCCGGGGCCCGGAATCTGGAATTTGACGGAACGGGATTGATTTGATTGCTGGGTCCTCGTTTTGATCGGTTTGTTTGAGTGTGTTTGATCGGATTTCGCCGCAAGACAAGACAAGACGGGCACCGCATAGCACACCACGCAGCTCGTCGTCGAACAACATTCGGCCCCCAAAAAACACCGCCGTCTAGAGCCGATCTAGATGACCTCTTGACCCAGACAGACACATCACATCGACACATCGAGATCCTCTCAAAACCCCCACCGCCGTTTCATCCTCTCAGCACGCCGCAATCCAACCACGTTCGCCCAAGCATCGTCACGCGAGTCTCCCCGCTGCCCAGCCCTGCTCGCCGGTGCCTTGTGCAACGACAAGCCGCCAACTGGTCGCCTCTGCAACCCCCCTCTGACTCCCGCTAGCAGCCCATCCTCTGTCTGGGATTGTTGTTTTCTCTTCTCGCCCTCGCTTCCCACGTCCCTGCCGCCACCCCTGGTCGGGTTCCCAAACCATGGGTAACAACCATTCGGCGTCCAACAAGGCGGGCGGGCCTGGGTCTGGGTCGCCTCCGCAGCAGCAGCCGCAGCCAGGCGTCGAGTCTCAGTCCCAGTCTCCTCGCCAGCCTCAGCATCGCAAGGACGGATCCCGCAACATCATCCCCATCCACGGTGCCCGCGCCGCTGCCGCCACCGAATCGTCCTCTCTCCAGGCCCAGGGCTCCATCGCCGCCTCCGTGCCCAACCCAAAGACCAAGAGCGTGCCCGCCACCGGCGTCTCCTCGCTCAGCGGCTCGCCGCATAGCAGCACCGTCTCCTCCGTCGCCAACGCCGCTGCCGCCGTTGCCGCGGCCGTCGTCGCCGGCAGCCCCAAACCGTCCGAGCCGCGACCCATCCTACGCGACGAACCCTCCAAGCCCGTTGCCGTCCCCATCGAGGGGTCCCTGGCGCGTCCTCATATCCCAGGCATCCCGCCAAATTTCGATGCCCAGCTCTTTTCCAACAGTAGCCTGACGGACATGTACATGATGCGCCCGCCTCGCCTGCCGCTTCCTATTGAGGAGGAGGTTCACACGCCTGGCTCGCCCATCCTCGGACCCGACGAGAGCCTGGCCGATCTCGAGCTCGGCGAATCGTCCGAAGCCTTGACGAGGAAGAGCTCCGCGCTCAGCTCGGGCACGGCCGAGGATGACGAGGGTGAGGAGCTACGCGTGGACAAGACCAGGCCTGTCGTTGCCACCAGGATTGAGTGGAGGGGAGGTGGTGAAAAGATTTGGGTTACCGGTACGATTTTCCACTGGAATCGAAAGCTCCGGCTGCGTCCTGTGTAAGTGCCATGACTCCAGAACAACAACAGACTTGGTGCCGTAGCACGTGCCCACAATGTTTGCACATATTTTCTCATCTATATGGGTTCTACTAACACAATTATGACTTTACAGCGAGGGCCAACCAGGTGTCTTTGCCGCCACAATTCACGTGCTGCCCGGCACCCATCACATCCGCTTCTTAGTTGATGGGATTATGCAGACATCACCCGAGCTCCCCACTACTGTTGATTTTGGAAACAACTTGGTAAACTACATCGAAGTTAACCCCGACGACGTCTTGGCGACCAAGAAGGGCGAAGTCATCGAGGCTACCGAAGCCGCAAAGGAGAAGAGCGGATCTCAAGCCGATTCTGAGTCCAAGGAAGAGCCCAAGGTGGCCAGGGGAAAGCCTGTCTTGCCGCAAGAGGCTTACAATGGTCAGATCCCGCAGTACCTGCTCGATTTCGACCAGGCTGAAGAATCGCCGGCCTATCGCAATGCCGTGTCCGCCATAGAGAAGCTGACAACACCCCCGAGCCTGCCCGGCTTCCTGGGCAAACCAATCCTCAACGCTGCCACCTTGATGAAGGACGACAACAGCGTCTTGAATATGCCCAATCATACCGTTTTGAATCACCTTGCGACCAGCAGTATCAAAAACAATGTTCTGGCTGTGTCTGCAACTACTAGATATCACAACAAGGTGAGTTGAATATCGGGAGTTTAAAGGGGGGGTTTGCTAACAATTTTTTTCCTTTATAGTATGTCACTACAATTATTTACAAGCCTACCTCCACAGATGAAGGTTAAAAGGGGGTCTCCATAAACAATGAGAGAAGGGGAAGAAGGTGGATGAAGATGATGAGGATGGTCGAAGACGCCGCTTTATGGCGTTTCAAAGAGGGTTAATGTGTATTATTTTTTTGTTTTGTTTCCCCCCCCCCTTTTTACTCTATTTCCTCTATTCATGGAGGGGTATTCTGTTTACGTTTTTAGTTTCAAAATGCCGTGATATGGGCATGTTCTACATGGGATGGTGGAAATCAGCTGCGGGTTATTATATCGCTGGCTTATTATGGTGAAGAAGCCTGGTGGCTGCAGTAGAGATCCGAGGGGTTCGCAATGAACCAACCAGATAGACAGATGGGCGAGATGTATGAATGCTCGCACAATTTACAGTGCAGTTTGATTATTCCTCCTCCCTTTTCACGCCGACCCCATCATTGCTTTCTGTGTGTTTGTCTATGATTGGTTTATTTTTATCTTCTTTTTTGTATTCTTTTGCTTATATTTCTAGTCCCTCCACTCTACATATACATCGTCCGTTCTGAAACGCTGTGTGCACACGCTATCTTCAAGTGATGTGCGGAAACCCGTTCTATACGCCAACAGCCCGGCATGCGCAATCATGATGCCATTGTCGATGCAGAACCTTTCGTCCATGGCAAAGACGCTGCCGCCTCGCTCCTTGGCCATGCTCGCAATCATGTCCTGCAGCCGCTCGTTGCAGCCCACGCCGCCGACGATGAGGACCTCGCTGCTGCCCACGTGGGCCATGGCCCGCTCGGTGATCTCGACCAGCATGGCGAAGATGGTCTCCTGCAGGGAGAAGCACAGGTCTTCGGTGGTGAAGCCTGCGCCTTCGGGGCCGAGCTTGAGGAGCTGTGCGGCCAGGGCCTCTGCGCTGGCGAGGATGCCGGAGAAGGAGCAGTCCATGCCCTTGACGACGTAGGGGAGGTCGAGCAGCTTGGTGCCCTTCTTGGCCAGCTGCTCGATGTTGTAGCCCGGCGCGGGGTCGTTGCTGATGTTGAGGACGCGGGCGAAGCGGTCGAGGCAGTTGCCCACGGCGATGTCGAGCGTCTCGCCAAAGATGCGATATCGCTTCTCGGCGTAGGCAATCACCTGCGAGTTGCCGCCGCTGACATAGAGCACGACGGGGTTGTCGGCGCCCGTCACGTCACGGCCCATCTCGATGTGTCCCACGCAGTGGTTGACGCCCACCAGCGGCTTGTCCCACAGCAAAGCCAGGGTGCGGGCTCCGATGGCGACGCTGGTCAGCGGAGCGCCCATGCCGGGACCCTGGGTGAAGCAGATGCAGTCGACGTCGGCGGGCGAGATGCCGGCCTCGGCGATGGCGCGGCGCGCAAGGGCGACGAACTCGGTGCGGTGGTGCAGCGCCGTGTCTTTGGGGAGGAAGCCCGTGCCTGGGGGGGAGATGAAGGTGTGTCGGAGGTTGGAGAGAATGGTGGTCGAGGTTGTGGTGTGGCGGATGAGGCCAATGCCGAGCTTGTTGGCGGAGCCTTCGCACCCGAGGGCGATCCATGAGGATTTGGAGGTCGCTGCGGCCATGTCTGATGTAGCTGAGGATGTGGATGTGGATGTAGATGTGTTGGAGGCGGGTGTGATAGATGTAGAGGTAGAGGTTGGAAGATGCGGCACTGGAGAGGCGACGCTGGCAGCGGCCATGCTGGGCGACTGGAGTGTCGAGATGATTCTCAGTGGCTTTCTGTGGGATCTGAAGCAGTTGTCGATACTGCGCTAGGTTTGCGCCCGGCCGGTGACGCTCTCGATGTCCCGGGATGTGGTGACTCTTTCACGGAGCGGCTTCCAGGTGGGGGATTAAGATATCGCTATATAGAGGCCGTTCGCTGTCTTGGTGGCTCTCTTAAAAAAGTGAAGCTGTTCTAAATGGGAAACGGCAAATGGGTTTATAAAGTACAAAATCTCGAAAGCAAATAGCTAGTAAATAGCTTGAGATTTGGAGATGCTCGCCTAGCAAATGATGGATGATGATGCATTCAACATTCACGAGAAAATGTCAAGGAAAAAAATGGAGGGGTTCGTTGCAGCGTAGCAATAGGCCAGAAGCAGAAAATAGCGGGGCGCCGCCAATGGCTCGCTCACCTGCAGCAAAGCATCCTTCCCTTTTTGCGGTTGATTGTGCTCGTACGCTCCTTCCCAATTTCTGTATCTCTGCCGTTTCAAAGCATCCATCCTGCGCCGGCTTATGTAAGATTGTAATGCTCTGGCTGAACTCGTATTTGTACTTCGTAGTCCCTCCTCTTTGCTCCTCTCTGTAAAGCCTCATGTTCCTCCATTCAACGCGGCTCAGGCACTACTACAGTCTACCACCAACGCGCTGCCCTTTCCTCCGAGGCACTGGGATTTGCGAGACTCGGAGGCCCTGTCGGCAAATCCCCTTTAGCGCTCCCAGGACTCGCTCTGTCATCCAGCACCCTCGCACTAAAGCGCTGCTCTTCCCTGGCCTGGCCTGGCCCGCTTCGGCCCTGTACCACCACGGCATGTACTCTTGCGGTGCGCCTTTTACTCGGCCAATACCTGCCTGCCTGGTACTACCATGTCCCCCGTTGAGTGCGTGCTTCTGCCGCCTGTGTGGGCGGAAATCCCCCAAAAATCCACTTGCAGCCGTTCCCGCGGTCCACATCGACCACTCACTTTCTTTCCCCTCGACTTTTTTCCTTTACCCTCTAGCTGGGAGCAGGAAAAAAAAACACACCAAGCACAAAGAAGAAAATTTACCCATCCAGGTCGCTGGTCCGTTGCAAAAATCTCTCATGATGGGAACTGGTCATGAGACATTGGATGTTTTGCGTTCCGGTTTGTTGTGCCCTTGGCTGCAAGGCAGAGTCCCCCTTTGAACCTGATTGTGTGTCGGCGCCTTTGCCTACTTCTCTTTCGTCAGCCCACAGCTAACGGCAGCCTCGCAGCAGACACAGTCAAGATGAAGACGGACACGAAGCTTCTGTTGTCAACCATGGCCAGCTTCCAGCTTCCAACGGCCTGCTACCGAATGCTGTCGATGCCATGGCGATCTCGACCGTACATGAGAACCGGCGAGCTCACGTTGCGCAGCCTGCTTCCCCTCACGTCATCCGCCCTGGTCGCCGTGAGGTGAGACCAGGCTGCGTCACGACACCCGCCTTGCGAAAAAGCTCGCACAAAAAGGACAGGCTCTTCCATCGCCGACTTCTATACATCTTATCACTCTTATCACGCGAATTGGATGGCACACGAAGAAATTTTTCTCTCTGGTCAAAGCCGGTTCGAGGTTTCGTATGATTTTTTTTCTTTTACTTCATTTGCTCCCGTTGGGGGGGCTTCTTCCTCTTCTGATCCTAAAGCACCGACCCCAACTCCCAACTCCTCGCAATGCCTTGACCAAGGCTAAGGTACTATACATCGGTCGTTTCCGTCTACCTCGAAAATATCCTTCCTCCTCCCCAAACCTCCCCCCGTCCCGTCCGTTCCTGAGAGCCCTTCAATACTAGCGTGATTGGAGAAAAAAAGAGAGCTGAAAAATTATATACACCTCCACACACCCATACTCATACAGGGATGCAGTACCGGATTCATCGGGGAGAGGGGGATTTCTTATGATGCCGCCTGTGCCTGTTGGACTGCAGGAGGGTGCGGCGCTTGCGGCTGCTGTTGCGGTTGTGGCGGCGGCGGTAGCACCCGGTTCCCATTTGCTACGCCGTTTACCGCTTCTGGAGGGGCCGTTGGCCTCGCCCGGAAGATATATGGGCTGAGAGGGATAGTAGCCCTAAACTTCAGCGCTCTTGTGTCAAAGGGATCAACCTCATATACTGGAGGCTCATCATCTTCATCGTCAGAGTCATACTTCCACCGGTCCGAGTATTCGTACGCGTCTGCCCGAGAAGGTGTCGAAAGACCTCTTCGATCGATCCAGAGCCGTTGGAGTCGGCCGATACGGCGTCGGAACGCCGGCTGATTAGTTTGCGGTGTCTCGTCGACGTCCGCACCACGGAACTGGAATACTGGCAGCTCTAGCTTGTCCAGTTGCATAGGCTCAGGTACGTCATCGACATCCATCGATTCCGAAGACGTTGACGCCGGCGGCGTCATTAAGTATTGCGTCTTTGCCGGTCTGAACTTGAGCTCCATACCCAATGCTTTTACCGGCGAAAGCGGATCTCGAGTGAGATCAATATGATTCTGGTTCCACCTCCGATGATTCTGCACCTTGGTCTCAATCTCATTACGGAGTTCATTTTCCTTCTCGGCAAGCTGGTCAGAAAGCAGCACAAGGTCCTGTTCGTGCGAACGTCCATCGGACCGCACCGGCACCCGGACCTGTGTCGTAGGCCGCTGGGCTCCGGCAGCTTCTACAGGCTTTCGCTTCTGAGACTGTAAACCCGTCGTGTCAGTGCCAAGTGGCGTCATACGTGTTGAGGGCCAAGCTGGCCTGGGTTCAAAACATACCTTTTGGTTGACTAGGTCTTCGTCGTCGCCCTTGATGCCTAGCTTTGTCTTGATCTGCTTTAGACGAGCCCTTTCTTCGAAAATAGCCCGATCCATTTGCAATAAATCTCGTTTCATCATCTCTCGCTCGTATGCGAACAGCACCAGCTGGCGACCATCCTCGAGCTCGCGACGGAAACGCTTGAGCGTCTCAGCGATCTTGGTGTCTCTGGACCTTGTTTTCCTTGTCTGCCTGACCTCCCGCCGTCTGAAGCAGACGTATGGGTCGGTGTCATCAGTCTCTTGATGTGTTTCAAACTTGATGGTCGGGTGCAGTGGTTTGTTTCCTTCCTCCTGCCGCTTGGACTTCCAGTACTCATATATCTGCTTGGCGTGCTGCAATATGGATGCAGAGCCAAGCTGATTGAGACCGGGCACCATCATATCATAGCCGACAACAGTATTGTCGACTGATGCAAATGGCGTTTGCTCTGTTGCGGTGTCTTCAAACACCTCCATGATGCGTTCGAAGTCATCCTCGCTGAGCAGCCCAGCGGCGGGAGGATTACTATTATATGATTTGAGAAATTCATTGTCATCAGCTGTCATGTCATATTGACAGCTAATACATTCCTCCACTGTCTGAGAAAATCGGATATAAGAGGAAGGTTTGTGAAAGGCTGCGGGATAGAGGCCATCATAGCTGATGTCGCTTTCCTGCGGTGGAGGCACAGGAATTTCTTGATCATTGCTTGTGCCCGCCTCTTTTAGAATGGATTGAAGATGGTATTCCTACAAAGAAAAGAAGAAGAAGAGAAGAAGTCAGTATATATTACGTTTGAAGAAAAAAAGGCAGAGGAAAAAGTGATGAAGAAAAGATGATGACAGAAAAAAAGGATATGATGAACAGAAAAAAAAGAATGAAAATGAATAATATGAAAAAAAGAGGAGTGATCAAATACTAGAGTGAGATACATGAGGACGGAAGATGCCATCATATATGCAGCACTCCGTATATGCCATCTCGACTTATACGCTGGTAGGCAAAAGGCAAGGCAGAGGTAAGGCAAGGAGACAGCACGTGACCGGCCACGTGATATCAGAAGTTGCGGTGGCGTGGATATGGAGGGAAAAGGACTCACATTTTCCTCAGTCTGGTCGACTCCGGTCGCGATTTGCGACTCGGTAAGTAGTGATTCATACTCAGTAGCATCGATCTGATCCTCTCTGAGCACGGGAAGAGTGGTTTTGACCGTCAACTTCTTGACTCGGACTTTGCGGGATGACATGTTGCCAGGGTGGTGAAGGACGGCAGAAAGCCAGCGGAAAATCCGCGAAAAAAAGAGATCAAGTCATAAATCGAGACGGCCGCAGTCGCCTGTTGATAACAGATGGACGATTTAGGCGTTGTGGTTTGGGTTTTTTGATGGCTCAATGCTCGCGTTCGATGAGGTGACGTTGAGGTTGTTTTGCCGCGCGAAGATTTTTCACTGGTGCAAAGCCTGGAAATTTGCGGCTGTTTGATGGCGAGCGCTGGTCCGCCCCAAAGTCACGGCGCCATAGTGTTTGGCGGGCGCAGGTACATGTGGGCGCTCGGGCCACCCCCTCCTTTTGGCTCTCCCTCTCCCCTGAAGTCGCCAGCAAGGCCCACGCGCTGCTGCGCTGAGCAAAAAAAACAGTGGGCGAGTGGTGCCTAGGCATTGGCACACTGGGCGAGGCGCGCATCTGGTTGGCTGGGCGGCGGGGCACAAAGGAGCCCAAAACGCGCCCAGGCTGCCGGAGAGGAGCCGAAAGACGGCATGGCGGGTTTTTGCTTTTCTGCCATCGCTATCTTTAGGTAAGCAAGCAAGCACCAGTACAAAGGAGCTGTGACGCTTCCGTGCTGCTTCTACGAGTACGAGTATTAGACGGCTTCATGCAGGTGAACCGTGCTCATGTATTGGCTCTTTCATAACTCTAACTCTATTCCACTCGTGGCTCAGTTTATTTGCCTAGTAGACTAGTAAGTACTAAGATGCTTGATGATAAGAATTGAAGAATTGCATGCCCTTTATCAGCCATAAGCTTCAGCATGAGGTAAAGTATGCGGAGTACATAGAGTTCTGCCATTAGAGGTTAAAGTTGCCTCCCAACTCTATCTTGCAGAATGACACCACGATGAAATACCTTCTTTTTTGCCATGGAAATCATCTGCAGCATCTAAAATTAGACATGATGACATCTACGATGCAGCCATTTTTGGCAGGATTATTTTCTTCATTCTCGCAAGGCTGAATTGAATTGTTGTTTCTGCCCAGCAGCAGTAGCAAGCGGCTTACATACTCGTAAATATTCGTCGTATCTCCTGTAGAGGCAATCTCAAGGGACGTGGTCCGTGCACATGACCAGCTACCCCTCTAGGAGAATGTCGGCCTTGTACAGTAAATAATACAAGCCTTACATACACGCAGACGACATTCATCGCTGCAGTAGATACATGACTGCTACATATCACAACCACAACTAGCCTCACGCCCACCAACTGTCCGCTGCATTTCCTACTCAAACACCATTTTTCTCGAGACACCGCTAGCGCAAGAGTCGCTGCGCCTGCAACATGGGCAACACCACAAGTACCGTGCTGGACAACATTGTCCAAGGATCCAACTGTAGGCTGCCGCCTCCCCCCTAAGAGCACAAGTTCCTCGACCTCACCTGCTAATCCTTTGTCGCATAGTTGATAGAGAGGAGGTCGACCGGTTAAGGAAACGGTTTATGAAACTCGACAAGGTACGATTGAACAAGGAGACCCAGCGCAGCGCATCGTGGCCGGCTGCTTGATTGGGCCGCTGCCGCCGCTTTCAACACAGACGATGCAAGGCGGGACAAGACAGAACAGGACACGAGACTAACTGATATTCTACTACAGGATAATTCTGGCACAATCGAACGAGACGAATTTCTTAGCCTTCCTCAAATCTCCTCCAACCCGCTTGCGACACGGTTAGATTTACCCCCTTTCGCCTCCTTCCCCAACGATCCCATACACCGCTCGCACTACCTACCAACCGCCCCTATCATAGAACTCACCAACTAACACGGGATGATTTTTTTCCAGCATGATCGCCATCTTCGACGAGGACGGCGGCGGCGACGTCGACTTCCAGGAGTTCGTGTCGGGCCTCAGCGCCTTCAGCAGCAAGGGCAACAAGGAGCAGAAGCTGCAGTTCGCCTTCAAGGTGTACGACATTGACCGCGACGGCTACATCAGCAACGGCGAGCTCTTCATCGTGCTCAAGATGATGGTGGGCAGCAACTTGAAGGACCAGCAGCTGCAGCAGATTGTCGACAAGACGATAATGGAGGCGGACTTGGACAAGGACGGCAAGATTAGCTTTGAGGAGTTTACGAAGATGGTGGAGAATACGGATGTGAGCATGAGCATGACTCTAGGTGCGTTTTCATTTTCTTTCTTTCTCTTTTATCTCCCATCCTGTGTCTTTGCTTGGGGGTTGGTGGCGATGTGCTAACTGGCTGGCGATGTAGACCAATTCTAAACGTCTGCGGGAGAGGAGAAAAGGGGGCAACGAATACTTGTGGATAATGGAATACAGCAGTTATGATAATGAATATCTACATTCAATTTCTTCAACCATTCATGTGTGCAAGCTTTTCCTTGGTCAAAGAAAACATATACCCCCCGGAACGACGAGCAAGTGTGCTTCTGATTGAGACTTGACTGCAGCCAAATCTACGGCGAAGAGAAGTACATTCTTCGTTCGTGAAAGAAGATATAGCTGTTACGGATATAAATGACCCCCCCGAAATCCGAAAAAGGAGAGACATTGACTTTGGAGCCCTCCAACAGACCGCCCTGTGTCTTGTGTCTCGTAGCGGTTTTGGCGAATTCGTGGTGGTGCAATGTGGGAAACTTTTTCAGGCCAATCAAGGCGTCCCACACATGAACCTATTTCTTTTAGTTGAACATGGGTGACTCAAAAAGTTGGTGTTGGATCACCGGATTGGTGCTACGGCCGAGACAAGATGGGCACGGGAGTACTCTTGACAGCTTGGACGAATGGGATTGGCTTGAGGTTGGTGGTACTAGGCGCAGATCTAGTTATTTGCTTAATTGCGGTGTACATTCTACTGGCACTTATTTTTATTTCTTAGTGTCTTTTTATTTCAGTCTGCTTTGGCTTTGGAAGAAAGGGGGGTACTTGGTTGAAGTTTCACGAGCATCTGCTAAAAGACTTGCTTTATCAGTAGTTTGTAGGCCGCAGAACTTGATCCAGGCATGATCCATATTGACGTTCTTGCAAGAAACTCGACGTTGAGTACACTTATAGAGGGTCGAGGGGCCAATGATGGGTTTCGCCTCAGTCTCGTTGGATCATTTTGCCAAAGGTTTGGAGTACTGTGGGATGGCAGGATTTCATTTACTCATGAAAGTAATGAGATATAATACTTCATGAGGCCTGTGTGGCTTATGTGCCATTTCTATCATATTGATTACATGCCTAGGAGACATTGTTGCAACTCGCCGATGCAATTCTCCCCTTTCCTTCTGCTCCCCTTTCTAGCTGCTATGAGGGCATCTCATCCTTTTTTCTCTTTATCGGTTTATAGTGCCTTAATATCATCTTATAAGGATGCCCTGTATCTCAGCTCTTTGCACAGCCACTCTCCATAGGACGTTCCTTCTCTTCTTGTTGAAGTGTCTGTCTGTCATCATCACCTCTTTCTATCCGCCGTTCCTTCTCTCCTTCCCTCTCCCGGAGTTTTAAAGCACTTAGTAAGCTACCTCTCAAGAAATTCAAAGTACTATAAGTGACAACGACACATCTCTCCTTCTTTTTCCCCTTTCATCAACACTTTCTCTTCTCATCTATTTCATTCACCATCTCAGTGCTTCGGTATGGCAGCTTTCTCCCCTTCGCCTGCGTCTACATATTCAGCACAGCTAGGTGCCCAGGGATATGTAATACTAATCCATCGGCAGTGCTACCAGGTAGTTCCTTGTCCTCCCACTGCCCTAGCAACGACCAGCTGGATCTGGGGGATCACCGTCTTGTCCCACTGCTGGCAGCAGACGCACTCCCTGCTCTGCTACCCTTGCACAAAACTGCCGTCACATGCAGTCTAGAGAGGCCAGATCAAATTACGACAGATCGGAAATCGAACTTTTGACGAGCTACACCTCGGCAACAGCTCCCAAACAGACCAGAGCCGGGTTTGAGATGACGTCTTACACGCTTGCCCACGATATCCCCGGCGAGCAGATGGCTGTTGGCTACAGCAAGAAACCAGCCGGAAATAAATCATCCGCAATCCGGGCGAGCTGCTATCATGGCCGGAGACAAAGTTCCTTTTCACCCCTGGTTTCTGGCATCTGACCAACCTTGGCAAAGACAAAGCAATAATACGAGTAGCTGGTTGGTTACATGTAACCCAATTGAGACACCATGGTGAGTATTACCCTCGGCGTATTCTATACGCCCGTCAGTATACACCAACCAAACTCAGGTGACTCCTCGGTGGTTTCTCTTGTCGCCTCACCAATGCATTGGCTACGAGGCTGCTTGCCAAGCACTTCCGGGTATGCAGCTAGCAGCCTGTGTTTATGCGTCCACCCACAACTGCCGATAGCCCCGGCTGAAGAGCCCAGATGAGGGCCCAGATGATAGGCGGCGCCGTGACAGGGCAAGGGGAATATCCTGATTACCTACCCGCTAGACGCTTCAGCCGGTAAGCCGCACACTTACTCCGACGTCAAAATCTCAGCAGCACATTTAACGTTACCCCATGAAACGCTAGCATCAGCTGCTCCCCTGATTCTAGCCCCCAGCCCCCGTCGTCTCACTTGGGGGGCTGTAGCCGCGTTAGTTTTCCAATTGCCATGTGAACGATGGGAGTGGATGGGAATTTGTCATGCGCCTTCTAGCAGGCTTCCGGGAGTCATATCCGGGACAAGCCGGTTTCGGGACCGGGCTTATCCCCGACGGGAATCTTACCTGTCTGCATGCATGACAAACAGAGACGCTCTGGCACAAACACGAGAGACGTCATATGCCATCCATCGTTTCTCGCCCTACCCGGCTGCTACGGTCCAGGGGCCCTTGGATGATTCGACCGATGACCGACGACCGTCTGATATAAGCGGCGGTTCTCGACTACAAGACATTTATGCCTGCTCCATGCCACAAAGGTCCCAACGGGATTACGCAACAAACGCGTAAGATACACAGCCTCGTGTTTCATTCACAGGCCTCAACTTCTTCGTAGTCCGCCTATCTAGACTGTTTGCTATGTACCTAGTCATTAGCAACTTGCGTGCCACTTCCGGCCGGCTGATGCTGCCCTTGAGGGCCCAGACCGGCTATAATCTAACCAATTGTCTAAACATGATACACTTAATATGTGAATAGACAAAACAAAAACTTTTAGTGGGAATCTTGCATAAGTCCCTCGTTATTGTTCGACTCGGGGTGATGAAGATTAGGAAAGAAGAAAAAGACAAATGACAAAGGAAAAGAAACAGAAAAAACAGAGAAGCAATCGCCAGTCTCACATCTTTGCCCGAAAGTCCATCATCCAACGCCGCCTGTCTTAAAAAATTCGGTCCTCGCAGGCTTTTGCCCGCTCCCGCCGTTGTCCTGCCCATGTTGTCTACCAAATACCCGTCCAGTTCCCACACTGTCGTACCAAATTCGCCAGAAATCCGCTCGCCTAGGAGCCGCACTCCCAATAATGACATGGCATTCCTTACCATTCTATGCCCGCGTGTGTGTTGCATCATCGTGTTTGTAGGTGCCTCGTTGGAATGTTTGCGTGTCCGTGTATAGGCCAGTTTGCCAGCCCATTCAGGCGTAGCTAGAGCCATTGGAGTATTCAGCCATATCACTTGATATACTGAGCCACTGACTTCCCCCCCTTGCGCCCTACTAAACACAGGCCTGATCCAAGAGACATGCATCAGCCCCCTCCGAGAAAAGCGAAAAAGTCCCAATATCCATCCGTCCGTCCATCCGTCCATCCCGTAACCCATAAGACCCAGCTATGAAACCTCTCCTCCATGTTATTCCTCCTCGATCTAACCTTGTTAATATTCGTGTTTTCGCTATTGGAGAGGCCGTGTCGAAAGTTCCCGTCGTATAATGTACACTTCCCAAGCCGCTAGAAATGCAAGGGTAATAGCAAATGAAAAGGAAAAAGAAAAACAAGAAAGACAGCGAACAAAGTTGAAAAGCAAGTAAACAGCCGGTTGTTCTCGCTCCGGCTTCGAAGTGGCTCATGCATCTGTATCGGTCATATGCATAGTAGTAACTCGCATCGTATGCAAAGACGAATCAGCGAGATCCTCCACTCGTGCCGGCGGCCGCTTCGAGAGACTCGTAGAGATCGAGGCATTCTTCAAGAACTAGATGATTGATTAGTATAACCTTCAGCTACTAACAGCAAAAAGAAAGGGATTGGCTATACCTGTCTCGATTCGGTCCTCCCACACTCCGTACTGATAATCAACCAAACCATGGCTCTCAATACCATCGCAAAGCCGAACAAGTTCGTCGCCCATTTTCTTGATTGTTTCCTGCGACATGACCTGCTGTGATCTTGACAGCTGCTGACCGGATGACATGATTTCTTTTTGTCGAAAACAAAGGGCTAACCACGCATGGTTAAAGTCGTTCCACAGTTTTATTCTCTCGGCATGAAGGCTGGCGTCATCTTGGCTGAGCCCTGTTCTGCATGTAAGCACAATGTCAAGTTTACCCATCTTGCTCTCTTCATACCTAATTCTGCCACTTGCGTGAGCAACCACCCAGAGATGTTGAGAAGGGTTTCGGCGGCTCTTTCCAACGAAACAGACGATATGTCCTGAAAGACGGATCCTAGCTGTCGTTGGTAGTTTTGCCACTTCTCTTGAAGGCCAGACGTAGCGTAGTCTTGCCCTTCTCCCATGGCGGAATCCGCGGCTCCTGAGGTCTGCTGCATGGCGCCTGTAGCAGGCATGCTGCCCGCGTAACTCATGGATTGGCCCTGCTGATATACCCCAGCCGATGCGCTGCTTCCCTGGCCCGAGTGCTGCATGCTTGCTGCTGCCGCGCTCCCTGCTTCGGGATTAAAGTATGTTGACGTGACATCCGGTGCCATCATCTGCATTGCTGCCTGCTGCCGTTGCCCGAATTGTTGAGCGTCATAGACTGGAGTTTGCGTATTCGGCTGAGGCACATTGTACATCATCATACCCGTGTTGTAGCCCCCGAAACCCTGAGTTTGTGGTCTCGAATCGGCGCCGTATTCCGACCCGTACGCCATAGCCGTCGTTGGCATGTTTGTCGGAGTTGAAAACGCGGCTGCGGGTTCTTGGTAATATGTACTATATGTCGGCGCACCCCCCAAGCCTCTTGGAGTTGAAGATAATGCAAGGGGCGCCGTTCGGTAGCGCTCAGAAGAACCGCCTACAGAGCCCTGAACTGAGTATCTTTGTGCAGGAGCGTGATGGGTAGGCGGGTCATTCTGCCTCCTATGTTGGTTGGGGTTGTCCATGCCCCGATGGGCCTTGTCGTAAGAAGCCTCTCGATGCGCCGGGGAGGCAGTGCTGTTGGAGAACGATCGTATAGAGCCAAGATGGGCACCTTTGTAGCCGTACCGGTCGCGGGTTTTGAACGAATGACCTTTTTTTTTTTTAACGAAAGTCTGGTGAACGAAACGAGAAGTGCGAATCGACAAATGTGTGTGGACAGCTACTAGAAAGTGGTGGGTGGGTGTCTGGATCAAATCTGCTAATACGATGATCCTATAACTAGTTGCAACTGGAGATGTTAAACACTCAAACGAGAGAAAAGGTAAGCTAGGTGGACAAGTCGAGAGACCGATGTCATAGCCTGTTAGTAAAGCTCATCAAGCCTCGAGAGCCGACTCCTCCAACAATAGCAAGAAAAAGATGTGAGATTTTTTCCTCCCCGGCTCGAGGAGGTGTTGTGACGAATACAAAGCCGGCTGCCCTCTGGCAGACTCGCAAATTCTCAATGGCGGGTTTGCGGAGCCAACGGCCTAGTTCATCATGCCCCAAATGGCAATACGTCAGGGACCGGGCGCCAGAGAGGCGTAGGCTTGGTAGGTTCCACCAGGTCGACCCAGTCTGAGACTCCGGGACACACCGGCTGCCTGCTTAAAGGATGTTAGGTTAATCACAGCAGGTTGTTGGAGGGCTGAAAGGCTTGGAATCAAGCCGGTGACGGTTCAAGGTGAGAATTCCTTGAGCAGGATTTGGGGAAAGACGGCTTGTTCTCCTCTTTGTAATATTAGATGCTTACCCTTTCTAAATCTGACAGAGTGGGTTGCCAGGAAATAGCACAAGGAACCCAATGGCCGAGATAGGGAAGCCTAGGCCAAATGAGAGATTGGCAAGGGCAAAGCCTTTGCCAATCAGATGATGTATGTGGACGTGGGAAGCGTGACTATGCAAGAGTTGATAACGATGGTGAGGATGCAAACTTGGTTGAGATCCCAAAACAGCGGGGATTAGACCGAGAAACTAGTGGTGATACTAGATGATTAAATCGATGGAGCCTTGCTGGAGACCGACGGGTGACTGGCGTTGGAGGAATCATCGGGTCTTATACCGAGGGGGAACTAGTTGGCAAAACCGTCTACTCCGAGATCCACGCTAATGAAAATGAGGGAGAAAGAGAGAGAGAGAACGAGGCAGGAGTAAGAGAAAGGACAAGAAGGAGGCAAAAAGGCACAAGTAGAGGCGTGTACTCCCTCCCTAGGAGGCAGTATACCATGTCGCCGGTGGGTGTGTGGGAGGACGGAGTACAGGAAAGAGGGATGTCAGCAGTATGCAGTCCAAAGTGTGCCGTCTAGGGGTCCAGACAATGTGCGGCAAGTCATAAATGCAAAAGCAGGGCTGCTTGTCAGTAGCGAAAGGTGGAAGCCACATCGGCCAAGATGCGCTTGGTATGACCCGGGGTGCTGGACATACCGTCGTATTCTGTACCTTGCGTTGGCCCTAGAAGAACTTGGGGCGATACAGCCGGTAGGCTGTCACTAGTCTGCAAGGCTAGAGGTGAGAGTTTGAATTGTCGATTTGGTATTATTTGGGATCTGCGTGTGGCCACCCCCTGGTCATCCGGTACGGCGGAAAAGAGGCTTCGTTGGAGAAGGACAAGCCAGGGGTGGCCCCTTGATAGGTCACAAAAGACAGAAATCAGAGGTAACAGTGAAGGAACTGCGCGCCGTGCCTCTCTTCTTTGTACACAGTACGCATAGGGAAAGCCCACAGACTAACAGGTGCGTACGGAGGAGGTACTCGTAGATGTCGCTTCTAGACTCGCGATTGGACAAAATGCTCAAGCGAAAACTCAGACTTGCTGAGAGTGGAAACAACGAAGTCGAGGTGCTCTCCGCCAGAGACCACATACACGAAACAGAGTGGATTCCATCTTGACTTAGTGGATGGGCGCGGCGATGGTTTGGGCTTGGCCGCATGCTTCGGCACTCTCGTCTTTTTGCCTAACAGACTCCTGTGAGCAAGGCCCATTCCCGTCGTCTGGAGCTGGAAGCAATGCCTGTCGGAACACAACCCGCCAACCAGGTATTAGGTAGTTGATGAGCCGGTACTTGGACGCGGCGAATACCGTAAGCAAGTAGAAGCCGCACATTCCTTCTGCCTGCGCCAATTCATCAATGGCTGGAGAGATAGCGGCGGATGTAACAAGCGTGTCATTTTCATGCATGCAGCAGTAGCTGTGGCCATTTTCCGGACGAATGAGCATTGCAGGCAGGGTGGGCGGAAAATAGAAACGGCAAGTTAACGCATGACAGCACCAGCCTGGGGGTTTTGCATGAATAAGGGCGTCTGAGACGCTTGGCTGTCTTGTTACCACCCTTGGATTGGAGCTGGAACATGACAGCAGAATAGGCCGCTGGATAATGACGCAGAGCCTGGACTGACTAGGGGTTTGTTGAGACGGCACTCCCTCCAATGGAGCACGTGTAATCGCGCTTCTCTGGTACGAGTAGTTGGGAAAAGGAACCCATTCGGTAAGCCAGCAGAAACGTTCTTTTGTTGTGGGCGTCAGACCAGATGGCTAAAAGCGTATAGATGACGGCGCTTGGAGGCCGGGCTGTTTCCAGGCCCCAGCAACACGGCAGCGAGTGGTCTGCTTTCGAGGTTAGTCCAACACACGGGGATGACCGAGGTTTCAATGCCCACAGCCTCCAGCTTGCCATTGCGGCCATCCGTCGATCCAAAGCAGCAGCATGTCAGCTGCCGGGGGTAGGGGAAATTCCCCGTTCAGTGACCGGCCATTAGGGTTGTCGCAAACGATCCAGGCCTTGACAAGAGGCGTCCCGACAACCCGGGTCGTCCCAACTGAGCGAGACACACAATGCCCTGGAAATGAGGTGAGGCGTCGTGAATTACTCGCTGGCTGACTGGTGTGAAGTACCTGCATGTCTCAGTCAGAGTACTGTATAGTCCTGTAGGATACCGAATGCAAAAGCAGATCACGAGACACAGCGCCAATCCATCACATGTACTACCCACGGGTGAAGCAAAAGATCTCTGATCTAAGACAATGCCTAGCTGGTATCGCTTGGTGAAGGTACACACCCCTGGAATCGACACGCCCGTTGGACAAGCCACCTGCAAGGGCCATTGACAGACAGAGCTGAGCTTTGAGGAGGAGAAAAATGGCCAAGAGGAACCAGAAGTTGGTAGAAGGTGAGTCTGCATTTGAGATTTGGAATTGAGAGATGTAGGCGGGAGTACTAGATCTCCCTTGTACAACCCGTCGTTAATTTGAGGTACCACCAGATTGATAGTGGTAGAGGTAGTTCAGCTGCACAACCGACGCCAACATGTACGTGATTGGAATTTTTTAGCAAGGTCTATCTCATAATAACACCTCACTGATAGAGGTACTATACTTGTACTACTCTGCACGTGAGGATTGCTGGTTGTTGTAGGGCAGGAGCAGCTGTAATCATTCTGGCAGAGCCACTCGGTGGAGAGAAGAGGAAGGCACACCCCAAAGTGTACCTAGTACTTTGCACAGGTGCGAAACCGATTGTGCTACGTCAATTCTCTCTCTTCTTCCGCCCTCTGTTCGTTTCTTTTTTCCTCTTCCTGGTGCTTCTTCTCATCGGATTCAGCCTACGCTCTCAGTCTATTGCCATCCTCCTCGCCACGACCAGGAACAGGGGACGGGGGATTAGGAAGAATTTCGATCGCGGAGTGGAGGCCAGCGCGGGACGGCCATGTGCAGCGTGCGTCAAGTCCACAGCTCGGGTGCCTTTTCGTGGACAGGCCATGCTGCAACGCAAATCCTGGCAGCAGCCAATCTGCGAGCCCGGAGCAGGCAAATACAGGCAAAATGCAGCTCACTAGGGCCGTGCTAGAGGCGAGCCATCGGCCTGGTCCACAGCGACTCCATCGACGAGCAGCCATTAGGAGGAACAAAAGCCAGTGTGGAGATGGGCTCGGCTTTGTGTAGCGTGCGCAGCTAAGAATAATTTTCCACAGAGCTGTGAACCATGTTCCGCTGAGAAGTGAAGGAGAAAAAATAAAATCGCTGAGCTTTTCGGCCAGATGTTGGCCAATCTGGTGAGTTGTGAGGAGTGGGTGTGTATACAGGGGCAAAGACGCCGGGAGCACTAACGGAATCGAGAAGCGATTATGCCGTCAATCTACAAAGTGTACGACCATGCTCAATGCCTGTCAGCAGCAGCAGTTTCGCTAGGTTAATAATAATAGCAGTGCTCGTAATCACAATCTCTCACGAGCGCGAGGCTGTTCCGATGGACGCGAAGTACCTCGGACGGACTACAAAACCGGCCGGCCCAAAAAAAGCAACATTGACGATAGTCGCGAGTGAAGCGACTACGGGGACCCGGGCGCATGATATTGATTATGACACGAGCCGTTCATGGCTGTAAGAGCTCGGAAGGTGGTCTGATGTCTCACATGCCCGGAGCAGCTTTGATTGTTCGGAGTATTGCTACTACTACTACGGAGATGCCACCAGGAGTATGATTTGAATTACTTCGGGGTAAGCTCCTTGGGCATTCACGACGCACGCCCAAGACAGCGGAAATGGGTAGCACGAACTAATAATCTCGTCTGGCTCGCCCAAAGTTAACAGGGACTTACCGCGGATCCGATGCCGTGTCGAAGCTTGCATACACGAGTACATACACGAGACAGGGCGAGCACTGATGCCCAGCCAGGAGGTATGTACAGGCAGTTGTTTAAAGCAAGGAGTAAGAGAGATTGGACATGCCTCTAACACACACATACGAAGCATGTACATACATATCAACGACTGCGACTACAGGCCTGTCACGTCACGACAGAGGCTAATGCCCAACATTCAGCTGCTCTGTGGAGCACTTACATAGCAGTGGTCGGGAAGAGTGATCCTGGTCGTGTTTTACCCCAGCTGTCTCTTGCTGTCTCCCCTGCACAGCGAGTTTCGGGTTTGATGAGCCGAGGGCCTGTCCTTGACACCGACATACAAAAGGAAAAGAGGGAGACCAAAACAAGCGCCGATCCGATGCTGGTACCTACACACCGGTAGAGATACTAGGCATATAAATGACCTTGCCTGGTTGACTCTCGCTCGATCATCGTACGATTACATGCGCTTCCTGGCTCAGTTGCCCTTGAGATTCAGTTGCCGCGGCTATGAGGACTGGCTTTCGCTCCAGCGGATGTAACTACCCCCCATAAGTACACGGGATGTGACACCCTATGCTACCAGAAAGAGTATTGGGGGAAAAGGAAACCCTCCTGCGTCACCCTTTGTAAATGATGCCGCCTTCTATTGGTCTGCCAACCCCTACCCTGGACCCGGTAATAACGACAACAATATACATGGCACAGACGGGCCTCGCGCGGCTGAGACCGCAATCCCTTGCTGACGCATGTCCTGACTCGACGTCATTGGCAGGAATTGGGAGAAAATCTAGGCTCCATTCCATGGACATGGGGCACACTTGAGCTGAACTTGATTGTCTACGTCCAGCTTGTGTGTCACTTGTGATGTCGATCTCGCTAAACTTGCTGGACGGGCCATACGGGCCGGATCCGACCCGTCAGAACAAGCTTCATGACTTTCGATGCTTTTTCTTTCTCGTCTGAAGGAATAGGACTTGGAGGCTGTGAATGGCTCAGCTGAAGCCACCTTTTGAGTACATCATTTTTCAGATGTGCGTAGCTCTTGGCGCATTGAGGAATACAATGAAATATTGCAAGTGTGGCTTGTTTAACAAACAAAGGCGGCTTGAATTTCCGCCAATACGGACGAGCAGCGGCGATATAATCTTTCTTTGTGCTGCGGCTCATGTCACAGAAAAGGGCCGGTCAGCCTCACAACCCCGGAACTTGCATGATTCAAGGGTCCAAAAAGAAAAGAAAAAAAGAAAAAGAAAAGGAAAACCTGCCTGTCGTATCACATTCTGCCTACCCTGCTCTTCCACCCTTTGGTTGGCACCGTAGCATCAATTTTCTTCTTCTTTTATCTTTGCAGGCATTTACGAGCCGTGATGGGATCCTTGCTTGATACCCAATAGTTTCACCCGCTACCAGGTAGAAGACAAAGAAAAAAAGAAACCACAGAGGAGTGAAGGAAGAAAAGAGGCAAAAAGAAAAAAAGACATTTACGCCCTTCATTACCTAGGTATGTCACTGTCCTTCCTTTTGTGCGGCTGAGTACTATGAGACAAACTACTGACTCGAATACCATATCATGCATTGAACTAGACATTGTAAGCCATGACTACAATGACGTGTCCCCCGTTCTTTTCTTGGATTTGACTGCTTACATATGCTCAGCAGCAGCTGGAAACACAGCTGGATCTGCCTTATGCGAAGATGGAAGTTCATACACAACGTGCTCTAGTGATTACGCACAGCCGTGCGGCGACTACGACGTACTTGTGCTGGTCATACTTCATTATAACATTGAATGCTTCGGCATGGGCCACGATAACCCAAATGTCCCCAAGTAGCAAATGTCTAGGTAAGGTAGGGTTCTATAAATACAGATTTTGTAGATGATACAATGTCGCTCCTCGGAATAGAGGCAGAGAGAGAGAGATAAGCGCCCTTTAGGCTCGCTCTCAAGCAGGCGTCCTGCGTAATCTCGCCTAGCCGAGCTTACAAACGCCGCGGGAAATCCAGGCCCGTGCAGCTTCTATCGCTTGACCCAGGCAGGCATCTTTCGGGCCTTGACATGTCCATGCTTCTTCCTCTCCACTGTTCTGGGATCGCGTGTGATGCAGCCAGCTGAATTGGGGAGATGCAACGTTAGCAGGCCGTCGTAAACACCGAAAAAGCAAGGAATCGAGACAAAAAAGAAACACCGAAAATGCCAGGTTGGCTTTCGAATTGAACATACCTCTTCTTAGAGCCGTCTTCAATGCCGGCTCATGAGCGACCAGCGCCTTCGCCACGGCCAGGGTAATTGCCTCAGCCTGCCCGGTCGTGCCGCCTCCCTCAACCAAGACCCAGACGTTGTACTTGTCCAGTCTCTCCGTGGCAGTGAGTGCCCAGACTGCGCTCTCACGGTCGTGCACGCGGCCAAACGCCTCGCTCAGAGTCTTGCCGTTGACTAGAATCTCTCCAGTTCCCTCCACGACAAACGCGCGAGCAGTTGACTCCTTTCTCTTGCCTACACCGACGGCACGCCCGAACTTGTCAATCGTGATAGGGTTGGGCATGTTCAAGAATGGGTTGATGTCTCTTGTAAACTCCGTTAAAGCCACCTTGACCTCTTGCGGCCGCAGGCTGGGCTCGATGAGGTTCAAGCGCTTGGCCACCCGCATGACCTTTGCATAGTGTGATGACTTGATAGGCTCTCCCATCTGCGCCCGCATCTCCTCCAGCTTTGTCCATGGCATCTGCGGAGCCTCACTTGGCGGCACCGTGGGCAGGTGGTTGTACTTGGTGAGCAGCTTGGAAATTCCAATGTATAAATCGTTGAACTGGGGTTCTCTTGAGAAATAAGATGGCGTTGCCGGAACGACTCGCGCATGCGTAACGCCCTGGTATGGGATCGGGACGGACTCGGCGGCTTCAAGTTCAAGACTGGGAGGCTTTTGAGAGTCGCTGGTTATAGACCGGATGGCGAGTTGAAAGCTGGACCGCGGGAGGATTGCCGGCCGCCATTGAGCTGCGGCAATCGAGCTTGCGCATCTTGCATGCCGCAAGCCGCTTGCAATTGTCGCCATTGTTGCCGAGCGTCGATCGAGGAGATTCGAGACGACGTTGCGATCCTCCAAGTCGTGGTACCACAAAATCTTCCCCTACGATAACCTCGCCATTTGGCCTGCAGCTTTGGACTGCATCACGTGGAGATAACGAGCAATTGAGGCAGATCACCAGCCACAGAAAAGCCACAGAGCCCCACAATTAACCCTTGCTCTTTGTTGCTTCAACAGCCACCGCGGGGCATTAATCTCCCCTCATTAGAAAAAAAAATTCCTCTATCGCCCCAGCCCTTCCTCTCTTCCCTTCTCAACTCTCTAGTCTAGCATCTCGACATCAGTCACAATGGCTTTCGGAACTCTCTTCACCACCGCCGTTAGTCCCTCATATCATACGCGTAACCGTTGTTTGTACCAGGCTGCTCACTCTTCTCCTGCTGCAGGACCAACCCCGTGCCACCGCCATCAAGGCTGTCGCCAAGGCCAACGGCCTCGAGCTCAACATCTCCAACGTTGAGGCTGGCAATCCCACTGCTGAGCACCTCAAGGCTCACCCTCTGGGCAAGTACCCTGCTTTCCTCGGCGAGGATGGCTTTGCCCTGAGCGAGAGCATTGCTATCGCCATCTACGGTACGTATCATGTTCTGTGCCCGCATATTTTCCTGGCTCCTCTTGTCGACACATTATGACTCCTCCGGTCGCTCGCCAAAATGATGAGAGTATTTTTAAGTTATCCCTGTCTGAAAGAAATGTTAATAAAAACTTTTCCTGTGTTGATAACGACAACTTCTGATCTTGCACCTTTATTTGTTCTTCAAATCTCGAGTTTTTCTAGGGTCAACGTGTTGTGGTGCTCTAGCTAACTTGATGATACAGTCACCTCCCAGAACGAGAAGACCACCCTTCTCGGCAAGACCAAGCAGGAGTAAGTCGCGCATCTCTCTCTACCTGGTGTATCGCCTCAAATCTAACAGATTGCTAGCTACGCTTCCATCCTCCGATGGATGTCCTTCTTCAACACCGAGGTCGCCCCCAAGATCGGTGCTTGGATCAAGCCCCTGACCGGTGCCTCCCCCTACAACAAGAAGGCTGTCGATGACATCTCCAAGGAGGTTGCCCGTGCTGTTGACGCTGCTGAGGAGCACCTCACTCACCACACCTACCTCGTTGGTGAGCGCATCACCCTGGCTGATCTCTTCAGCGCTGGCCTCCTCTACCGCGGCTTCCAGTACTTCTTCGACAAGCAGTGGCGCCAGCAGCACCCCGCTGTTACTCGATGGTACGAGACCATTGTTAACCAGCCCATCTACACTGCCGTCGCCGAGAAGCTCCCCTTCCTGGAGACTCCCGTCCTGACCAACACTCCCCCCAAGAAGCCTGAGCAGCCCAAGCCTGCTAAGGCCCCCGCCGCCGCCAAGGCCGCTCCCGCCGCTGAGGAGGAGGAGCCTGCTGCTGCCCCCAAGGCTAAGCACCCTCTTGATGCTCTGCCCAAGGCTTCCCTTCCTCTCGATGAGTGGAAGCGCCAATACTCCAACAGCGAGACCCCCGCTGCCCTCAAGTGGTTCTGGGAGAACGTCAACTTCGAGGAGTACTCCATCTGGAAGGTTGCCTACAAGTACAACGATGAGCTTGCCATGACCTTCATGTCCAACAACCTCATCGGTGGCTTCAACAACCGTCTCGAGGGCTCCCGCAAGTACCTCTTCGGATGCACCTCCGTCTACGGAACCAACAACGACTCCGTCATTGAGGGTGCCTTTGTCATCCGTGGCCAGGAGTACGTCCCTGTCTTCGACGTCGCTCCCGACTACGAGAGCTACGAGTTCACCAAGCTTGACCCCACCAAGCCTGAGGACCGTGCCTATGTTGATGCCCAGTGGTCTTGGGACAAGCCCGTCATTGTCAACGGCAAGGAGTACCCTCACGCCGACGGCCACGTCTTCAAATAAAGAACGACAGTGGATGGGGAGGATGATAAACTATGAAGTGATGATGGGTTATGGGTAAAAAAAGGGTTGAAGGGAATGAATGATGATATCTCATGTGCTTGTACACACACACATGCCTACGTAGTCTCATAAAACAAGGCCGCAGGAAACCAATTCAAAACCGTAAAAAGCGTCCAAGCTATGTGCCAGCTATCCTTTATGTGTGAATATGAAAAAGGTTATAAGATGAGGGGTATCTAAAGAAGAGCTCAAAAGGCTTAAGCTACTAGAATGCTCTAGACAGGCCAACGAGCTTGTAGAGCGTACAGTCTATGTAGGAGGCATGAAGTCCCAAGTAGGCTTCATCAAAATATGCGCTGTATACGTAACCAAAGAATCTAATAATCAAGAATCTCTATGCTATATGGAAGTCTGGCGGCGGCGGCAAGCTATAGCTTGAGTCGATCCTAAAAGGGCGATCTCGTATGTAGCTGCTGATGTTGGTCTGATAGCAGAGGGTATTTAGATAGTCGTGAACCTGTGGCAGCACATTGGGAGGTTCGTTGGCGAGACCCTCAAACTCGGGAAGCTGGAGGATGTTGTAGGGCTCACTACGGCCCTTTTCGGCCGAGTCATCAACAAGGACGGTGTTTGTCTGGTCCCAGCGCTGGCCCTGGGCCGCGGCGGGATGAGAGGCGACAACGTTTGGGTCGTTCCAGATGCTGGACAGGCGCTTGTAGCACTGGACGCGGGCGGAGTAGTCGGCGGGGCAGAGGCCGAACTTGTCGCGGCCCCAGATGACGAGGCACTTTGCGCGCTGCTGGGGGGAGAGCAGCTGTCCAACCATCTTGTCGACGTTTTCGGGGCGGGCGGAGGACCAGATGGCGACGTGGAAGGTGTCGACGCAGTAGTCGAGGAACTCGCGGGCGTGGGGCCGCTGGATGAAGTTGAAGGGGTTGCGCTTGTTGGGGCGGTAGAGCAGCGTGCCGTTGAGGTCCATGATGACGAGGATGCGGCGCGGGTTGCGGAGGGAGGATGGAAGGGAGAGAGATTGGGCGATGTAGAGGGGTGTAGGGTCGGGGATGCCGCCGGATGCTTTGCTGGGGGCGACGCGGCCGTCTTGAGGGAGGTTCTTGGGGGGGAATCGGGGCCCGGCTGGAGGGGGTCTGGCGATGAAGTTGTTGGAGTTGTGGAAGTTGTTGGGAGGAAGGTTCATGAAGTTGGCGTTGGCGTTGCTTAAGTCGAAATAGTTGAAGTTGTAGGCACTAAAAGATAATAGACTTGTTAGTAGTTTGATTTGTGGAAGAAGATGAGTTTGTTTGATTGTACCCATGTTGACCAGAGACAGGAACAGGAGCAGAATCTTGCGCCATGCGGCTCAGAGCAGCCTGTGCCTGTGCCTCTGCCAACGCTCTCCTTGCCTTTGCCTTTTTATTCTCCTTTTGTTTTCGTGGCAGCACATACGGCGCCTTGGCTGGCGGCTGGGGAGCCGCAGGACTGATGAGGCTGCCCTCGGAAGTCGGCGCAATCGCATGGGGCGCCAGGTTGTTCAGCAGAGTCAGCCCTGGGATTTGGATGCTCTGGGGCTTCATTTTGCCCTTTTCCCTGTTTTGCCCGCTTGTAGTCGAGGAATAGTGGACTTCTGCAGAAGAGCGTAAAACGAGCGGCGGATGTTCCTCGTGAGTCTCTGGCCCGATGGCCTCGGAAGGGGATTGTCGTAGCGGTGGACTGCGAGATGAAGGATTCCGGTGTTTGCTAGATAATGGCTGTGTCCGGACCTTGGTTGCGGCAGAGCGTGCTGAGCAGGAGAGTCCCGTGATTACCCTGCGTGGCCACATTAAGCGCTCCTCCGAGGTCTGCAAAAGGCCATTATCGAGGCGAGATGTTCGTTTGCACTAGAATGATTGAGTTTTGGTGTTGGCTGAATACCTAGGTACTTTCCGGACGCTAAAGCCCCACATAATTGCTGGTTACTTGCATAAGTCGCCCATTAAACCATGCAGACGAGCCAGGGGTCTTTTATCGATAAGGCAACGCCTCCAAAAAATAATTTGTAGGAAGAGATTACTGCTGTTAGCTTGGGGTAGAAGATGCTACGATAATCCAACATCACGCTTTTGTACGGCTACGAAATCGACAATGTCCTCCAAACGGAAACTCGGCTCGCTGGGCCTTGAGAGACGGGTAAAAGCCCGGCGCGAGGAAGACTGGGAACCGGAATTGAGTGCCAGCGAAGAGGACGATTCAGGAGAAGAAGTATCTGAAGAAGGAGATGACAGCGGTGATGAGGGTGAGGATTTGGAGGAAGCAGAGTCTGGTTCAGAGGTATGCAAGTTTTGATTCCAAAAGGCAGATTACAGGTCTACGATGCTTATGTTTTGAACCATCTATAGTCTGAAGAAGCCGAGGAAGATGCCCCAAAGGTCGACTTCTCAGCAATCTCCTTCGGCGCATTAGCCCGCGCAGCAGCCAGCTTGCCCCCCTCTGAGAAGAAGAAAAAGAACAAGGCGGATGCTTCCAAAGACGATGAGCCTACAGAACGCACAACCAAGGAATCACTAAGACGAGAGCCGAAAAAATCATCAAGTCGGGTAGATGCATCGAAGCGAAGCTCCAAACACGCGCCGCAGGAAATGACGTCCAAGAAGCCCGTCAGCAGGCGCCGCGAAATCCTCGCCGATCCGCGCCGCAAGACTCGCGACCCGCGGTTCGACAATCTTTCGGGACAGGTAGACGAGGCCAAGGTTGCCCGGAACTATGCCTTCCTGGACGAGTACCGCGAGAGCGAGATGGCAGAGCTACGCATGCAGATCAAGAAGACCAAGGACGTCACAATCAAGGAGGATTTGAAGCGACAGCTACTATCTATGGAATCTAAGAAGAAGGCCCGCCAGAAGAAGGAGGAGGAAGTAAAGATACTGCAGGAGCACCGAAAGAAAGAAAAGGAGCTAGTGGCACAGGGCAAGCAGCCGTTCTACCTGCGCAAGAGCGAGCAGAAGAAGCAGGTGCTGATGAACAGATATGCAAACATGAGCAAGTCGCAAGTCGACAAGGCGATTGAGCGTAAGCGGAAGAAGGTGGTGGGTAAGGAAAAGAAAGAATTGGCTTCGCTGGAGAGGAAGTCGAGGCGTCATTAGAGTCTCTCTCCATCTTTTAATGTTATGAGTTATAACAGAACGCGGAGCAGAAATCCCTGTAATTACTTGCTTCTTTTCGCCCCCTATCGAAGTGGACGATGCCGAGATGAACAATTTTGCCTGCAACTCTCATTCAGTTGTTCCTTTGACTTGAGAATAAACAAGGTTGACTAGGCCATGAAGCCGTTCGTGAAAGAATAACTTGTAATTGACACCAAATGGGCACTACATCGCCGATTTGAGCCATCATTTCATACCACAGTACCGAGAATAGAGTTTGAAGTCGACGGCAGCAAAATCCAATTGAACTGCAGATCTCCCCTGTCGAACTGCGTCACAGGCTGAGTGCTAGAGCGCTGAGTGTTTGGCAATAGCTTTAGAGATAGGCAGTGTGAGGTCATCGATCACCTTGGGGATGACTTCGAATTCTGATGTCTATCGGCGGCATCATACCGTGGCCGCCTCTTCACGTGTTTATCCTGGCAAGTGCATGGCAGTTGAGGTCAGATTATGACATAGTCTGCATGAGGGCCGACTTGTTGAACTGCCACCGATGCGGGATCGAAGCTCGTTCGACAAATTGCTGACTAGTTCGCTAGAAGTTCCAAGAGAGACCTGTCCCAAGAGTATGAGAAAAGGAAAAGGAGGCCAGTGGGTAAGCGTGAATCTTGGTATCACGATGAAATCTGCAAACCGACATGATTAGTACTTTGCCACTTCGTCACAGTCGAGGATGTAATGCTCCGTGCGAGTCTGATGCAGCTCTAGCGGTCCTCATAAACGACAGGCATGTAGTTAGCCGCGCTAGTTTCATCATAACTTTGATGACCGTCGACGTGTATTGTTCTTTTTGGCATTGAAGCTGCTCTTCGAGAAATGCTTGTGTTGTTGCCTTGGACGATACTCAGAGATGTCTTGAATGGAGGCAAATATCAAGTCGTACAAACGTCATAATCTGGCTCAGGCTGGTATGACGTGAAGGACATTGTCTTCGCTCATCGTACCCCACATGGCATTTGCAGGTTGCTATCTTTCTGTGAATGGCCTCCCTTCTTTGAGCTGCTCACGCAATACACGAACTTGGTCACAATTGTTCAACTTGGATAAGATACAGAAATGATGATGGTTCCAAGTGTCACTGAGGTCTTTGTAGAGTTTGCATCTAGTGGTGACGGAGTGATGCTAGCCTTCTCGCACGACAGGGGCCAGAAGTTGCGGCGACTGTTGAAGGCCGGGATCATCGCCTATAGTTGCAGAGCAATACATGCTTGATGCAAGCAAGGGATTCTAGTTCACCCAGAGTTGCTCCCACCGAGGTGTAACTAAGGAGAAGAGAAAAGGCTAGGTGGCGTAGGTGGATCATAGAAATTAAACTGGCGGTTATGGCCACTCAAGATCTCGACGAAGACACATGGATTCGAGGGATCGAGCAACGCTGGTTGGCCTTTGCCTATGTCTTGATCCACTAGAAAGTCCACCGACAGAGTTGACCTTCACGGATGGTGCCGTGCAGCGTGTTTAGTCTCAAGAGGAAACGCAAAAGAAAAGCATTGAGGCTGGCTCCATCAAGCTCTGGGGGAAATGATGTGATGGTTTAGCAAAAGCTTGGTTCGCTTGCGGAGAGAAGCATGTCGAAGACTCTGAATGTCGATCACCGGCGTGTGACGCAGGGACCTTGAAGCTTGGTCGTAGGAGAAGCCAATGATAAACCGCGCAGTGCTCCGTACGAGACGTATAGTAGCACTAGATTGGGGCAGATTTACTCGCTGAACCGTCAAGGCCACCGCATGACGATCATGAACAGCTTTGGATAACATGAGAGTCGATCCACGCACCGTAATGGCGTAGAGGAACGTGATGTGGACCCCCGTGACGGAGGCGGCGAAAACGTTGGCCCAGATTGAGCAACGTTTTCAGATTGGGAGCATCGCCGTTTTCGCAGTGGGGTAACGGGTGACATCACACACAGCGGCTTTCAATTGGGTATTCCAGCCAGGTTTTTTGCTGATTCGACGTAGTGTATCAGCTACTGTAATGCGTCAACCCCTACAGTATGGCTAACGCTGCTGTAGAAGCCTTGGCCGTACTGTTTCCCTCCTTGGGCATTGTGACTTCATTCAGACTGGAAGGCGTCTGGAGAGGCGAGAGGGGGGAATCGGATGGGGGCAGGCGGATCTGGGCTTCTGCCGTCGTTCTCCAGTAGTGAAGAATATTTTCTCTTCGCAATAAGTGGATGTTGAACGAAGGGGCGCTGTTTGATCTCGATGGAGGCCACGTTGAATACGTTTGAGGTTGAAAGCCACAACGTGCATATCTGCTTCGTAGGCAAGGTAGGCTTGGTAGGGCCTAGTTTGATCAACCGTTGAGCTCATATCTCGATTAGGACCGAACAACTGCTAGGATGCCGCATCATTGAATAAACGGACCTCAAAAATGCGTGGGTGAGAGTAACACGGTCCAGGCACACAAACTCCATAACCTAATTGGAGCGAGGAATCGTAGCTCGCTCTTTCTCGAAGCCGGGCCCGTGAGGAAATGGAGAATAACCCTCTCAATTGATGGCCCAACTGGCAGGGGTGTTGATCTGGCCTGCCCGCGTATCTTCCCTTTTGGAGCTTTGGAGAGATTAATCTGCCCGCGTTTCCTCATTCTTGGAGAGATTTGCATGTACAACGGATACGCTAGCTATGCATTGAAATTGATTCGAAATCTCTGGCCAATAGCAGAGATATGATGTCCGGAAGCCCCGGTTTCCGGCATCTGCCAATGCTGAATAATGGACAGAGGACTAGAGACTAGAGTCGATATCCCCAAGCTTGCAGCATGGCGTGCAATTGTGTGACACAAGAAAAGGGTCTCGAACATTTCGCCCTGTCCAAGACATGGCCTAAGAGGGCGGGCGCATGCATTCATCTGATGCAACGGGCGCTTTGGAGGAGAGTAGCGTGCCCATTGACGCAGTTGCCTCCAAACAAGCCAGAGCTTTCTGGGCAACAAAGAACACACGTCAAGCAATGATGCTGGCTTGAAGCCCCGTAATTCCTAACTCCTGGCAGATGGGGTGCCCACAGTATCGCGTCCACGGTACTTGGATGAGCTGTAGTCTATCTGCTCCAGAAGAAGCATTTGAAAAAAGGCCAGAGAGGGACGGTATGACACGCGTGTGACGAGCATGACGATTTCCGATCAGCAGGGACTCTGGCAGGCAAAACTTGGACCGTTTTCTCCAGTCTGCTGCCCACCGTTTCACCTGCTCATACGTATCGCCTCCAGAACTTGGAAGAGCATCGGCACATCCCTGGACAATCTCCATCTTCGCTAGGCCGGCCCACTATGATTGTGGTGGCGTGGGCCTCGCAGGACCCTGAGCGAACAGCAGCCGGCCGGACCCCAAAAAGGGTGTCGAGCTTGTGCGGAGCGGTGGGTGAGCGGTGGTGGAGCGTTCTAGCACCGAAGAGGCGCTGGAGGCGATTATCACCGTGCAAGAGGTGGCCAAAGAGCAGCGCCCAGCAGGGAACAGGCCTTGTTCGCCGTGCTAAGTATGTAGTGATACGCCATTTTCACCTGCGCTACCGTCGGTTGATTCGCCCACTGCCGATCAGCTCGTTTGGCTGGGGCGGACAGGATGGCCCAGGTGAGGGTCTTTGAGGGTGTCCTGTGAGTAATTGTTCGTGTGCTTGGTATGTGGTATGCAGTCGGTCGAGCCATCGGAGGGGTGAAGGAAGAGGTCGACGTCGAGAGGACCCTAGACTAGCAAGTTAGTTCTCCTAGTCTGATCCCCTTGAATGTATGCATGTCGAGGTTTGAATGAGGGGAAATGATCATTGGGTGTGGTGGAGGGTCCTGGATTCTGTCTTGCACATTTATAAAAGACCCTGAGATCCGCACCTTTTCTATTCCAGGCTCGCCACGACAGTATCTGTTGATTTCCACAGCCTTACCTAGCTCTTGCCTTGCACCTCTACTTCAATACGTCATCCTTAATCAGCCCATCCAACATCTTCTGTTGACAGACTCAATAACACAACTACTTAATATTCTCGCCTCCTCGCTGACAACTTCCATTGTATCACCACCAACCACATCTACGTACTCTCTCATCAGCAGTTGGAGGATAAATCACACCACCCTCGACATCTATATAACACCACACTTCAACACAACCCAAATTCTTACAACACCAAACCAAACGCCATGATGCCCGGCAGACAAGACGCTTATTCCGTTTCCATGCCCACAAACTCTCCTCCTCCCCCGCAGAGCATCTCCAGCTACTCTCGCTTCATCCACGACCACACAAAACGCCAAATGCAGGCCTTTGGAGCTGCCCTGTCACCCACAAGTTCCGGCTCTTCGGGCCGATCATCAGTTGGCACATCCATGACCAACGGTACAGCGCCTGCGATGTAACCATCTTGCATTTCTGCGGGTGTCCAAAAGCGAAAACTCGCTGCTTGAAATTGCGCATGTTTAGCTTTAGCGGTGCTTCTCTTTTTCCCAGTAGTGTGCCATTATGGCAACTACATTGGTAATCTGGACGGGACTTGAAAAATGAATTTCGGGACAGTCTAGTACGGAATAACGCCGTCGACATGGCGAATCCAAGATTGGAATGCCTGCAATAGAGACAATGCAACTCCTTTTTACCGATCACGCATCTACACTACGGCAAAAGCAACTCTTGCGTCACATCGAAAACGAGCCGACTTGGTGCCACTCGCTAACTTGTCGCTCGTTTCTATTTATTATTGATTTTACGACTATATGATACACGCACGGCGTTTGGGGGGATTTTTATGGCAGGATATTAATTGGCTGGGAACTCGGATTCCTTTGGCGCAGTACATACTTGGGACATTGGGACAGTTGGAAGGGCGAGGGGGCTATATCAGGCTGAAAAGCCACAGTACATGATAATGATAATAGCAATCGACGATGCATACACGAATTGAGACGATTCCAATCCCATGGCAATCTTTATTCAAACATTACCAGCTGTTTCGCTCTCATTTGATATGAAGCCAAGTGACCATGTGTGATGTGTACAATATTATTATTCATTAATGAACCCATTCCCGCCTGGTATTAACACCATCCATGTATAAACGCCATATGATAAATCAGGAGTAATCGAATTTTCCTCATGTTTCGGAATATTCAAGGTTCGACGCTTGAAACGCATCCCTCACATCCTTCTTTCCTAGCCATTACACCAAAGAGGGCTTCTTTTTTATACCAAGCAACGCAGAATGATCCTTCTTTTTCTTCACCACTCTCTTGAAAGATGTCGGCGGCGGTGGGGGCGGCATGGATGATGATGCTGTGCTAGTCTCTAGCGAGGGCGCAGCTTTCTCCGTGTCGATGTCACCATCCCTTGATGCTGAAAACTCGGCACTTTCAGCGGCTGTTTCTTCCAAGTCGCTAGGACCATCCGGGGCAGAATTGCCCTGTCGTTTTGCCGCTGCCGCAAACGCTCTTTTGGCAGCTTCTTCGTCTTCTCTATCCTGTCGTTCCCGCTCCGAGTCCTCAGCACGAATTATAGTGTCTGCATAATCCGTCCCTTCTTTTTCGGATCGATGTATCCTTGCGTTTCGCTGTCGAATTTCATCAAGGGCATCGGCCGCAGCCATTTCGCGTCGGGCGTCGGCATTCTTGGCCTCGAGATCCTCCATTGCGTTCTTCTCTTCCTCGCCCGCCGCTTCAGCTTCCTCTCGCTCCAGCCTGTCCAGTCTTTCCTCTACCGACTCTTCAGCTAGTTCTCGATTCCTCCAGGGTTCGAATGAGCGCATGGCGCCTTTGACCATCGCGTAGTCTGTATTGCGCGGGTCCGTGCGAAAGGTAATCTCGGCGCTGCATCTTGTGCACTTGATGTGGAAGAAGAGGATCTGGATGCCGAGATATTTCTCATCTGGTCTGATTTCCTTGCGAGAGTTGAACTTGCGTCCTTTGTATATGTATTCGCCACAGCTCAAACACTTCATGGAAAAGGGAGCCATGAGTCGGACGGTTTGGATTCTCGGCCCTGTGGGTTTGGGTCCTCGGCGGCGGCTGATATCATTGGGATCGAAATCCGGGGGGTAGTACTTCTGAAGAACTTTACGCTCAGACATTTTGAGTTGTGGTGTTGGGTATCGTAGTTGCGAGGTGAAGGACGCGAAACAGCGGCTGAATAGTCTGGAAGAAGGAGACTGCGAAGAGAGAAATAGATGGAGTGGCGTTGATGCAGTAACAATAAATGTTGACACCCAAGAGAAATAAGGCTGAGGTAATGTCTCTGGAGAAACCTCGGCAAGTAGATAGTGTGGCGATAAGATAAGATTTCGTTGCCCATGCAAGGCTGAGCCCGGCAACACCTTGAACTGCCATCTCCATAACAAAACGTCACATTTCACATCCATATTATTCGCCCTCACGTTGTAGCTTTGACCATCGCCGCAGTCGGATTTGATATCAGAAGAACACTTCTTTACAACAAAGAAAGAGCAATATGCCTAAAGCAGAGGTTGGCTCAACCAAGCACTTGAGCAACAAGCTCAAGTCAAAAGGACTTCAGCGCCTGAGATGGTACTGCCAAGTCTGCGAAAAGCAGTGTCGCGATGCCAATGGATTCAAGATGCACACCCAGTCCGAAAGCCACGTGCGACAAATGCTCGTCGTCGGCGAGGATCCGAAAAAGTTCATCAACCAGTACAGCGACGAGTTCTTGAAAGACTTTCTGTCGCTGCTCAAGACGGCTCATGGAGAGAAGCAAGTCCAGATCAACCAGTTCTACCAGGAGTACATCGCCAACAAAGAGCACATTCACATGAACGCGACGAAATGGCCGTCGTTGACCGAATTCGCCAAATATCTAGGGAAAGAAGGCTTATGTCGGGTGGAAGAGACGGAAAAGGGTCTTCACATTAGCTGGATTGACAATTCGCCCGACGCTCTTCGACGACAAGAGGCACTGAGGAGGAAGGAAGCTCAGGATCAGGGCGATGAAGAAATCGAGCAGCGTATGATTCGAGAACAGATCAAACGAGCACAGCAGAGCGCCGGAAAGCGCGAGGGAGAAGGCGAAGAGGAGTCAGAAGACAGGGAACTCAAAAGACAAGATGGCGAGAAAATAAAACTGTCGTTTGGCGCGAAGCCTAAGCCAGAGCAGGAGCCCAAAACTACAGAAGATAAGCCTGAAGGATCAAAAGATGCCGAAAAGAACGAGGGGACAGATGCCGCCGCGTCAAGAGAGGAACCAAAGCCGGTCGCGAATAAAGCGGGTTTTGGCGGGGTGTCTCTGAAGTTTGGCGAAAAGCCACAGACGAAGAATGTCTTTGCCCAGGCGAAGAAGAACGCGTTGGCTTCGGGGTCGAAGAAGGGCTCCGTATTCCAACAGCCCAAGAAAATGAGCGAGGCCGAGAGGATCATGAAGGAAGAGATGGAGAGGAAGAGACCCAGTGGCTCGGTCGGGTTTGGGATGCCTGGGGGTAAAAAGCAGAGAAATCATTAAAATAAACCACGGGTTGGGACGGCGTTTTGGGGGTTTGATATAGCGTATAGATTGCATATGGGAACGGATGTATTTTGTAGCATGTTGCGTTTCCATAGATACCATAATGACCTAACAACAATTTATATATTAATCTTTGGTCCTCCCATGTTTGATTCCATCACCAAAACGCCGTATTCGCCTCTGTTGTACGCCAAATCATTGTGTGAACTTCCATACTCGTTTAAGCATCGGCCTCGGTCTGCGTGCCATCCCTCCTGTATCATCAAGTCAGTCTCTCAATCTCACCGAAACGAAAAAAGAAATCCTTCCAAAACGTACGGAATGTATTGTATCCTATACTCATCCTCCAAAGAAGACCTAATCTCGTCGGGAAGCTGTCCCGAGACCTTGATCGCGTACACGCCGGGCACATATCCGTCCAAGCGCTGCCACTTTGCGACCCACGACTTGGCCGGGTTGGCCAGCGTTATCAAGCCCTCAAAGACCTGCGACGTGCAGCTTTCGATCTGGTCCTGCGAGCCGATGAGGTGCAGGAATTCTTCGCAGTTGGGGCATCCTTCGTCGCGGAAGCGCTGTAAAGATTTGGGAGGTCAGCAGTGGCTCGCGTTTCTTGGGGGAGAGAAGAGAAGAGAAGAGACGGACGCTGTATGTCATGACGATGGAGCAGACCATGCAGGCGCGCAGGTAGCGCTGCTGGCCGGGGGTGACGAAGCTGGACATGCTGCGCGGTAGAGGGAGGGAGGTTTGTTGGATGAATTGGCAAGGCTGAAGATTGAAGATGGAATCTATCAATGGGTCATTTTGGCGGAAAGGCGCTGGAGGAGCGCTAGTGCGGAATTGCTTCCGAGGCATAGAGTACGTACTGTACCTTGAGTTGGAGCTGTCTGCAGCATTTTGACAAGCAAGAGGATCTATGCGAAATGGTACATTTATATATTATCTATTTCATCTATTTGGTTTATAGTTTCATTTCAATAAATCTTCAATTCAAGGATCGGTGCATCCCGTTCTCTCGCTTTTAGGTGTTTCTATGATTCCAAAGATTCACCAGACTGCACTACAATCGATGCATCTAACCCAGATCATGCAACAAACGCAATTTAGATTTTCACCTACCAAGAGCTACCATCTAGACACCACTCCCAACTCTAACAACTTACACCCTCCCACTCAAATTATCTTAAAAAAATGAGCCAAGACACAAATTCAGAGGCCGAGCGGTCAATACTGGAGAAGACAAGACTTCACAAAACGCATGAACTGCTCACATGCATCATCAAATCACCACCCTTCTCATACGTCCATCTGGAACTTCTGACGAACCCTCCCGATGCTGCTGTTGAGCTCGACAATCTCCAGGTCAAATCTTACTGTACGGCTGCTTTACGCCAGTTCCTTGGATTAACTGGAACTGCAATTCCTCTCGATATGCTCAAAGTCGAGGGATCAGAATGCTGGGTTCGAGTGCCCCGAGAAGATCTCGGCTCCTTTGCCGCGGCGCTTACTGCCTGGAAAGGCACCAGTGATGAAGGCATCGAGTCTCTCCTACGAATCAAGCAGTGCTCTGACTGGCTTGGCGCAATGGTTGGAAGCCATGGACAGGATCGACTGTGGAACAATTGAGGCATTGATGCTGCATAACCTAAAATACCTGATCTACAAAGGGGTATATCTAAGTGCTGCCTCTTACATGGCCATATTTTAGAGCTTTTTACTGTTTTTTGATACCCCTTCGGATACCTGGAGGCTACGGGTTTATATACTCCCCAGGTTCCTAGAAGCCCTTCATCGCCTCTCTTTGGATCGACCTAATACCTTACATGAGGGACGACATCAGAGAGCTTTGAGCATAGGCCTATGTTATCATGTTAGAGCCAGCTCCTGAAGTAGCAAAGGGAAGAGGGATAAGAGGGAGGGAGACTCACCATTGGCCGAATGTTCGGGTGCGGTACCGCATCAAACTGCTCGTACCGAAGCTTATAATCAGGTCCGATGTTGATGTAAGCGCCCCTGTTCTCAGTCGAGTCACAATATCTCGGAGCAGAGAAGACTAAAGGATCATCAATCGTTAGTTTTTCTGCGGCGATAGAAGCTAGTCCAATCAACATGAGACATACCGGTAATGCATTTGCCATCGTGCTGCACTTCGTAGCCATCCATGCGCACTTCGTGACTTCGGATGACGGCCTCCAGACCGTTGTTCTCGCAGAACCTCTTGGTGACATCGGGGCCGAATTGCATGCCGACTCCTCGCTTGCTAGGTCCTCGGCCGGGTTCGTCTTGAGGATCGGTCCATAGCATCTCCATCATCAGACCTGACTGACCAGGCTGGCGCTGGCTATGTCGGTTCAGCTTGCGAATGTCGTCCAATGTAACCTTATCATCGGAGAATAGACCGCCGTGGAGAACCAAGTACTTGGATCCAATTAATGTGGCCAGGGCCAATGCTGAGAAACTCTCGGAGAATAGCCTGAAAATCCTGTTGTGGGTGTCAGTAAATGTTGACCGTATTGGTGCCAGAGTCCAAAATCCAAATTTACCTCTCGTTGTACTTGGCTTTGCATTCTCCCTCAAAGCCGTAGACCTTGTTCATGTCATCTGTCTCGTGATTTCCTCGGTTCAGGAAGAAGTTGTTGGGTCGTAGCCACTTGTAGGCGTACAGTAATAACGCAATCTCGGTGGACCAAGAACCCCTGTCGACGAAATCGCCGTTGAACAGGTACCAGTGCTTATCCGATGGAACACCGTTTCGTCGGAACAATTCCATGAGGTCAAAGTATTGGCCTAGATTCGGGAATAAGTCAGCACCATGCAATAAATAACCAATAACAGCTATGCCACAATATGTTTTGCCTACCGTGGGTATCACCACAGACAGTCAGCTCGACTCCCTCGGGAACTTCCACCTCCACCATGGTGGGCTCGTCGTATACAAGTTTCTTAACGGCAATGATGATCTGGTAGACGTATTTCTTCGCAAGGAGCTTGCCATTCTTGAATCTCTCAATCATGTCGTCGATAAATTCCTGGGTCATCTCGCTTCCGAGCTTTGCTCCGTCATAGCCATCCTCCACGACCATGGAGTCCAGATCAAGCCCCTCCGCAGCCGATGGCTCATCGCCAACTTCGATGGCAGCGAAGAAAGCAAGCTGGCGCACAATCTTCTTGCATTCCTCCAGCTTGAGTCGCGCATCCTTGTTGTTGGGGTCCAGCCGGACACACTCCTTGAAGTCTTCAATCGCATCCTTGGGTTTTAGAATCGCAGTGCGGGCGAGGCCTCGGCGGAAGTATGCCTACATGTGGAAAAATCTTGATTCAGTTCCCAAACTCTTGTATAATGCGACTGCGAGAATCTTTTACCTTGACCAGCTTCGGGTTGATCTCGAGGGCCTTGGTGGCATCGGCAATGGCATATCCGTATGCTTCTGTCTTGATGTATGCCTAGTCACACGCCAGTTAGTCAAGCTGCAGCCTGGGGTATAAAGACCGAGCCGGAGCGAAGTCGGGTTTACACACTTGGGCTCTGTTGGTGAAAAACGTGGGCTCGGAGGCATCTGCGTCGATGGCCTTGCTGTAAAAGGTAATTGCTGTAGGATAATCCCCATGGGAGAACGCCTTGTTTCCCTGGTTCTTGAACTCGACAGCCGTTTGCGACATGGTGAAGAGGGGTGATTATAGGTTGGACTGGAGCACGCGGAGATATTGGGAGGAAGCCTAGGGCCGTGATATCGCGTGCGCCAGACCGTCGCAAGGGGAATTCGCAGGATTCGGAGATGGGAGAATGCACAATGGGAAATCTATACAAGAAAGACGGGCTCTTTGTCCTCGGCCGGTCAACGTCACAGGCGCAGCGTCTGGAGGAGCAAGTGAGAGGTTTGGACTTTTCGCAAAGAGAGCCCAAAACCTGGAATCGATAAAGAACTGGGGATGCAGAGTGGGTTCTGGATTGGGCTAACAAGGTCCTAACAAGGTCCGAATGAGGAGAAGGCCAAGTGCAGATGCCCGTCTAGGCTTCTCTAGGCTGCTCCAGAGGCTCCTCAATAGGCTGCCGGCCCCCTGTAGGGCCTACCAGGTTGTGCTATTTGCCGCTGCCATGTGCCCTGTGGATGTCGGAGGCGTCCATGTTCCAGCGGCCTAGCCAGCCCTAAGGCCAGCCTGTGGCTTTCCGCCGTCCATTGCATTGCGCATAGGTACTGTAACAAAGCCCGGATGGCGCCCATGTGTGTGTTGGTGCGTGCTGCGGTCGGATAGATGCATGTACCCGTACATGTACATGTGGCGGCTCGTGGGGGCGAGTGACAAGGGCCTTGCTGGCGTGGCGGCAGTAGTCCGGAGTACTGCCAGTTGGCACGGTACTTTTCACATGGCGACTCTACCCTTGTCACTCATTTCGACAACTGAACGGCCCAAACTCTCCTACTTGCACATCAACAAACAACACCTCTTTGTCATAATCAATGGCCAGTTTCACATCAACAGATCCAACCTCCAAGGAGACACAGCCATCAAACATACGGCACAGACTAAAACTAACCGCAAGTTTGGTCTTGACACGGCCCGCCATGGAGTCTGCGGCTGGGGCCTCAAACGCCCTGGTGCGTAAGAGGACCGACACAGATCTGATGCCGCCTCCGCCGCCAGCAAAAAAGATCAAGAGGCCCAAGAAAGTGCTGGATGAGGATACGTACACAGAGGCGCTATCACAGATTATCGCCAGGGATTTCTTTCCCGGCCTTTTAGAGACGCAGATTCAGCAGGAGTATTTGGATGCGATGGAGTCGAAAGATGCTGCCTGGATATCAAGCGCCAGCCGGAGACTTCGACACGTTATGACCCCTGGTCGGAAACCCACAAGAGCCTCTTCATCAATCAACATCACAAATGGCAACAGCACTCCCACTAGCTATGTTGGCGATACACCAGCGTCCGTGGCAATAAGCGTCGCGCAGGCCAAACCGGGGCTGGATCTCAACTTGAGCTTGTCCACATTTCAGGCCACCTACACTAGTGAAGATAATGAGAGCTTCTACAAACTAATCGACAAGCAAAACCAGAAGAGGGCCGATAAATACGCCTGGCTCTGGCGCGGAAATAAGCTTCCTTCGAAGCAGATGATTAAACAGAAAGAGGTCACCGACAGACTGGAACAGACGCGGAGTCTTGTTGACGATGGATTTAAGAGAGATTTGTTGGCCATCAGGGATGTCGAAGAGCGGCCTGCACGACCGGACTCATGGAAGGCAGCCCCACGGAATGGCCTCATGTTTGAGCCAGAGGGCCTCGAAGACGGGGTTAAGACGATTGCCGAGAGCGCGGAGGAGCAGTCTCGCATGGCGCCAAGATCGATTAGCTATGAGAATACGAGGATGCCGCAACCTCATGTGCCACAGCGACCTCCATCCCCAACCATGTCGTCAGTACGCGATGCTATTGCTGGAAAGCCACGACAGCAAGATCTCGACTCTAGCATTGTGGGCGGTGGTGAAACCCCGCGAGTGAATGGGTACGCCTTTGTCGATGACGAAGACGGTGACGACGACGCATCCATCAAGATGCCTGCACCTATCAATCTAGGACCCGGGGATGCGACAAACCCTTTCAAGATTCAAGATCAGAGGGAGCGAGAGCTCCTCCACGAGCGAATGGTGGAGCGAATTTCCAAGTCCAAGAGCGAGTCTCAGCGGAGAGGGTTCACGGGCAAGGCCAGTCAGATGGAGACACCGAGATTCACCAGTGGCCCGAGAGTATCGGGAGGCTTGACACCGGCCGCCCAACGACTATGGAACAAGATGGCGACCCCGCTGAGAGGCAAAGCAGCCGATTCCTTTGGACAAGCAACACCAAGGAAACCCAAAGGCTCGCTTTTGAGGAGCGTCAGCAGAGTGCCCCCCAAATCAAATTAATGTGGCTGTTTTCGTTTCGGAATTGTTGCAACATTATTCATTTTACCTATACATGTTTTATTCTGGAGAGAGCGATATAAGGATATCGGTGGTGTTTTGGAAACTGGATTAGCAAGGCGTCGTGACGAGGAACAGTCACATGAAAATTTATACATCAAATTTGTTGACCAGAAGGGAACTATAGAGAGAGTCGAGGAATTCATAAGGAATCGATTATGCAGATATTCATTTATTCGTATATCGATATTAATTTCACTTTATCATCTATTGGTAATCTACTTTAGATCGCATTCCCAAGCGCGCAGAGCCCACTCTCAAATTAGAATCCATGGTGCGCTTTGGTGACATGCAGTTCCGTCGCCCCGCTTAACTGCATATTTTAACGACATCCAACTAAAACTTGGCGGCCTTTTCCGATCTGCAACTCTATCATACGAATCTCGAATCCGCAGAACAGAAGCTTTTCCAAGACTCTGCTTTTTTGTTTCGGTGAATCCGCGGCTGCTTAGTTCACATGGGTTTTGTGAACTTTGCGATTGACCTTGCGGCGGTGCTCAATGCCTCTCGGTCTGTCGCATCAAAGCATGTCGCTCTTCGCGGCCGGCAGCTCGACGTCTATAGCAGGACGTCCAGCGTTGCGTCTGTGTTGAGGAGTAAGGCTGCTGGTCCAGTACAAACGGAAACTCCGGAGCAAAAGGAGCCGACTGATGGAGGTGAAGCTGTGGGAAAGGAGGCTGTGGATGTTGAGGATGTTGGCGAGAAGAGCTCCGAGTCTGCGGCTTCATCTGCGCCGGTTTCCGAGGCGCCAAAGCCGGGAGACTTTAAGCTCCACGAGCAGCCAATCTTCAAAACTTCAATATCCGGAAATGATTCCGTACGACAAACAATAGAGAATGCGTCTGCGAATATCTCCCCGGCTCAGAACCAGGACCAGATCAAGGAGGAGTTGGACGTACCTCAGGGGATTGACGTCAACATCTTTCACACTGCGCGAGGCTCTCAGATTCTTGACTCATTACGCAAGCAACGTGGAAAGCCAGATAGCCGTAAAGAGGCTGCTAGTAGTGCTGCGAAGGAGCATCCTCTACGATACTGGCCGCGACCACCTCCTGTTATGGAGGATGTCACTCCTTCAATTGCTGCTGAGGTTGAGACCAGGATTGTTGACGCTGTAGATGAAAAAGCTCAGCAGGATGTACAGCAATCAGAGTCTATAGAAACCACAACACCGGAGTCAACAAGTACACCGCCACCGGAACCTCAGGTTGTACCAGAGGCTATTACAGAAACTGCGCCAGAGACTGCACCAGAAGATATTACAAAGGCTCCACCAGAGCCTGTGCAGGAAAATACACCAGAAACTTCACCAGAGACTTCATCAAGCCCTCTTACAATCGCAGAAGAACCTCCGTCTAGCACGAAAAAGGTAGATGAAGAAATAGTCGAAGCTGTGAAAGCAGCGGCCATCCCCGAAGCACCGCCCGTGAATATACCTACCTATCAGCTTCGAGAATCCAAAGTACCCGCTACCCGATTCAGTCGTATCCTCAACTATGGCGGTCTAGCTGCTGGACTGTTCGGCGGAGCTGTGACGGAGAGCGTAAGCAGAGCCTTTGGAGGTGGTGGTGAAGGGTCTGTATTACTCAGTGGGGGTAACATGGAGAGATTGGTAACAAAGCTCTCTCAAATGAGAGGTGCTGCTCTGAAGCTGGGACAAATGATGAGCTTTCAGGACTCAAAAACAATGCCAGCCCCTCTTCAGGAGGTGCTCCAGCGGGTTCAAGACCGAGCTGACTACATGCCGGCGTGGCAGCGGGACCGTGTTTTGATCAGCAATCTTGGATCTGACTGGCGAGACCTGTTCAGCGAGTTTGAAGAGAAGCCCATTGCGGCTGCCTCGATCGGCCAGGTTCACAGAGCCGTGCTCAAGTCAAACGGCAAGCGAGTAGCCGTCAAGATCCAATTCCCTGGCGTGGCCGATTCCATCAACTCTGATCTGGACAATCTCGGCATCTTGCTCACGGCCACAAAGCTGCTTCCCAAGGGCCTCTACCTGAACAAGACGATTGACAACGCCAGACTGGAACTCGGTTGGGAATGTGATTACACTCGCGAGGCAGAGTGTGCGAAGCGGTACAAGGAACTGCTCCAGGGTGAGGAAGGCGTTTTCGAAGCGCCAAATGTCCATCTGGAGGCATCTGGCAAGCAAGTCTTGACCATGGACTTTCTCGACGGCATTGGTGTCACTCGCGTCACGTCGTTTACGCAGGAGCAGCGCGATTGGATCGGCACGCAGATCCTGCGGCTGTGCCTGAGGGAGATTACAGAGTTCAAGTTTATGCAGACAGACCCCAACTGGACAAACTTCCTCTACAACGCCGGCACCAACAAGCTAGAGCTTCTCGACTTTGGCGCCTCGCGAGAGTTCCCCGAGGAGTTTATTTCGCAGTACGTGCAGCTCCTCGAGTGCGCATCCCGGTCCGATCGAGCAGGCGTAAAGAAGTTCTCCGAAGGCCTAGGATACCTGACAGGCCACGAGAGCAGGACGATGCTTGACGCACACATCCAATCAGTCCTCACTCTAGCAGAGCCATTCCTAGAATCAGCCCCCGAGGTCTACGACTTCAAGGACCAGACCATTACCGAGCGAGTCAGGGCGCTCATCCCAGTCATGCTAAACGAACGGTTGGCGCCGCCGCCCGAGGAAACGTACAGCTTGCACCGGAAGCTGAGCGGCGCGTTTCTGCTGTGCGCGAGGCTGGAGAGCAAAGTCCGGTGCCGCGAGCTGTTTGCCAACAGCGTGGCCAAGTCGGGCTATGTTGAGCGCTCGTGAGAGCTTCGGTCGATGGGTGTTGTTGTAATACTAGCGGGACCTATATCAGCTGTAACATTAGTAAAAAGTTTTGTTAGAGAGATGGCATATAGAACTTTTTTTTTCTCTTACTGTTGGAAGAGATTGAGTGGAGAAGAAGGCAATCTTTTGTTTGATTTTGTATATTGATATGAGCATACAATGGCCTTTTCTCACAACAACTTGGCTGCCACACTCCATTCGAAATAGAGCCATCAAGTCCAACGAGAGGTCGCAAGACGACTTGAATGAAAGCCAGGGAATTCAATTAAAAGTAATACAGTCTTCTCTGCTAACCAATACCAATCTGAGTTTATTCAACACTTCCTCCATCCTCCCTTATACTGCTTCTATCCGATTAAGTTTTGTATCCTTGTTCCCCTGTCGTCATCCCCGCACCCAAACTTATAAACCATGCTACCTACCAACTCATCCTGCTCCGTTGCCGACCACATTCCCTTGCCTTGCGGCCACGGAAGCGATGACGTCCGGCGTAGCATAAGCGTAACATCTTGCTTTTCTTAACCTAGTATTCCAGTATTTACCTGGACCGCCCTCAGGGCAGTGCCTGAAGAATGCTCTGCGATATTTGACGAAAGTGATGACTGCGTGGGCGCGTTGCCAGTCTTCGTGATGGATGCCCCATACACACTCGTTTTCCAAACCCTCTGTCGGCTCTCTGAATCTGGAAGGGTTGGCCTTGATCAACTTGTACATGCAAGCAATTGCAGTGAGAACTGAATCAAGCTGGAATAGGTTGGCGTGATTGGCGTGATTTTGTACTCCAAAGTTGGGATACCCTAATATTGACCCCCATACTAGAACCTCGTCGGTTCTACCGTTGTCCAAAAATGCTTTCAACCAGTGATCCGCCCTCATAGCAGCTAACTGATCCTAGAGTATGGGTCTAGGGGGGGATATACGTTGAGTGTTCCCTTCAAGCTTGCGACTATTGTCGAGGGTGATTAGTGGCCATATTACACGCGGGGCTACAATAGATGATTAGCCAGCGCCTGTGACATGGTTATATGAGAGGGGAGACAAGCATAAGATTTGTGTGTTCCTCTGCCATCTGATGATGACAGGATGTGATCGGAATGAGAAGTCACACCATAGATTTGCTAAATCTTACCAATAAAATCGGCAAAATAGTAAAGGTGCTGCACTTTGGAGAAGCCAAGGTACGAGGACAAAAAGCCAGGGTATTGGGGGAGTTTATCAGAGTTCAACAAACGAGCGAATGCGGGCCGATTTCTAGAAGATTGCCATTTATCGATCATCTTCTGAGTGATCAGGTTGGGCGGTGTTTGAGGCTGCGGCACGAAATTGGGTGACCCGACATCCATTGGCCTTTCGCTGTCTGTGTCTGGTATCGGCAAACCCATGAGCCAGTTATTTTCTGACATGCATGGTTCGGGAACCTCATCTGAATCTGCCATTGGTGAGAAAGCTAAGGTATTGCTGTTGATGATGGCCGCCTCGGGGAGAGCACCGCTGGTTTTGGTTGAGAGAAGATTGTGATGGAGGAGTAAAAAAGGCAACGAAGTACTAAGGTAGGGAGAATTGATACAAGGCCAGTCTCGGTATGTTGATCTCGCGGTCGGACCTGACTACTATATGTTGAACATTGTTATCTTTTAATTCGGACTTTCCAACTGTCTGTTGCACAAAGCAACCAAGTAGACCCCATGATGCAAAATGATGCGCTCAAAGGAAGTAGCATTGAATCTTTATCCATTGATGACTACTAGGTACCTACTAGGTAACTCTGCCGAATCAAGGTACTAAGCTATATCCCAGAGTCCAGATGATACACAACAGAAGCAACAGCTGGGCATCGGCATCTGTTAAAGTACATTACCTACATGTATAAAAAAGAATCCATGTGGTTGCAAAGGACAAAGAGTGACCCGCCGAGGTTGAATCTCCGGGCTCAAAATACTAACACACACATGTGACAGCTGGGCGTCGATGTATTCAGGTAGGCACCCTAGTAGCCACTACAGCACTAACGTATAGCGCCTACGGGTACACGTATAGCAAAAACCTGGCAGCCCGTTGATTTAGAGCTTCACAAGCCCTGTCTCCATGGTGAATTTGTAACGCTCATGTGTTTTTGCTGCGAAAATCCGCTGCAGCTTGAAACAAAAGGTACTTTCCAGGTACCTAAAAAACGGACAGACAGACACACGAGCGGGCTAGCTTTTGCCCTCCCGTCTTCAATCTTACGTGCTACACGCTATGTTACACGCGACACCCGGAGATCCAATTACCGGCTGCCGAGAGGGCGCGATTAGATAAGCGAAGATGCAGCAGCGGTTTAGGCCGTTTCGCCACCGAAGGGCCAGCATGTGCGGATGCGTGGCCGCAGCTCCGGATTCCTGGGACCCCTGGCAAAGAAACAGAGAAGAGGCGGGACAAGGAACAAAAGAGAGGCCGAGACAGGAGAGGAAGAATGGATGAATTGAATGAGGACAAGGGCGAGGGGTGGAGTTGGGATGAGTGCAGTATGTTTGAGTACGGCAAGTATGCACGGGTGCTCATAGATACAGGCCCAGGCACAGGCACAAGCACAGGCCATGAAGCATCAATTCTTGTTGAACCCCATCGGCGAACAATTGAAACAAGTGTCAAGGTTCCATCTGTTCTCTCTTGCTGAGCAACTGACTGACCTGCTGGGACCAGCGCCCGGCCCTGGAGCTCTGCTAGCCTCGAAAGCAGGGACTGCAATCAGCATCGTGCAGCTCTTTTTTTTTTCCTCTCTATTTTTTTTTCTTCGCTCTTCCCCTAGTATTCTCGCGTTGGGCTCTGATTTAGACTATAATTCTCGGCGTCAGAGGCTGACAGCCGTCCGCCCCAAGAGCTATGGCAATATCTCCAACGTTCAGGACGTTGGTACAAGGCTAAAAGGCTAAGGGCCAACGAAACGCAGGGAGGAGGCGTGTAAGGAGAAAACTACTCTACGATAGACTACTGTACATGCACCTTAGTACGAGTAGTACGTCGGGATAGTGTAGGTGTGTAGAGTGTTTGGCAATTTGTCACGCGGGAGGGCTACATACTGGTCCATGGCTGGCCCTTATTTTCTCTCTGTGTCTCTTGTTTCTCTTTCTCTTGTTTTTGCTCATGTCTGGTCTGGTCCTGGTCTGGGTCTGGTGTCTGGGGTGGCCACCCCCTGGTTGTTCTTGGTATTGTTGTTGGCTGACTGGCTTGTTTCTAGCTGGCTCTGTTTGGAAACGAACGCCGAATCGATGGCGAGCAAGCTAAAAATGTACCCTGGGAAACAGTGCATGCTACTAAGGCTGTGCATGTGCAATGAGATCCTTCTTGGGATGCGTGCATGCGGGGGCTCTTGAAACAAACAAGGAGTCGGTCGCTGTGGGATTTGTTTTAATAAAGAGAAACGAAAAAAAAATTAGAAAATAGACAGTGAGTCGCATCAGCAGGGGGTGTAAACCAGGGCAGAGAAAGGCTAGAACATTAATCAGTGCGCTTGCAGTGCAGTAAGACGCTGGGGTTATAGGGGCAATCGAACAAAATACCCAATTTACAGTAGATACTCGTACTCGAAGAAGAGAGAATCCCGGGTTCAATTCAGAGGGTGGGAGGTGGGAAGAGTTCACGAGCGGGTTACAAGGGTTCAGCTGCGTTCCTCGACGGAACCGCTCTCTCGGACTTGTGCCACTTAGATTGCTCTGCCAAGGACATGGGGAGAGACATGCTGAATGGGCAAAAAGTTGAGAGAGAGAGAGAGGGCGTACATAAGAGTAAGGGGAGGAGGGGTGAAAAGGGAGGAGGGGTGAAAAGGGATGTGGGGGGGGGGTGCATCGTAATCTTTTCTCTCTCTTCTCACGCTCTCTCTTTCCCTGTTTCTGTCTCTCTCATGCACAAATTCATCGGTCACTTTTTTCTGTGTGTGTGTGTGCGTGATGTGATGACCGAGATTTTGAAAGAAAACGGTTAGAGGGCGATTTGGCAGCGTCCGGCGGCCAGCTGCTGTTCGTGGTTTAGGGCGGGGGGCGGCTGATTGTAGAAACCAGAGCGAGATGGGTATGGATGGCATGGATGGGTATGGATCTGTGGGCATCTTGTTTAGGGGTGGGTGGTTCGTGTCGTGGTCGTGGTCGTGTCGGATCGTCTCGTATCCGCTCTCTAATTGTTCTAGTTCTCTCGTCTCCTTGTCATTCTGCTTCTATGATGGTATAATGAATGATATACTCCGTAGTACCGTTTACTCGGGCATTAAGTCAATATTGCCAAGCACTGCAACTCCCTAATACCTACACCTGCAGCAGCACACTACAGTAATCGTACATGACAGCCGCAGTAGCATTATTGCATACTCCTCTCCTGCTAAGCAATGCACATACGAGTATGTATTATTATTACATTATTACTTGTTGGTCCCGGATATCCCAGTAACAAGCCCGCGGGCCAATCACACGCCGCGCCCCACCATCGGCAACGGATCTCCCAAGGGCTGAGCGCAAGGCTTCGGGACGTGCGCCCGAAAATTTTCGGGATTACTGCGTCGACGCCCCTTCGGAGGGTGTGTGTGTTGCGATATTGATGATCCATCGCAAGCTGGGCCCGGAATCTTGATGGAGAGCGTCTCCTCTCTCGCTGGCCCCCCCGTTTCTTGACCGTTTGACTCGACCTTGTTTTCACGACTCAAGCACCTTTACTTCATCGTTTTTAATAGACTGGTTTTGTATTTAGAGAAATGCCCACTGCGGTGGCTGGCGGGAAGAGGATCCCGTCGTCCGGCAGATGGAATCGGAAAAATGGCTCTTTGAAGGAAAACCGTTTTGTAATAAGAGAGAGGGGGAGGAAAACGTCCCGGAGCGCCTCATGCCGACCGCCGCGCCCTCTACTGCATCGTATCTACTGCATGTATTCTCCAGGGATCCAACGCAACACACACCTTGTATGACTGTACGAGTAACATGCCTGCCTACTTACATAACCACATCGTAGTCGGCTTCTTGCAGCTTTTCGGCCGGAGATTGGCAAGTGTCAATCACTTCACTGCTGGGTAAGCCAAGACGCCGCGGCTGGTTGCTTTGCCTATACGAGTAACCACAAGGAATTCCCGGTTTTTACACCTCACTATTTGTTTTTTTCGCTGCTCATCTCTTCTGTTCTGGTCCGCCTATCTTGCGCTTTTGCTGTGATCCAAACTACGCACCTTGTTCTTCCTTCTTCTTTTCTCCGACTCAGAGTTCTTCTCTTTCCACATAACCTCGGTAAACCGCCGTCGCCCAGATCACCCTCGTGCCCCCTTTGGGCCCGGCCCCATCGCACCCCCTTCTCAGCTGACTAGCCACCAGAGATCCATTCCTAAATACCCATAGAAACACGCTCTCGACCCCAAAAGTCTTGAATAAACAGAAACCTATGATGCCCGCTCAAAGAACCCCCCTCCCTTCTTCCCACCAGCCCGGAAACAAGGATGGATGGGGGGCAGAGAGGGAGTGCGAGGAGTGTGAAGACGAGGGGGGAAAGACGACGACAACCAACAAAGGCGTATGTAACTCGTAATAATTGCCTACTTGTCCACTAGCCGTTGCAAATCAATGTTCGGACAGGGCAGGGGGGGTGAAGTGGCTTGGAAGGATTTGGGATGGGATAACGAACAAGTCACTCTGCTTAGGCCCATCTCAACGGTCAAGTTGGCCTCCCCCCTCCCGGGAACTGGGGTCTAGGGGGCAAGGGGGGAAGAAGAAAGATTGAGCGAAAAATAATCATCATCCATCGCAAGACTGTTGCAACTGCAGCTTGCCGGGGGTCCTGATCCTAGGGGAGGGGGGGCGGCGTAAAAAAAAAAAAAAAGGATCCATCAATGGGAATTGGACCTACTAGAGCAAAGAGAACTAAGGCAGCATCATGGGCAATCCTGTTGTCGCTATGTAAGTGGCTCACACCCCCCGTTCCAAAACTGGAGGGACCCGCCGAGCCGTTGAGGCGTTCCCGATGCTTCTCTTGGTGCCAGATCGCTGCAAAAGGGATGTACGCTCGCGATCGGGCGTTTCCCGGCGACTGTTCAGGTTGTTTGTGTCGTTTTTGAGCTGCCTACGTTCAACTTCCGCTTCTATTCACGTACAGATACGCGAGGGCCCTGTCTTTCCTAACGTAATCTAACAGGAAGAATACCACCAGACGACGTGACTGTACAGCTGTTCAAGGTTCATTCGAGCTGATTATCTAATGATCCAATTGCTCGATTTTGCTCAACGGTTAGGTCAAACTCTGCTCAAGGCGACTAAATTAGAGCGCATTC